TCTTTTCGCTTCTTTTTCTCGTTGTTAAACATAACTGACTTTGCTGTAAAACGTCGACGCGGGGTGCTGCGCTGCGCTGCGCGACGGTGTGCGTGTGCGTGTGTGACGCGGCACCCCCTGTCCCTGTGCGATGTAACGGCCTTTCCGCCGGCGACCAGCGAGGAGCGTGGTGCCGGAGTCCGGGAGGACATCAAAATATTCGAATCTCGTGCGCGTGACCAGCTACGTTGCTGGCGTGTCTCCTTAAATATTTCGGCGGCTGCCGGCGACGGTAGCGACAGGCCTGACAAAACGAAGACAAAACAACCAAGCGCACCGTCAAACGGAGTGAGGTGACGACCGGGCTGTTGCTGCCCCTGTGAAGCGCAGCGTGGCGGAGCGGAGTAGCGGCGCTGCTGCGGCGCTGCTGTGGTGCCTGCGACGTCCTTCCGTGTGCGCGCATCTGCCGCTGCTGCTGGTGCGTTTGCTGCACCAGCCACCGTTTGTGTGGAGGCCGCGCCTCTTCCCACACGCCTTCCCGTCCTTGCTATCGCCCTCCCACCCCCTCTCCCCCACGCTCTCTCTTTGCGGCCCTGCGTGTACACCCGCACCGCCGCACACCGCCGCAGAATTCTGTTCACGGATCCCTAACACCTCTCAAGCAAAACCAAGCTGCGTCGCAACGGCTTGCCGACTCAAAATACACCGACCTGTTTTTTTTTCTTCCACCATCAAAACCACCCCTAACTACCCGTTTCTTCACCCCCACCCCCGTGAAGTAGCAACCATGGCCCCGATTATGCACCGCAACCTGACGGCACCGGAGCTGGTGGAGTGGGCGCTGAAGCTGGAGAAGGACTCCATGCTGAGCGCCCGCGGCGCGCTGTGCGTGCTGTCGTACGCGAAGACCGGCCGCTCGCCGGCGGACAAGCGCGTGGTGGACACGGCGGACGTGCACGATAACGTGGACTGGGGCAGCGTGAACATGAAGCTGAGCGAGGACTCGTTCGCGAAGGCGAAGAAGCGCGCGATGGAGTTCCTGAACTCGCGCGAGCACCTGTTCATCGTGGACTGCTTCGCCGGCCACGACGAGCGCTACCGCCTCAAGGTGCGCGTGATCACGACGCGCCCGTACCACGCGCTGTTCATGCGGTGCATGCTGATCCGCCCGACGCCCGAGGAGCTTGCGAACTTCGGCGAGCCGGAGTACACGATCTACAACGCCGGCCAGTGCCCCGCCGACCCGTCCGTGCCCGGCATCACGTCGAAGACGTCCGTGTCGCTGAACTTCAAGACGCGCGAGGAGGTGATCCTCGGCACGGAGTACGCGGGCGAGATGAAGAAGGGCATGCTGACGGTGATGTTCGAGCTGATGCCGCGCCAGAACCACCTGTGCATGCACGCGTCGGCGAACGTCGGCAAGACGGGCGACGTGACTGTGTTCTTCGGCCTGAGCGGCACCGGCAAGACGACGCTGTCCGCTGACCCGCGCCGCATGCTGATCGGCGACGACGAGCACGTGTGGACGGACCGCGGCGTGTTCAACATCGAGGGCGGCTGCTACGCGAAGGCGATCGCGCTGAACCCGAAGACGGAGGAGGAGATCTACAACGCGGTGAAGTTCGGCGCTGTGGCGGAGAACTGCGTGCTGGACAAGGTGACGCACGAGATCGACTTCTACGACGAGTCGATCTGCAAGAACACGCGCGTTGCGTACCCGCTGGAGCACATCCCCGGCGCGCTGAAGCACGCCGTTGCCGGGCACCCGCGCAACGTGATCTTCCTGACGAACGACGCCTTCGGCGTGATGCCGCCCGTTGCGCGCCTGACGCCGGAGCAGGCGATGTTCTGGTTCATCATGGGCTACACGGCGAACGTGCCGGGCGTGGAGGCTGGCAGCCAGCCGGTGGCGAAGCCCGTGTTCTCATCGTGCTTCGGCGCTGCGTTCCTCGTGCGCCACGGCACGTTCTACGGCGAGCAGCTTGCGAACAAGATGCGGCAGCACAACGCGAGGGCGTGGCTGCTGAACACCGGCTACGCTGGCGGGCGTGCGGACCGCGGTGCGAAGCGCATGCCGCTGAAGGTGACGCGCGCCGTGATCGACGCGATCCACGACGGAAGCCTGGACAAGGAGGAGTACGACGTGTACCCGGGCTGGGGCCTGCACATCCCGAAGAGGTGCGCGCGCGTGCCGTCGCACCTGCTGGACCCCCGCAAGGCGTGGAAGGACGTGAAGGCCTTCAACGAGACGACGAAGGAGCTGGTGGGCATGTTCCAGGCGAGCTTCCAGAAGCGCTTTGCGGCGAAGGCGAGCGACGCGCTGAAGTCCGCCGTGCCCAAGTACGTGGAGACGGCGCACCTGTAGTGCGCAGGAGCTGCGTCCCACGAGCGGAAGCTGCCGGATGTTCTCTCCGGTATATATTTCAAGGAGGGGGTGTTCGGGTTTCGGTTTTCGTGAAGTGATTTATACACATATATGTTCTCCCAGATGCTACAGATTTGGTAGATGCCAAAAACGTGCATCGCTTTGAGGTGCATGCTCTCTTTCGTGTTTTGCCTCTTTCGTGAGCGTGTCAAAGGTGCGAGTTTGTTATGACGGCTGATGTTGTTATTATTATTATTATTTGTTTCCCTCTGTGCGCCACGTACGGAAAAGCAGTGCGTCACCTCGTTTTTTTTCTTTTCTTTTTTCTCTGTATTGATTTGGGTGGTATTGCGTATCAAAAAGTTACTTCTCTTTCTCTCTTCTATATAATGCACCACCCTGATGCTTACAAGTTAAATACATTTTTTTTGTGTCACCTTCATCAACTTTGTTTTCGTTAATATATATTATTATTTCTGGCCTCTTTATGTTTATCTTCGCGCCGACTAAAGGTGTGTGCTTTCCTTCTTCTCATGAACTGTTTTCTTCCAGTTCCGGCTCCTGTAGGAGTTGAACGGTTGTGCAGTGCCGCCCCGCTCATCAACAGCAAAACAAAAAATATGAAAAGGGAAAGAAGTGAAAGACGTATAAGCAGGATGTACTTCCTTTTTCTGAAGTTATGATTTCTCATTTTATTTTGCTGGTGTGCCATCCTCCTCTGAGTTCTTTGCGAGGTGCGTCCAAAAAGGGGCGCGTTATTTATATGAGAGAGAGAGAGCGAGCGAGAGCGTCGACGAGGTACTACGGTGATATTGCAAGAGCACTGTACCAGAGAGTGTTGCGATCTTTCTCTCGCCCCCTCCCGCGCGGAGGTTTTTGTGTTGCGACTTGGGCTTACGCGCCAGATCGTCTCAAGAAGAATAAATGACAGGAAGGAAAAGACTGTTTCTCTTTCGCTTTTTATTTGTAACAGGCCAATTAACACTGAACGAAAAATTCCGTGAATGTCAAAAAGAGGATTATTACTATTTGAGGGCAAAAACAATTTTTTATAAGAAAGAAAGGAAAAACACACAAACACGATAGGAGGGTGGCTTTCAGGTATAAGCGCGTTTCCTCAACCCTTTGAACGGTGGCAGAGAACGCACCTGCTTACTTCCTCCTTGTTCTCCTAACAATCTGACACGGATAAAACAGGAAAAAAAAACAATCAAAGAAAGTGTTTTGGATGCTGTTGCACTGTTCGACGACACCTTCGCATTCTGTTGTAGTCAAACGAACGCGCGTTGTCTGACCGCGGATCAGCAGCTAGTTTTTTCCTCCGGTTTTTATGATCTCGTTTCAGCAAGCTTTTTCCCCATTTTCTGGATGCATGGCGAACAGCACATGCTAGAAGAGATCTCTTCTGTAGCGTTTGATGCAACTCACATTCGGCAGTCGCGATTTCTTAGTAACAATGAAAGCAGTATTGTTTTCTCACTTCGCCCCCCCCCTCGTGTCTCAACCTCGTTCGTCACTCCCCATTCCCTTTACCTCTCTTTGGCTTCTTTGTTTTTCTTCTTCTTTTTTTTTGGTCAATCGAAATCGCTACTGCGAGCGAACATGGAAAACTGTACACTCATCCATACAATACACCGACATCATGAAATAGTAATAAATAAATAAATAAATATATATATATATATATATATAGCAGCACTGCTTCCCATTTGTCTTCACTCACTTCCCGTTACATGTCACGGATGGGATTAGAGGTGTTGCACTTGGCATATCTAAATCCTTGTTCAACGTTTCACTTCTTTTCTGTGGAATGAGACGCGTGGGCGTGCTTTGCCACCCCGGCCTTTTTTTTGGTTTCTGACCTACTCCAACTACTACTTCTACTTGTTTTCTGTGCCTTGCTTGGAGGTACAGACGGAGGGAGTAACGTTCTTTTCTCTTTCATTTCCCCGCTAGTTTTTCCTTTTTGCCGTCTGCTGTACTTCCTCTTGTTGATATTGTAGCTTTTTAATCGACTTGCATCGTCATTAGAAACAGGAAACGGAAAACTCTCTTCTTATTACGTAGAGCACGAGTAGCGAGGGTGGACGGACGTGTGGGTTTGTGTGTCTGTCTGTGCGTGTGCATCAGAGTGGCGGCCCCACTTAGCCCACGTTTTTTTCTTTTGTTTTCCCTTTGATGTTTCTCCCTATTGGCAGTCCGCTTCAAACATTGACGTGTGTGTGTGCGTGTGTGTGTGTGTGTGTGTGTGTGCCTGTGCGGGCAATTCCCTCTTCATATACATCGGGCGATCGTTGTTTGGAGGCCTGGCTGTGGTTCTCTCCTGATTATTATTATTTTTCTGCTCTGCGCCTGCTATTGTGAGAGGCGCGCCGTGCAAAGCGGGCAATTTCAACCAACTGTTATTGCCTCTTCTTTTCGTTGTTTTTGCTAGATTCATTTATAGAACCGACAAAATCTAATTCTGTTTTGTTTACAGAAGAGGTGCAGGCTGCTCTCCGTCGACGCACCATCATAGTATATATTCTTTTTTACATTACTGCGGAGCACTCTCGTGTGATCAGCTCTCCGTTTTGCAGGGAGGGGGGGGGGAACAATAATAAACGGGAACATATTAATACATATAAAGGAAGGAAGAGAGGCGGAGGAAAGCACCATGACCTCGAAAGGGGATCATATTCGGCTGGACAAGGGCACTGTGGTGAAGCACCACTACGAGGTGGTGGCCGCTGTCGGCTCCGGCAACTTCTCCAAGGTGTACCGCGTGATCGACTTACAGCTCTCTGCCAAGGAGCAGAAGCGCAAGCCGTTAGCCATGAAGGTCATCAAGAAGGAGTACAGCAGCGACGCAAAGTACGAGAAGCAGATGCTGATTGCACTGCACAAGAACGACAAGAATCACACGGCGCGTGTGTCGAAGATGTACGAGTGTTTTGTATTTCAGGAGTGTCCGGTGTTCATCATGCCCATCCACGGCCCCAGCATCCGCAACCGCCGTCTCGGCATCAACCGCGGCGTCGTCACGCACACGAAGCTGATGGAGTTTGCCTTTGACATTTTAGAAACTCTCGACTTTGTGCACTTCCAGTGCCACATGGTCCACACCGACCTAAAACCGGAGAACATTTTAATTGCCGATAGCGACGTCGCGGAGAACTCGATGGGGGATGAGTGGGTTGTGTGCGACTTTGGGAGTGCGTCGCTGTGGCGCATGGACAAGCTCGACTCCGATCTCATCTCTACGCGGCCGTACCGTGCGCCGGAGGTGGTGCTGGGCAACAAGTGGCACTACGCGGCGGACATGTGGAGTGTGGGCTGCATCCTGTACGAGGTCGCCGTCGGCCACCGCCTCTTCGAAATCCGCGACGACCTCACCCACCTGCACATGATGGACCGCCGCGTGGGAAAGCTGCCGGAGACCTTTACCAAGAACTCACGGTACTCGTCCAAGTTCTTCAACGCGCGTGGCGAGTTCATCTCGACCCCGGATGTGATACGCTTCGGCAAGTGCCGCCTCACGCCTCTTCGCGACATGTTCCGCGATGACAAGGACTTCCTGAACTTGCTGGAGGGCCTTCTCGTGTACGACCCCGCTTACCGCATGACGGCCACGGAGGCGCTTGCCTTACCCATGTTTGACGACGTTCGCGTGGAGCGTCAGAAGCGCCTTGAGCGGGAGGCGAAGGAGGCCGAGGAACGCCGTCAGCGCCGCCGGGCCGCAGCCGCAGCCTTAGACAACGGCAACAATGCCGTCGCGGGCAATGACTCGCTCATGTCGACCGTCAACAGCATGTCGGGCACCATCAACACGCGTCTGACCGATCGCACGGACCGCAACATGCTGGGCAGCACCGAGGACGCCAAGAAGACTCCGCGTGCGGGCCCGGCGACGACAATGCTGGCGTCGAGCAGTCTGCACTTGGGCGAGACGTTGCGGTCTCCTGTGTCCACGTCCAAAGATGACGCGGCGGCGACTGCGTCGCTCAACAACACACATCACACCGAACTCGCCGCAGGGGGTTCACGGGTGCACGGGCATGAGGGTGTGGCGAGTGCGGAGGATACCGAGCTGGACGCAAGGATGGCCACGCATGACTCGCATACGCCCCTCACAAGTCGCTCCACGACGGAGACGACGACGTCACGGCAGTCGCGGAACGTGTTGCCTCACAAGGCACTCGGCAAGTCTCGCAGCAACGCCGGCATCCCGTCGCTGAACTCGACGGTTGTGAGCAACAGCGGTGCACCAACGCATGCGAAGACGCCTGGCAGGGCGCGTTCCCGCGCCGGCAGCATGCCCGCTGCGGTGGCGAAAGGCGGCAGCAGCAGCGGCACAAGTGGCAGCGGCGCGGTTGCTCGCACATCCGCGACCGTGTTGGCGCCTACTGGGGCGGACGTGTCCACGAAGGACGGGCCGAACCGGCGCCCAAGCGCCGACCACCATCCCCACCTTCACCACCACCGCGCATCTACAGGAAACACGTCCGCGTTGCCCAGCACGACCGTCGTCCCGAAGCTGGCACTGAGCAGGCTGACGGGGAATGACGCGGCGAGCAACGCAGCGACGATAACGTCTGGGTCGTCATCGAAGGGTGCCCGTGCGGGCGGGAGCGGCACGAAGCACGGTAGCAGGCAGCTGCCCCGCAAGTCCACCAACGGTACGGTGTCACCAGGGGAGCAGAGTCTAGGCAAAGCAAAAACTCTTTCTAGCCACACGCCACGTAAGGCTGGGCGGCCGTCGTATCGCGGCAGCGATGTCAGTGCAGATGAAGGCGCTGCCGCTGCCGCTGCAAAGAAACTGGGCTCGAGCCAGTCGTCTCTGGTGGTGCCTCACATGCCCGACAGCACCGCGGCGGGGACGGCGTCGTCAGCCGGCTCAACACGCAACTCGCGCAGTGAGGCCACCGGCAAGAAAGGTCGATCCTCGCTCGCCCTTTTGCAATTGCAAGCATCGCATAACAAAACTTCATCCCCTCCCTCTCCTGCTGTGGCCGCAGCATCGACGGTGGATGCAACCGGCACGGCGGAGGCGGAGGCGAAGTACTCCGTTCCCGCCGCCCTTCAGCTCGGCTCCTCGGTGGTTGCCACGACGAGTCCGATGTATTCTGCTGGGACACCGGTGCGTGCGTCCTCTGCGACTGCCGTCGGCTACCAGTCCCCGCTGGAGCGTGGTGTGACGGCCATCGGCATCACCACCCGCACCGAGCCGCCCATCGACACCAACAGCCCCGCAGACGAAGGAGAAACAGAAGTGGAAAAGGACAAGGAGGGAAATGACAAAGACGATCGTCATGAGAGCCCCAGTGCGAGTGGCCGCAATCCCACAGCTGACGCCTCGGAAGGCAACGATGACGTCGACGGATCTGCGGCGGCCAGCGAGAACGATGATGAGGCAGACTCGAGCAACCTGCCCTCGCTGGGCGCCACCACCGCGACCGACTTCAGCCCCCGCGCCACCGACTACCGCAGCCCAGTGCGACGCCGGCCAGTGGCCGTGACGCCGACGGAGGACGCCTCCGCTGCGACATCACCAGATACGATGCGACGGTCCTACGTGGGTGCCAGCGCGTCGAGCGGGGAGTGGGCGAGTCTGGAGAGCGCCGCCTCCCCGCTGGCAGCCGCAGCGCCACCGAAGACACTCGAGAGGTTTCACCCGCATGCGTTTTCGCTGACGCAGCCAGCGCTGAGCGATGGGCGTCGCACCCCGCGGGAGGTTTCGCCGGCGCCGGTGACGGGCCGCACGGGATCACCGATCACCACCGTGCGTCGCTCTCAGCAGCTGGCCGCCATCGCGGGACCGGCTGCAGCTTCTGCAAAAGCAGCGGCCTCCACGAAGGAGACTAACGTCTACGAGCTGGCCAGCACCGTGCCGATTGTGCGTGCGCCGCTTAGCCGCGGCAACAGTCCCCGCGGGTCGCTGACCAGCTCGGTGCTGGTAAACCCCATACTAGACACGCTGGTCCGCACCACGGGGCCTAACTTTGCCTCCACCCCGCCGGCCGTGCCGCACGACGCCAGCCCCGCACCGGTGGAGGGCCGTGGGGCCGGCCTGCGTTCGCCGCCCAACGGCAGCGTGGCGCCGCGGGTGCACGCAGCATCGTCTGCGCGGCCGGACCTCCACCTCACACCAGCTTCCGGTGGTGGTGGTGGTGGTTCGAGCGGCACACCGTCGGCTGGCCGTGCGGCGTCTTCCCCCTCTCCCGCCGCACCGGTGTCGAGTACGGTGCACGCCGTTGTGTCGCCGTCCACGCAGCCGCCGAACAGCTTGTCAGCGAAGGTGGAACGCCTCCGGTTAGTGCCGCCGTCGAATATCGCGGACGTGCGCGGTCCGTCGGCGATCCCGGTGTGCGCGTCGCGCCGGACCGTGGTGAAGCTGGGACCCTCCTTTGCGTCCCCGAACAGCAACAGCAACAGCATCAACAACAGCAGCAACAGCGGCATTCCCGCGCACCCCATCTCGCGCTCCCTCTCGCCGCTCCAGCCGGCACCGCAGAACTCGGCCGATGTGCCGCGCCCGCCTGAGGCGCCGGCGGTGACCCGCCCGCGTGAGCCCGCGCTCGCCGCACGCGACGCTGAAACGGCAGCAGCAACGACGGCGCCGAGCTTCGCCGTTCCCTCCGCCGTGGATGCTGCGACGCCCAAGACCCCGCTGCCCTCTACCACTTCCACCACCACCACCGCCGCCGCCATCGCTGGGCCAGCGAGTTGCTCGTCGCTGTCGCTGTCTACCGCGACGTCACACCCCACGGTAGGAGTGGTGCGTCAGCGCAATGACAGCACTCAGCTCGTGCTGGGTCATCCCACGAGCACAAGCAGCGCGGGCGGGCGAGAAGGCAACCTCGCGTTATCGGTGTCGCAGCTGGGCGTCTTCACGCCACGGGGAACGCGTCTGCTGACGGAGCCGCCGCAGCTCAGCTCCGGCCGCAGCTCCGCCACGCTCCCCGCCGTACTGTCCGGTAATAATAATAATAATTACTATCATAGTAGCGGTGGTGGTGGTGTTGGTGCGCCGACGTCCCCCACGCCGCCGCCATCGCGTGGGAGTCGCACAATGCTTTTCCTCACCTCACCCAGTGCGGCGGTGTCGGACCTGGAGCCGCCGCACAGCAGACCGACCACACCGCTGGGCAGTGGCCGGGTCAGCGTGAAGGCGTTGGACCTGCAGCTGCTGCACACATCGATGAACACAATAACAGCCGCTGCTGGTGGTGGTGGGGCGCAAGGCGGAACGCGTCTGCCGGTTTCATCGTCCGTTGGCCACGCAGGAGGCAAGTCTCCGCGATATAACGCCAAGCCTGGCGCGCTCAGTGCCTCGACGAGCAGTCTTCACCTCGGTGTCACGCGCTCGCCGCGGAAGCCCCTCGCCCCCGGTGCGGGCAGCAGCGGCAACACCGGCAACAGCGGCTCCGCATCGCTGATGGCGTCACTTGATGGCGCCGGTGCGGCTTCGTTGCGCAGCCCACTCAACTCGGGTCGTGCAGCGATCTCCCCGCACGAGTCCGGCTCACGAAAAGCACCGTCGAGAACCACTTCTCCCCGTCGAGGCCCCCTGTCGCCGCGCACGACCCTGCATTCTCGGACTGCTGCAGCCGCGGCGAGTAGTGGCAATAGCAACGCCATAGCCGCTGATCCGTCCTCCCCCGCTGCTGCGGCCTCCTCTGCGGCGGCCACGTCACCGGTAGCGTTGGGTGTCCCCGTTCAATTGGTGCACCCGCAGCCCGCACCGACGCAGGGTGCGGCCCGTGTCGTGCATCCGCGCCACCCCATGACCCTAATCAGCAGCAAACCATCGTCCGGCGTAACGCTCTCCCGCTACTCCAACATGCCGGCTGTAGCCCCCACGCGAGCGTCAACGAACAAGCTGCCGCCTGCGAGCGCAGCCGGCTCGTACGACAAGCAGCTGTCTACGACGGGTGCTGCGGCTGCCTCTAACGCCACGTCTTCCAACAACGGAGCGAAGGTGCGGCAGAGCCCGACGGCGGAGTCGGCTAGCGTCGGCAACACCGAGTCGGAGGCCCCGATGTACCGTCGTAATGCGCGTACGCTGCGGCGCATTGTTGTGCCGCGTCCATCCTCGCAGTCCTCGACCGCGTCGATGGTGTCACCGCAGGAGATGGGCGACGAGGGGGAGTCATCGGCCTCTCCCGCGACCTCTGCTTTGTGAGACCGAGAGAGTGTGTGTATGTGTGTGCCGGTGTGGTACACGTTCTACATGTGTCTGTTTTTTGAGGTTCTGAAGCGCATCTTATATCCTGCGTTTCTCTATTTAATATTTTCGTTGTTTTTTTTTTCTCTCCTCCTTGGATTTCTTCTCCTTCCTTGTTTGCGTACAAAAGGTGAATTTTCCAACCTCTGTTTTCCTTCTCCTGTAATTTTTCTTTTTGATTTGGCTCTCGTTGTGTAGTTCTTGTTGTCGGCGCTCGGCCTTTATCATCGTCGTGATCTGAATCACATTACATCTCTTTTTGTTTTTGTTTTGTTAGAAAGCGTAAGAGAAAGGTATTTTTGTTTGTTAATTCGAGCATTTTTATTTAAACGTTTTCCGCCCAATCTTGTTAATTCTATGTTTTTTTGTTAGCACCCCTGTACATTCTTTCTTTTCTCTGTGTTTCTTCAGATTAGGCCGCGAATGCAGGTTGTCTTAGGTTTGGCGCTATTCTCTCTCACCGCGCATACGTTTCAGGGTGCCGTTTTTTTTTCTTTGAAGATAACCACCTCATCTTCAATTTTAACAAGAATAATATTTTTCTGTTCTGGCCAGAAGTCGTATATATTAGTGTGGCTGGCTGTAAGCAGTGCCATCCCACCACCACCGTACGCTTCTTCCTCGGTTGTTTTGTCTCCCCCCCTTTTTTTGCTGCTGCTGTAGGCCGCGTGTCTACGCTGGACTCTCGCCGTCTTGGTCGTCTAATTGAAAGCCGTTCATTTGCCTTTCCTTTTTGCTGTCTTTTGTTACGTTCTTCTCTCTGAGTGTGCGTGTGTTCTCTTGTCGTGCTTGCCGGTGCTCCAGGGGGCAGGTTTTTTTTTTACAAGTATTCTGGAGGCTTCATCGGGTTCGCAGTGATGAAGGGGAAGGACATTGCTGGGCTCGTATAGAAGCGCAGGGCGATGTGGGTGGTGCTGCAGCGGCTTTTTCTGTTGTTGTGTTGTTTTCGTTCCGCAACGAGCGAAAAGAAAAGTAAAATAGCCGCTGCCGCTGCGGGCGGTGAAGTATCATTCAATGGTGCCACGAAAAGCTGTCGAATGAGGGAGGGGTGGGTGGATGGTGGTAGTGGTGGTGGTGGTGGTGTTTCTGTGAAGGAGTCCGGTATTTTCACATGCCGTGTGTTTTCCTTGCCCCATCTTTTTTTTACTTCCCATTTTATATGGGCCTAGACGTTGCTTCATTCTCATTATGGTGTTCTCTTCGTTTATGATCACGTTGTACACCGTTGCTTCTCCTATAGGTAAGTAACCGAAAACAAAACCAGGAAAGAAATTATATGCAAACAGGCGAATGGTATAGAGATCTTTTTTTCTGTTGTTCTCGTCGCAGGTAGACTCCATGCAACGTGTCGGGCACCGCAAGGAATTTAAACGCTGTGTCCGAATTACGCATACGCAATCGTCTTGAATGCACCCCCTTACCCTCAAAAGGAAAGGAAAGCAAATGACACTGGCGTCAGTAAGGCAACTGAACGCATCGTTAAACAGTTAAAAAAGGTACTCAGCTCTTCTTCCTCCCATTTATCTACTGGCGTTTTCTGTTTTTTTCCATTTTCTTCTATTCGTCTCCTTCATCAACTTGCTTAAGCACCACATTCCCATGCGGCAACTCTCACCGGCACACATCTCACGTATAACCGCTAAACGAAAGTATCGTACATCAACAACTTCCTTCGACTGGCACCTCGTCAAATAATAACAAAAATGCTTGATCGACGGCGTCTTCACGTATCACGGCTCTAACGACGCGAACCGACGTTCCAGCATTGCGCTTTCGACCCATATTGTGTAGGAACCCTCACGTGGTTGACAACGCCCGTTGCGGCAACAGCAGCGTGGAAAACCACCCACAACACATCAACCACCACTTTCGCAGGCACGAATCAACACAGCAGCCACAGCTCCACCTTTTGCGCTCTCTTCTCTCTCTTCTTTTTTCCTTTTGCGTTGAGTATGTTCTCCAAGTACCGACACGGTGGAAGTCGGGACGCTTATTATGTGTCACCGATACGCGACGCCGCATCCTCGACCCGCGCACCTGCGCAGCAGCTGCTGTCTTCTTCTCTGTCTCGGCAACAGCAGCAGCACGCATCCTTGTACGATCCGGCGGAGAACAACCGCACCCCGGCACTCAGTCCTATTCCGCGTACCCCCGTGCGCTACTCTTCAGCAGACGTGACCGGACATGCTGATCTGCGCTACCCTGCGAGGCCGGTGGAGACCGCTCCGTCGAATGCCGCTACACCAGCAGCTGGTGCAATAGGAGCAGCAGCCCCTTCGTCATCCATTGCGAGAACGCCACTCCCTCAACACCCGAGTGTCCAATACGCACCGTCGCCAGACGCTGCGGCGAGGTACGCGCCATCCCCCTCCGCAGAGGAGCAGCTGCAACGGATAGAGAAGGAAAGGTACCGGTTTAGCAGTGGCCGAAATAGCGTACCATTTGCAAGCAATCCGGGCAGCCTGTCGGTGTCTCCGGCGTGTTGGTTGTGCGAGGGCCGTTGTCTTACCGGTCCGGGCTCCACCTGGCCGCAGGCCCCACCTCTCTTTTTCACCGCGACGAATCACACCTTACCCGTCAGCACCTTGACGTTGTGTGCCACGTGCGCGGCGGCCGTGAGCATGGACATGCAGGCCACCTCCCGTGAAGTTCTGCAGCGGTGTCAACGCACGCCCGCTACGCGCTACCGCACCTCCGCCTACGTCAACGCGGTGCGGGAGTACAAGCTCTTGTTGGAGCTGATGGCAGAGAAGGTGGTGCGTGCGTGCGAGCGAATGCGGTGTATTCACGGTGTGCTGCCCTCGACGTCGTCACCGCACGACGCGGGAGATGCCTGCGTGGATGCTGCGGTGGAGGTAGCGGACGCCCCGCTCGCGTCTTTCAGCCTGCCGCTTCGACAGAAGGTGTTGCGACAGCTGTTGGAGGCGCTGGAGGAGTTGCTCCAGCGCGATGGCCGCGCTGCACAGCTTGCCGCCACTACAGCGAATCGCCAAAAAACTGCCGCAGTGTCGCGTCAAGTACCGCTTCAGCAGCAGCAGCAGCACGACGAGCAAGAAGGGCTGCCTTACTCGGAAATCATGGCACCCCGCGAGCGGCATGTGCTGTTAGAAGAACTGGCGCACCTGGAACGGCAGCTCATGCCTGTCTCGTCAGCCATCACGGCAGGGCAGGAGCAGCAGCATCAGATGATGTCAGCCGAAGGCCGCACCCGGGCGTCGCCGTACAGAGTTTCTCCGGCGTCGCATCGCGCATTGGCGTTACCGTCACAGCGGGAACGAAGCGCAGGGAACGTGGAGAGCAAGAGAAGAGCAGCGGGAGATCCGCGGAACTATAACGCACACGTCGTGCCGTCACCCAGACCTTCGCCGGAGCACGGTCGCGGCACTTCCCAGCCGTTGGCGGCAGCAACGTCGGACCCGCTCTCCGTACTGGCGGACCCTCGGCGAGTCCAGCACCGCCGACGTGCTTCCACGACGGCGCAGGACGGCGGCGACATGAGGGACGAGGATGGGGACAGCCGGCAAAGGGGTCCGCAGAATCGTTCACCGCCTGCGCTGACCTCCCCGCAGCGCCGTCGACGCGGCAGCGGCAGCGGCAGCGAGGCAGGTCCTCCCGTCACGGATCGCCGCGGGCCGAAGTCGGCTTCGGGGACTGCGCCGTTTCCCTTCGCGCCTGCGCCGCACCGCGACCCCAGCCACAGTCGTAGCCCCGCTCCGGACGACGCTGAGGGTGATGCTGTGGGTGTAAGGGAAACGTCACGCAACAGAAACAGGGATGCGCGTTCAAACGGAAAGAAGGTGGGGGAAATACCTTCACGCGGGCAGCGGGGGCAACCGCAGCAGCGCCAGCGTTTCCATCCCGCGTTGTCTTCCCAGGGCCGCCGTACCATGGAGGCGCTGGTGGGCTCCGCGATGTGGGCGATGTACCGGCATTCCCCTCCCAGTCCGGAGGTGGAGAATCGACGCAGCGGAGGAGAGGGGGAGGGCGACGAGGAGAGCGAGGTGGACGCCACACGCGCCGCTGCCGCCGACGCTGATGCCGATGCGCCAGACGCTGCCCTCAGCCGCAACGACCCGGATAATATTTTGTTGAACTACTTCGCTGGCCGATCGGACGTCACACCGACGTTCCGCTTGTCGCCTCCACGGACGCCCTCCTCGTTCCGGCGCAGTGCACTGCGACGACGCCCAGATGCGATGGTGGCAGCTGCCGCACCCGCCGAAGGGCGCTTAATCGACCTGAACGACGGCCACGACAGTAGTGATCACGGTGGCGATCTCGTGGCTGTTGGGCTGCAGGCGCAACTCGACAAGGAGCGCCGTAGACGGCGTGCGGCGGAGGAGGCGTTGCTGGAGGCACACGTGCGAGTTGCCGCGCTGGAGCAGACGACGAACGACATGGCGGAGGAGCTGCTGGCCCACCGCCTGTCGGTGACCTTCCGCAGCCATCTGGAAGGGATGGAACTGCTGGTGAGTCGGTGGACCCTCCTGGCGCAGAACTACTGCTTGCAGAAGAGTCTGCTCTTCGCGGAGGAAGCGGCGGCGCTCGTGCGGGCGGCGCAGCGAGACGCGTTCGGTGTCACGTCGTTTCTACGGAAGAAGAATCCCCCGCCAGCAACACCACCCAATGGCGGGAATTCTACCGCGAACGGCAAAAAGTCCGCTGCAAATGCAACGGGGGAAGAGACGGCAGGCGAGGAGGCAGATGATGAGTTGTGGGTGTCGCGCGAGGAGGAAGACGGACACGCTGGCGCTGGCGGCGGCGGCTATGCCGCATCCAGGAAAGTGCCCCCAAGGGACACCTCGGCTCCCAACTCCGTTCCGCGGAGGTCGGCGTCGCACACGGTGCTTCCGCGTGAGAACGCGACCGGCGCCGCTCCGTTCACCTTCCCGTCTGATGTTCGTTTGAAACCACTGACACTTCATCTTTAGCATCGAAGGTGCATCCCAGAGAACAACCAGTGGGGAGGTGGTCGTAAAATGCGCGTGTGTACTATTCGTAGTATTAGTATTGTTTCTTGAGCTGGTTTCTGCTTTTTGATTCCGCCAGCAAGTCTCTTGTACTTCATTTTTTCTTTTCTTCTTTTTAAGCGCAGTTTTCAGCATTTGTCGTGCACACTGCGGTAGACTCCGGAATGATGTGTAGTACCATAGCGGCTGTATGCGGACGAAACGGACGAAAGAAAATCGAAAACAGAAAACGCACAAGCGTCCGTGAGGTACCGAAACAAGCAAACATCAAAAAGTAGCAGCACCAATCGTGTTGCTGCGAAATAATTCCGAATTGAACCATTGTTTAGTCTTCGAGTGAAGACTGAAAAACAAACAAATAGAGAGAGCAGTGGAGTACGCAATACAAAGCACTGCGACAACAACATTATGAGTATTATTAGTGTTATTATTGTGGATGAAAGAGATAGGTAAAAGAGGAATGAAGATGTGACGGAACGCGTTTTCCGCTTTGCTCTCTCTTCTTTCATTTCGATTTCCTTCCATGTGGTGATGCCCTACCTGCTTCCTGTTGCTGTGGATGTAGCACGAGAGTTCCCGTCGACGTGCCTTTCTCTGGCGGCCGCTCTCTCCGCTCTCACTTCGCACTCTCTACTCCTCTCCTCTGTTGTCTCCCTCCCGCTCTTTACGTCGGACAACTTTCTTGCCCCTCCAACACACCGCATTTTTTTCTGCATTTGAGTTCAGCGCGTTGTTTGAAAGAAAAGTAAAAGTTAACTACACTCACGCACTCTTCGAAGGAAAGGAAAGAAAAAGCCAAAGGAAGAGACAGTACATCGACCGCTGCTACGACAGACGCCCACCCAAGTCTGGCGCACACACGCAGAAACAACAACATACACGTACAGTCTGCAAAGCAGGTTGGTTGGTTGGTTGAGTTCTCCCCCTTTTGATGCATTTTCCCCCCTTTCTTCGCCTTTTTCTTTCTTTGCAATATTGAAGCGCTTTCTGCTTACATCCTAACTTGAAAGGTTTCGGCCCACTCTACCCCTCTACCTTTGGACTTCGTAGGGTCCCCGCAAGCCAAATAAGAAGCATTTAAAAGGAAAAGTTCTCACCTTTTGTTTCCTTGGTTATTATTATTATTTTCATTCGTAACTAAAAGCTGCGCCTGCGCTGCGACCCAACTCACTCCTCGAAGCACGCGTTTCGTTGTTAAGCCTGCACTTTTCTGTTTCTATCCTCGTCTCCTCCAGCCACAAAAAAACTGAAGCACAAGTGAAAGGGAAAACGAACACAGCAGGAAAAACGATTAGTACGTGTTTCAAAATCTATAGAGGGTGTGCTGGAGAGCTCTGAGCGAAAGACAAGGCTTTCTTACGTTCTTCATTCAGGAAAAAGTAATAATCAAAAAGAAGTGCAGAGCTGCTGGAAAACGAATACAGCTTTCAGTATCATCATACTACTTTTTTAAAAGGGAGAAAACGAGGGCTTCAAGATTGAAACAGGCGTTCCACGCGCAAAGAAATATACTATACTTCGGTCTCCTCTATTTCGTTTTCCTTTTATCTTTTTCCTTTACTCTCTCTCTCTCCCTCTCTCGGTATTTATGGTTATTGAAAGACATCGATCTTTTCAAGTTTTTTTGTTTCTCCTTGTCACCGAGCTGTGCGCTATCCACGGTTTTCTTTAGTTTTGTTTCATCGTTGTTGAGAGTTCGTGATTATTCTACTTTTCCCTTTTTTTGTTTTGCTTTACCGCTTTTCTCCGTTGTTTCTCACTTTTGTATTTTCCCGCAATTCCCCCCCCCCTCCTAAAAAACTCTTGAAAATTACTCTTTCTTTTTTTCTAGAAGTACTTTATCTCTTCTTTTTGTTTTCATCATCATCATCATCTTGTCTCTTCTGTTCTGCCTTTTCTCTTGCTGCATCCGACACACGCCCAAACATCCAAACACACACACACACACAAATTGAGTAGCAATAGAAACTGTGTGTGCGTGCATGCGTGTGTGCGTGTGCGTAAACGGCATCTAGGTGATTTGGCTCCGTAAGCGCACTGCCTTTAAAAAAGCTGTGATTTGGAGCTCAACGCTAGTTCTATTTCTATATATATATATATATATTTGTAAAGATCTTTGCTTTTTATTTGCTCTCCTTTTCTTTCTTCTCCTGCTATCCGAAGAGTGCATTGTGGCGGAGTCGGGAGTCCCGTGTGCACCGACCAAAGAAAGAAAGAAAGAGGGTCACTTTGAGCGTATCGTGGGAAAGAACAAAACAAACTCGAAGCGCCCGCGCTGAGCCCTTCTAGCCGCACCCCAGAGAGAAGGAAGAACACCACCGACTACAACCGAAGTTCATACTCAAAGAAGAAGAATACATGGTGATCCGCACGCGTCGCACGGGGCAGGGAAACACGGACCTCGGCCATCGTCTTGGCGTTCCGCAGTCCCCGCCGTCGCCTCCGTCACCACCTCCACCACCGTACGCCTATGTGGACGACAACGCAAAAGGCGCACGCCGCTGGACCTCCGCCGTGAATGCGAACAACATCAGCAACCATAACTGCCACATCTCGACAGTGTTCACATCACCTCCTCCACCACCGATGGCCATGCCCTTGCAGCCACACCTCCGTGCACCGCAGCAGAAGCAAACAACACCACCGTCGATGCGGCCGTCCTCACCGCCACAGATACAGGTGCCACCACCACCACCACCGCCGCACTCCACCATCTTCGGTGGCCGGTTTGCCTTGCTTGAGCGTCTCGGTAGCGGTGGCTTCGGCGATGTCTTTCGCGCAGAGGAGCGTGGACAGGCGGTGCCGCTCGCCGTGAAGGTTGAGCAGGTCACCGAGTCGAACAGCCGCCCTGATCAGTCTTTTCTGTTTCACGAGGCAAAGGTCTTGCAGGAGATCCATAAGTCGATTCAGGCCCGCAATGCGAAGCTGAAGGCGGACCGCGAGGCGGAGCAAGAGAACGGCGAACGCGAAACCGCCGAGCCGAACCCCGACGCCGTCGGCATCACGAAGCTGAAGTACTACGGACAGGACAACATGCAGCGGGTGCTGATCATGTCGCTGCACGGGCACTCGGTGGAGACGGTGCACCGCCGCCAAGGCCGGCTCTCGCTCTTCGCGACGGTGATGATTGCGGATCAGCTGCTGAGCAGCCTCGAGCATGTACACCGCGCGGGCTACGTGCATGCGGACTTGAAGCCGGACAACATCCTCTTCGGACGCAAGGATCCCGAGCAGCTGTACCTCGTAGACTTCGGCTTGAGTGTGCGATACCGCGATCGCGAGGGCAAGCATCGCCCCCTCATCACGAACCACAGCTTCGTCGGCACGCCGCGTTACGCGTCGCTGCGCACGCACATGGGCTACACCCTTTCCCGGCGGGATGACATTGAGCAGCTGGTATACGTCATGATCTATCTCTTTCGTGGTCGCCTGCCGTGGTCGGGACTTCGCATCGACGACCCGGACGCGAAGGAGAAGCGTATTGCGAAGATGAAGGCGAACATCTCGCTGGACACGATCTGCGCCGGCTGCCCCGAGGCGTTCCGCGACGTGCTGAACTATGCGCGATGCATGGAGTTCGAAGAGGAGCCGCAGTACGAGTATCTGCATTTGCTGCTCTTCTCGTTGCGCGAGGCGTGCATGATGGGGGCGGCGGGCGAGACAGTGTGCGCCGCTGCCTCTCAGCCGGCTCAACAGCTGCCGCAACCGCAGCAGCCGGTGCAAGCGAACGTCAAGGGACGCCAGGGAGACAAACGCGTAGAGAGAACGGCCGAGGGCAGGATGGGGGACCGACAGTCCGAATTTGCTATGGACCCAAACATATTCTCTGGCGGTGGGAACGACGTGGAGGGCGACAACGCGAACCCCCTGCTGTCCGGCCGAGAAGACGACGCTCCTGCGTTCTTTAGTGATGCGGTTGGACAGGGTATCTTGTCTGCGAATGCGGCGGACACGGGCCCGCTCTCGCCGCGTATCGACTGCCTGAACGATGGCCGGTCCTCGAAGTCTATGGAGCTTGGCACAGGGCTCGGCTCTCCGGTCCGACGCTCGCTGCGGTAGACACCAACGAACATCTCACATTTAGAAAAGAGCACAGCAGCATTCTTGTCTTTGCGAATGACCTTCGAATGGCTACTTTTTTTTTCTTTTGTAAGGTATTCGGCAAACCTATGTCTACCGATGGCCAAGAAGAAAAACAAACAAAAAACCAAACCATCCATGAGCCCTGACGGCGCGTACATGCTGAGTAAATACACTGCTACGGAAGGTGACATTTCATTCTCGCTTTTCGGCTTTTTTAACTTGTCTACTGCGCTGGTCTCATGATCCTCCGTTTTTTTCCTTTTGGTATGTTTCTTGCTTTAAATGTGAATCTATTCGTTGCGTTCTATTTTGTGTTTTGGTGGTGCACAACCACGAACTGAGCGAAGCTGCTGCTTACTTTTCTTCTGTTTCTTAACAACAACAACAGCAAAAAAGAGAACTTCTATCTGATGTAACCACGATGATTGTTCAGTAGGAATCGGAGGTGGTGCCGCAGTGGCTCAACGACCTACGCGCGACGTGGTGGTATTCCTCCGAGCAGGTTTTTTCGTGGCTTTCTTTCTTCCTAAAAAGGTTGCTCTTCGTTTCCTCTCACTCTGCGTGCCATTTTTTTTTTCCGACTCGCTTGTCCAAGGAAAAATTGGAAGAAGTGACAGAAGCGCCGTCAGCGCGGATGTGTTTTATTTCTTTTGGGTGAAACTATTTGTTCTGTTCTCATTTGAACCCACACGATTCTGCTAAAAGAAAAGTAAAAGTTTCAACTGCTATGCTGACTTGATAAGCAAGGCCCTTTTTGTTTCTTTCCTTTTTGCATTGATGGGAAAGCGTGACTCCCTTTCCTTAAAAAAAGAAAACACACACACAACAAAACTCCGTTGCTTGCTCTTAGCATTATTTTTCGCCTTCTTCTTCTTTTTTCTGTTTTTCATTCATACTCATGCGATTAGCTTCTCTTTCACCATCATTGAACCAACCCGTGCTTTCTCCTTCTTTCTTTTTCCCGTTCCTTCCTGTTTATGTTTTCTGCAGACTGGTTAGGGTAATGCTCTGCTTGGCGTATACGCCGTCTTTCTATAAAGTCTTTTCTTTTCAGAGATGACCACTGAGTTTTTTTCCCCCTCTTTTTCTTTCTTCTCCCCTTAATTTCTTTCACCATTCCGAATACCTCTGTATGAATTTCGACGTTTTGTTTATCTTTCTTCGTTCGTTTTCTCCCCCCTTTCTTTGGCCTTCTTCGATTCTCTTGATTAAAGTGCGTCATCCAACTTCTTCTATACCACGTTGTAGTACACCACTATCCACCGCGGTGCGTTCATGTCGTTTTCAGCGGCGACAGAGTCCGCCACGAGGATTGTTGGAACGAGAATGGACTGTCCATTTGGAAACGACAACAGAAGAGAAAACGGCATGCAGCAAACTTCGATACGTTTTTGTTTTTTCTGCTTTTCTTTCTTTGCGTCATTGAGAGGAGCCACTGACATTCTTCTTCTCCTTCCGTTTCTTTTTTTTTCTCCCCTTTTTTCCTTTCTATCTAACCGTTTGTTTGCTCATTCTTATATACGCTAATGGACGGCGATATGGTAGAGACAATCGGTTTTTTTCTAGAGCTGTTTTTCCTTCTATTCTTTCTTCCCTTCCTGGCGCTCTTTCGGAGTTTTTTTTTTACTTTTTGTTTCGGCTGTTCTGGGGTTTCAGTTCCGCATTTTCTATATACTTATTGGGGTGTATTTCTTGCTTCTCTTTTCTTTTCCTCTGTGTTTTCGCCTCTATAATTCGGACGGGAGCCACCTCTCACCTGTGTCCCGCTTGCATTAACACGTATGTTCCGCTTTTGTATTCTTCTCTTTTTATTTCTTTTGATCCTCTAATTCCGTTGTGTGCTGCCACTACCGCTTCTTCTCATCTCCTATACAAGTAGCTTTGAATGCTCTTTTTTTTTTTCTGAGAGCTTGCGCCAGGAAAAAAATCGCCGGGAGATGAATCGAAAGCTTCATGTTGTACTACTTTCCCTTTCTCCTTCTCTCCCCTCCAGTCGACCTCTCTCCAGGAAAGGCTGTTTTCTTTTTTCCAACCGTCCCGCCCCTTTTCCAACCCCACGAGGTGGAAATGCAGACGATCTGAGTCTGCAAGAAACTCCCTTTCGTAAAGTTCTAATTGGTTCAAAAATAAATATAAAAAGAAAATAACGCCGTCCACCCTTTAAGGAAAATGAAAACGATCCAGGGATGTAACGACACTGTTTTGCACTTTATTGATCTTTCTCCTTTCTCCTTTCTTCTTCCTTCCTTCCTGATCTGAGAGTAGTCGACTAGATTTTTTCTGCCGTTTCTCCCCCGAGTGATTTCGCATCCACGCTGCTGATGCGCGACAGTGACCTGCGTGCGACACGCCTCTTTGAGAGCTTTCCCTTTCTAATTATTTTTATAGTTTCCGTGGTGGCGCATCTGCTGCGCTTCTTTATATCGCCCTGCTCATGCGGCATGCACAGACTTTTTTCACTTTTTTAATTCTGGTCTATACACACTTTCAACATTCGACGCATATGTCCCGAGAGGGAGGGAGGGAGAGAGAGGGAGAGCAAAGAATCCACTAATGCGAGAGGACAACGTGGAACGCAACGATTGAGCGTGGGTGGTGTTTGTCTTTGTAGGGGAAAGACGGAAACTTTGCTACCAACTCGGTGACGTAAAGCAAAAGAGCTTTCTCTTTATGTTTCACGTACGCCTTGAATAGCTTTATCTTCTTTTATGATGATGAAGATTAAATTTTTTTTTCTGGGGAGAGAAAGTCGAAAATGCCAGCCCATTTTCTTCCTTTTTTGATTCTAACGTAAGGGCAACTCTTTATTTTTTTTTTTGTATTTTTCTCGGCACAACGCATTCCCGCTAATAAACATGTCTTAACGCGCCTCTCTCTCTATACACACGTATTCCTGTTGCTTTCTTAAGCGGTGTACTGCTGGTTGGGTGCTTTTGTTCCTCTCCCCGTTTTCTCATTTCCCAGAAGAGTCCCTCCAAAAATCTTCCTTCTCTTTTCTTCTTTTTTCTTCTTTCGCTCACGCGGGTGCGTATGACTGTGTCTCTTGCGCAGTTCTCTCGCCTCGCTCTTCTTTCAGGCGGAGCCATATGTCTGTGTCATGAAACCGGCCTGCGCCTGTCTATTCACTGTTGCCATTGTATGCCTTTTCTTTTTTCCCGTTTCCTGCTGTCGATTTACCGTTCCTTTCCCCCGCCTTTGTTAGCTGTCACGAAATGCAATGAAATATCCCGTCTCGCTCTTCTCTCTCTTGCCTTCTCTTTCACGCCGCAGCGGCAACTACTAAGCAGACTTTCTTTTTACCAATAAAACATAAATATATAAACCTTCGAATAACCCTCGGAAAAAAAAATTATGATGCCTTTTTCTTTGTTGCTGTCTTTCTCGCTTTTTCCCACTCGTCAAGGTGTCATCTATACCCTCCGTATGAATGTACCGTACATACGCTTACGTACATATGTGAATCCCTTGATTATTCTCGCTTGCTTACGGGTGTTCTCTGCCCCAAGTCGCGGAGCGTGACGGCGTGACAGGCCTGCTTTTGTGGATACACATGCTCCCACTTTAATTCCTTCTCTTCTTTGCCTTCGCCGGCGCTTTTCACGTGCTCTTGAGGGACAGAGAAGTAGCAGAACGAGAAAATGAGAATGCAGATGCGTGCCTGTCCCTGGGTGTTTGCAAACCGGTGTGCTTTGCCTCGTGAGTTGATGCGTTGTCTCCACTTCGGTTTCCCGTTCTTATGTGTCGCTTCATTCGTATGCTTGACTGGCTGCCGTAGTGGAGAGGTGCAGGTGCGCCTGCGAACTCCTCACCGTGCAGCTTGAGCTTTTTGTGTTTCTGTGTATCGTATGAGAACGTGCTTGGCACGCGCACAAGAGAAAGAGCTGCTTACACACACTCTCACACCCACACAAACGCTGTCGCATAGAGAGGGAGAGAACCAAGACAACGTGAAGACCTGCAGAGGAACAATATCGTGCTTTTCAAAATTGCTGCTACTCGTTTGTTGAAAAGTTTGCGATCGAACATCGTTTTTTTTCCCCTTCTTCTTTTGTCTTTCCTGTTGCTTCTGTGGGCCTGACGTCCTTTTCTGTCATACACCACGTTGGGGGAGAATAAGCACGACATCAAAAAGGAATATATGTATATATAGATGAAAAGAAGAGATGCAGCAAGTCAACAAGGAACAGACTACAACCTTGTACTCGTTTAAATAACAATAATAAAAGAAAAAAGTTGCGTGAGGGGAAGTAGACCTTTTTCAAGACAAAGGGTGCCAGCCACACGCTGCAGAACCGTTTTTTTCCTCTTCTCTCCTGTCCATGTGGTGTGCTTTGATAGCGAGTTGACGACGTGGTTTACGCGTTCCTTTTTGTTTGTTTTTGTAACACTGTAAAAGAAAGAGAAAAAGAACAACTTTATATCTCTAGAAGAATCCCTAACACTTCTTCTTATTTCTGTTTTTTCTTTCTTTTCAATCTTAATACGTCTGTTGTTTTGTTTTACATTTATGTTGTTTTTCCCCTTTTTTTTCTGTCCCTCTTCTTTCTTCCTTTGGTTAACTCAAGCGTTGCTGCCAGTTTTACTCCCTCGCCAATCCCACAACAGCAAAATAAAAGAAAAGGACATCATCTTTCAGCTTCTCGTGTTCGATTCAATCTGTTCTTTTCTGTTGATTGTGGTGCTGTTCATCGAGCTCTTTTTTCTTAGTTGTTATTTACCCTTTGGGTGATCAGCAACATTTTCTATTCTGAGCTTTAGCCGTTTATGCGACTCTTCTCTCTGCGTTACTGTTTATCATCGTCATCATCATAATCCCTTGTCACGATGCTCCTTGAAGACGTTTTCTCTCATCTCTTCCATTTGGTTAGGAAACTCCAAAAAAAAAAAGATAGACCAACAAGGGAATCGCATGGAAAGGAATGAGTTTTAGCCACACACACGTACGGAGAGATAGATGGAACAGCCCCGTTTGTTGTTGTCTATACCGCACGAGTGCAGCCGTTCTTTCCATGCATTTGACATACGCACATGGATGCACGGAGTCAGTTGGGTTGACGCTTCCAAGGCAGCGAGCTCCCCCCATAAAAGTAAGAAGAAAGCAAAGGACTGCTGCGGTGGATCTTTCTTTTCCTTCTCCATGAAAATGGCTGTTGGTGAGTCATTTACGGAACCGAAGCGTTGGGGAAGAGCCGTTGCGTATGCAGAGGCATTTTCTTCGCTCAGCTGACGAGCAACATGTCCTGTCGTTTTTCTTTTTTCAACTTCTAACCTGAACGTGTCTGTCTGTCCTTCCTGTTTTCCTCTCTCTTTGGTCGAGTTTCTGCTGCATTAAGACAGCGAAGGCGGTCAGGCACACCCCGCAGCGCACACAGAGCTTCGAGGGAAGCCTGCTCCCTCCTTCAATACAGAAAAAGCAAACAAACCGTCTTCACTCTCCATCTTCTTTTTTCTCCCTTTTAAAGGAAGACAGTTAGGCGAGAAGAAGTAGAACTCTAGCGAGGGACAGTTCAGTGTTTCTAGCTGTTAAGAAAAACCCTCAACTGAAGAATTCTTTTTTATTTCCAGTGACACGCTGCGCCTCCATGAGATGCGCTGCAGCGGTATTCCTCACCAACAGCGCGGGTGCCGACAGCGACGCTCGCCGATGTAACTGGCAGTCAACCTCTGCTTTTCCGTCTCCTCCTTTGCCTGTCGCGGGGCCCCCGGCAGCACACCACGCAGAGACACAAAGCTGTGCAGGTGGTCAGAAACGCGCTCGGTCTCCGCGAAGTTATTTAGCGCAAGGCGCGCAGGGTGAGGTCCTCCTCGCAAAGCAGAGCAGTCACACAACGGTAGGTGTCGCCGGTAGCGTAGGCAGAAGCAGCCATGCTCCTCGTCCTGTCACGGTCCGCCAGCTCTACGCCGCAGTGCTGGGGACGGCGACCGAGCCAGTTCGTTGCCCCGCCACGCGCGCCTCGAAAGGGAAGGTGCCCAGCGATGCCGTTCCACGCGATAACGTACTGGCGCATCGATGCTTCAACGCATTGCCCAGCAGATGTGGCGCGTGCGATGACGTCACTTCTGAAGTTTGTGCTGCCAGACTTCAGCGTCTTCCGTCGACGTCGTCGCGTATCGGCGAAAGCACGATTCTTCTGGATGGCGCTGCGTGTCACGTGGTGGTGGTGTGCGGGCGGGTGGTACGTTACGAGGTCGCTGCTGCTTCTGCTGCTGCACCGGTGCATACACCGCGGCTTTACCCTCCCACTGCACCCTTCGCGGCAACACCGTCGTACGACGTGATCTGGATTACCGACAACACTGGACTGCTGTGTGTGCTGCGGCCGCGCTCTGGGCAAGCACGGCGCCAGCGGACGGAAGAAGACGCGTTGGAGGGCAGCTTTGGCAGCTCGTTGCCGTATCCTTTCACTGACGCAGGACACCGCCACATGACGCTGGCGCAGGACAGCGCGTGGAGTCCCTTCTCCAGCACAGGAGAGTTCCGCACGCTTCAGAGTGAGGGTGATGCTGCTGCTGTGCGAGTCAACGACACGTGCCATCCCGCCCAGCTGTCAACCGCCGCGCCGGCTACGTCAGGAAGCGCCCCCATGCGGCATCCCCGCCCCGAAGTGCCACGTACAGGATCTGGCTACACCGCCAGCAACGTCATCGACTGCCTTGACGCGGAGTTCGATAAGGACGAGTCAGACGAGCGGTTTTACGTGAACGACTACGTCGTCTGCACCGGCGTCCTCGCTTTTGCGGATGTGGAGGTGCACGTTGCCGCTGCGCTTCGCAGAGATGCGGCGGCGTTGCGAGGTGCCGCGCTCGCCGCTATCACCTCCACGGTCAGCGAGAACAGCGCGCACCCCACCACCAACACCGCCATCTCGTCCGCTCCCCAAAATGCAGGGGACTGCACTGCAAACTCCACTGCAAAGGATCAAAAGGACGTACTTTCGAAGCCATGCACGACGTACGTGCTACTGCCTGGTAGCGAAGTCCCCCTGCGACTGGATGCGGTGCAGACGGAGGTGGGCATCGTTGGCCCGCTGCCGCCACAGACGCGATACCTGTCGGAGCGAGAAGCCCGACAGCAGTGGGGTGCGGTTGCTGGGGAGGCGGAAGAGGGAGCCGCAAGGGATGAAGGCGAACAGCACGCCCCCACCACGGAAGCAGGCCGTTCTTCACACCGACATGTGCGGCGTTCGGTGAGGGGAGCATTCGACAACCCGGCAGAAGAAGACGAGGCATTGTGTGGCGGTGGTGGCGGTGGTGATGACGATCCGACCCCCGCAGCGACGACAGCAGCATCGTTGTCTTCGGTGCCGTTGATGTGCATAAAGGGCCGGCCTCGCCTCCTTACAGACTCAAACGAGTACCTCTACTGGTGGCTCAGCGCAACAGAGACCCACCTTCGGTTGACGGCGATGGAGAGGCGCTGAGGGAAAACTCAACGTCTTTCGTCCCCCCTCCTCCTCGTCTTCGGCGAACGCGATCTCCTTCGACGTCGGAGGGCAAAGAGGACACGCACCTCCTTATTTTCATTGCTACTGCTCTTGCTCGGCATAAATATTTTCTTCTTCTTTTTCTTTTCTCTCTGTGTGTTTCCATACGTCCGCTGTTACTCTGCTGCCTAGTTGAAGTTAATCGTTGACTGATGACGTGTACATCCGTTAAAAAGGAAAACCGAAGAAATTCATACCAAAGGGGCTCTCTCCTTCCTTTTTTCCTTTTCACTGCGCTTTTAGCGACTGGACGAAGACGTGCGAGCGAATCTCCCTTCTGCCGGCAGCGAGGCGTGCATAACGCATCACTGCGAGATCGCCTTCAAAGGAAGCGAATTCCACCCCAGTAAAAAGTGGTCTGCTGTGTTCCACCAAACGAAACGGCAGAGAAGACGCGGCACACCTTTGCCATTGAATCCTCTCGTAATCTCTTTCCATTCTCCCCATACAACTCTTATTCTGCTGTGAAAACAGTTTTCTTGTGTTGCTTTGCTCGAGGGGCAAACGTCCGACTTTTTAGTTGCCTTTGCGGCGTGAAGCCCGTCGATCTTTACTGCGATTGTCATTCCTTAATCTTCTACTCTCTGTATTGGTGCTTTTATAATATCCGACGTGCACTTAACTCGTGATGAACGCGAATATGCGAACGAGCAAGCGGAAGCGCGAGCGAACCGGGTCTCTGTCTCCTCCGCCGCGCACTTCCAATGGCATCGGCGGCAGCGGCAACAACCCCGCTGCCCACAACCCTTCCCCCGCCTCATCTCCTCCTCCCTCCCCCGCCACCTTCGTCGGTCTCCTTCAGTACCGGTGCGGCAGCGACAACGCACACCAGCGGCACTCCTTTGTCATGCGACACAACTTGTTGCACATGCAGGCGCTACAAGAGGTGCTGCGCCGCACTTCGCTGGCGGAGATGCGCGACCGGGAGATCGTGGAGTGGCTGCAGGGGACGGAGCGGTGGCTACGCGAGTTCCATCAACCTTTAGCGGCCCCTGATGCGGCCTCAGGTAGCGGCCATGACGGCGGCAGCGGCGTCGCTTTCCCGTCTTCCTCTTCCGCGGCTGCTGTGGTAACGGGGGACAGCTTTTCCCGTGTCTACGGCGGTGCCCTGTCGGAGCTGCGGCTGCTGGTGATTGGGGTGCTGCACACGATGCCGTGGTGGCGAGTAGTGGAGACGGTCGCGAAGTCGCACACCGAAGTCGCGGGCCGCGGCGATGACGGGGTGGACCATGGCCGCGCGAGCTCTTCACAAGGCGGCGTAGCTCAGCGTAACGCGGGACACAATAGTAGCAGCGGTGGAGGAGGTCGGGGCCAGCGAGGCAACGTGACGAAGCAAAGAACCTTCGATGGCGTTGGTAGCGAGGCGGCTGATCGTGTCTTGGCGGCCCACCACGCTATCACCCGGTGGCATGTCCGCCTGCAGGTCGCCTTCGAGCGCGTCTGCCTCGTGCTGATCGAAAAGTCGCAGCACACGGTGCGTGGGGTGTTGGAGGTGTTGCTGAAGCCGTGCCAGCTGCGACCGCCCGTGCGGGACGGGGCTCGCCGCACCATCCCGACGGACAGCTTTATCCGTGTCTTGAACGCCGTGGCGACGCTCTACAGCTCGAGGTACGTCATTGAGCTGCTGGAGGGCTGCATTGCAGATTTCATGCCGCGGCGGCGGTGGGTGGAGCGGCGACATCACGTGGCCTGCACCGCGGTGTTGCTGTATGTGGCGTTGGAGGGCCACACCCCTGCCTACCACCCGCGGCTCGGCAACAGTCAGAGCCTGCAACGCGCGATTGAGCTGTTAAAGTCACTGCGACCCCGCGGAGAAGAGGGTGGAGGGCTTGGCGGGTCGCCGTGGCGGCTGCCGCACGCAACACTTTCTTCGTCATCCTTTGTTCCAGGCAGTGGCACGTCGGAGGACAGCGGGACCGATGTGGGCGGTGGTGGCGGTGGCGGCGGCGGCTCCTCCTCTGCCACCTCGGAGCGGCCGTCACGCCGCGGTCGACGACTGCTGCCTTCGGCGATGGAGGGCAGCGTGTTGCCGGCCGGCTACGTCAGCGCAACGCTCTTTGAAGACGCCCGCCGTGGCGGTTTGGGTCTTCGCCAGCCGGCCCTCTCCAGGCCAGGCGCCACCGCCGCGAGGACAGTGGCGGCGAGCGACACGGAGCTGAGCGATGGCACGATAGCGGGCGGTGTGTACCGTGAAAGCACTGGTGTACTGGTAACGAGGAATGGTGGCGGAGGTGGAGGGGAGGGTGGGAGTGACAGCTCCTCCACAGCGGCCTCGCAGCACGGTCACACGAAGCGCAGCAGACATGGCGGCTCTCCTCAACAGGAGCAAGACGGCTCGCACTCTACTGCAGGCGGTGTGACAGCGTTGAACATGAATGCCACCGCTGCAGCAACCAGCCTGGAGAGTCTGTTGGATGTCTCGGCCGAGCATAACAACAAGCTTTTAGCCCATCGTAACAGCATTATCCGCGTGCTGCTGAACCGACTGCTGGACATGGAGCAAACACTGGAGCCGCGAGAGGAGGAGTCCCACGTGAAGGACGCGACAGCGACGTCGATGAGTTGGGTGGCGCAGGGGTCTTTTCGCCGTGGGGCATCCTCAAGTGGTTTGGGGAGCCCGTTCGGGTATGCGCCGCCGTCTGGTCCGGCGAGTCCCTCCACTCTGGTCCCGTCCACTGTAACCACAGTCACGGACACGAACATCTGTAGAGGTGGTGGCGGTCCTTCGAAAGGCCTGCTCTTCCCAAGCGCACCGGCTGCTGCTGCGTTCGCGAGCGACACCGCGACGGCGTCTTCGTCCGCGCGTAGCAGTCCTGCGGCTCTCTCCCCTGCGGGAGTCTCGTCTTCCGGTTCGTACCTGCTTGATCCTTCACACACCCACCCACACAGGGGCGTGCCCTTTGGTGCAGGGACCCCGCTGCCGCTGGAGGAGCTCTTCAATAGCCTCTCCCTGCCCTATCTTCGTATTCTGCGCGACTGCGCAACGCTCGTGTACGGCCGACTCGCCGATGACCTTCGACGACAGCAGGTTGCCGGCTCGTGCGGCAACGCGGACTGGTGGGAGGAGATTCTGTACTTCTACCTCACGGTCGTCACGCGGGTTGAGCGGCCGGTTTACGCAGTGTACCTCGCGCCGAGTCTCGCAATGCTCAGCACCGAGGACGAGCCGGTCAACGTGCTACACAAGCTGATCACACTCGTCACAAAGGGCAGCATGCCGGTCGAGCAGCCGCGGCCGGCAGTGAGCAGCACCAACGGTGGTGTTGGTGGTGGTGCGTTTGGCCGACCCTCAGCTGCGCCGTCCGCACAGCCGGTCCGTCTGCGCATGGCACCCCCAACCGGAGGCAGCCGGCGCATGGTCACCATGGAAGAGCGACTGCGCGCCGCGCGGCACGTATTTCCTCTCTTCCGCTTCCTGCGCAGCCGGCTGGACGACGCTAGTGGCGAGGGGGTGCGACGGCGCTTGCTGAAGTGGACGGCGCAGGAGCTGCGAAGGCTAGGCGGCGCTGGTCTGACCACCTCAGCCAACAACACCAGCAACAGTAGCGTCAGCAGCAGCGGCTTTGGCGTCTACGCGCATGTCCGCAGCCGACACCTGCCGTCACGGGAGAGCCGACTGGCGCTCGTGACGTTTGCGCAGTGTGCGGCGATATCGGAGCTGATGGCGGTCGATCTTCTCCCTTCTGCGGTCCCACCCGTGAGGGCAGAGTTGGACACCTCCGCGCCGAACAGGGAGGGTGGACATTTCACTACCATGGCGGCCTCAGGGGATGCGTCCGACAGCATCGCCGCGGCGCTGCAACCGCTCCTGGCGCGTTACACTCTGCAAACCGATCACCCAGACGAGGAGGTGAGCGACGAGGCGGCCGAGCGGCGAGCAGAAGGGGCGGCGGAGGCGGAAGAGGAGAACAACGATAACGCTATGCGCGAGGAGCCCTCCGAGTCGTCGGTGTCCTCCACCTCGTCGTCCACCCCGCCACGGAAGCAACAAAGGTGCCCACGGCGAAGGCAGGGACAGGACGCGCCCGCGTCGTGCGAGGCCGCACCGCGACGGCGAATGGATCTGCGTCAGATGGAGTACGAGGGTTTCCTGCAGCCGCTGCTGATGGCCAACTGCCCATGGCAGGCGTGGCTGCGATGAAGCGGAAGAACGAAATGAAAGCTTTTGCAGCTCCGTTTCCCTCCCAGCTCCTGCTGAAGCATACGCAGATGCGTTTTCGTTCTCTTCTTTACCCTTTTCTCTTCACTCTTCCACGCACGATTACAATCATTAAAATGCACTTTTGCAGGTGATACAAAATCGGTTTAGAAAAAAGAGCACAATTTTTTCTTTCCCTGGCAGCGAATGTGCCAATTATGTATGCTGTAATGTTAGTTTTTTTTTTCTTTCATGACGCTACTTGGCGTGTTATAAGGTCTACCCTCACCGAACGACGCTGACGTTGCTTCGTCCCTTGAAGGAAGAGCGAAACAAGAATCCATTCACTCCGCAACTTTTTTTTGTTTTCCTTCTCTTGATCACTTCTCTCTCTCTCTCTTACTTGTTTGCTGGTTCTTTCAACTCCACGTGTGGTGTCGGAGAAGGGTTTCTACCTGAGTACCCGGCTTCAGTGTTCATGAGAACGGTTGTGTCGACTCATTTTCCCTTTTTTTCTGTTCTTCTTTGTTAGTTGTGTAGCGTGTTTCACTCGCTCTGGAAGCGGAAGGATAAGTCAGCAGCCACAGCAGCCACATATTACTATTGGTCTCTCAGTGTTGATAAACGTGGGACGTTCAGCAGCTCCGGTTACCCCTAAAAAGAAGAGAGAGTAAAGCCCACAAAAAACTCATTAACTTTTTTTTCTTTTCCACTGAACCTCCCGTAACGGAATATTTAATTGTGGTGTTACGCACGCAGCCGTGATCAAAGACGCTCGCTTTTAAAATTCATCTCTCTCTCTCACATACACAAGCACACAAGACCCCCCCCCCCTTCCCCGCCGCCCCCCTCCTCAAAAAAAAAAGAGAGACTGTAATCATCAAAAGGTCTGTACATCAGAGCCTAATGCATCGCATCGACAACATCAGCTCCCACCTGCAGGACAACAACTACGTCCGCGTGGAGCGACGGGGTGTGGTGGGCCTCATCCGCCTCCTCCGCACCGCCCCGCCGCGGTCGCAGGTGGGCGGCTGCGTGCTCTGTGCGCCGATGCGCGCCCAGATTCTACGTGCCCTCAAATCACTGGAGGCGGACCCGACCTGTCTCGTCATCGTCTTCGCCTCCACCAGCGACCACTTCTTCTCGAGCGGTATCAACACCGCGAACTTCGCCGATGGGTTCATCTCGCAGCCGGCGCAGCAGCCGCCTGTGCCGTCCATGTTCGAGCTGACGGCGTCCGTGGAGTCGTGCCCGAAGGTGTGCATCGCGGCCATACAGGGCAAGTGCTTCTCGTGGGGCCTGGAGCTGGCGCTGGCGGCGGACTACCGTGTGTGCGGCATCAACGCACGGTTTCGCTTTCCGGAGGTGGAGCTGGGCATTACTCCGTGCGGTGGCGGCGCGCGCCGGCTCGTCTGCCGCGTCGGCGTCCGTCACGCACTCGACATGCTGTGTTACGGCCGTCTCGTGTACGCGCGGGAGGCGCTAAAGATGGGGCTCCTCGACGCTGCCCCATGCTGCAGCCCGCAGCTGTGGGAGGCGCTGGCGCACTTTATCACCACGCACGTCGCCGCGTCGGCCACGGATGGACTGCGTACGCTCGATGACGCACGAGCCGCCAAGGCTGTTGCGCGGCAGCGCCGCCGCAGCTGTCCCGCCTACGCCCAACTCCCGTTCTTCAGCCGGGGCTGGTACGCGTGGACGGAGCATAAGCTGCGAGACTCGGTACCGCGGGCACGACGGGCCCCCTACCGCGCCATCGATGCGGTCCGCCTTGCGGTCACACACAGCTTGCTGGGCGACAAAACAATCAGCGGGAATGCGGCTGCTGCGGACACCGTCGGGACAGACGCTGCGGAGTCGAATGCCGCCTACGCCGCGGCGGAGCGACAGCTGTTTGAGGTGTGTCTTGCCTCCTCGGAAGCCCAGGCCTCGCAGCATCTTCTGCGGGCCGCGCAGCGCACCTCCCGAGCGTGGGAAAAGACGGACGCTCTCACACCCACCGCACTGCGGCCACCGGTGTCGTCCTTGCCGCCCTCGGTCGACGTGGTGGCTACCACGACGACCACCACCACCTCTGCCGCTCACGTCGACGAACGCGCCGAGGAGTGTGGTCTTGGCCTGCGCAAGGTTGCGGTGATGGGTGCCGGCAGACAGGGCGCCTCCATCGCCCTCCTGCTCTTGTGGCAACGCGACATCGAGCAAGTCGTGCTGATCGAAAGCGACGCGCAGCTGCAGGGGCAGGCCGTGCGTGCGATGGAGGCCTTCCTGCGCGGCCGCGTGGCGGCCCACCGTTTATCGCAGCACCGGTGCGAGGACATGCTACGCCGCCTGCGTGCGACGGGCGATCCAAACACTCCGTTCCCACCGCTGTTGGCAGACATGGACCTCGTGCTGGAGTGTGCCCCCGAGGTGTTGGCGCTCAAGCAGAACATCTTCGCCCACCTCGACAACATGTGCAAGCGCTCCACCATCTTCGTCAGCGTGTCGTCCTCGCAGGACGTGAATGATGTGGCGGCCGTGACGCGCAGACCGGGTCAGGTGGTAGGCATTAGTTTTTTCGGCCCGGCGGACCACTCACCCGTGGTGGAGGTGATGCGCGGGGCAGCGACGGAGGGCTGGGTCGTTGAGCGGCTGATGCGGCTGCTCTCCCAACTGAACCGGTACCCGATCGTCTCGCGCAGCGGCCACGGCTGCGTCGGCACGCGCTTGCTGCTGGCGGCGCTGTACCAGGCTTACACGATGCTCGAGGATGGATGTCTGCCGATGCAGATCGACTTCGCGCTGCAGAAGACCTTCAACTTTACGCAGGGGCTATTTGAGTTAGAGGACATCATCGGGCTGGACACCACCGCCGCGGTGCGGGCATCGATGCGGCGGGGGAGCGCTGGCAGTGTCTCCGCTGCTGCTGCGGTGGTCTCTGCAACGTTCTCCGAGGGGCAGGAGGTCCCGGTGAGGGTGCCGAGCGCCGAGGAGCTGAGCAACAACTGGTGGCTGCCGAGCCGGCCGGTGTTCGACATCCCTAACTCCATGATCGCCGTCGGGGCGGTGGGTCGCAGCACGCGAGAGGGGTGGTACACGTACGCCACCCCAGAGGAGTGCACCTTCGGCTACGCCATTCGGCACCCGATCAAGTCGTGGCTGTGGCTGCCTACTACGTCGGCGTCTCTCAAGCTGAATTCGATGGCAAGTGTTGCTGCTGCTGATGCTGCTGCAACGACGACAATGACGACGGCACACCATGCCGGCACGACGATAGGCGCGACGGCAGGTGCACAATCTCTTGCCTCATCCTGCGTCCCGCAGCGCTGCCAGCTCCCCCCGGTGAGCGTGGAGTGCGTCCGCCCGCAGCACAACTACGCTTCGGAGTACCTCACGCTGCACAGCAGCAAGCGTCACAGGTGCACGCGTCGCCCATTTCGCGATGAGGAGATCGTCGACCGCATCGTTTTTGCGATGGTGAACGAGGCGGCGAAGCTGATGGCGGACGGCGTCATTACGAGCTCGTCCGACATCGACTGCATATCCGTGTACGCCTTTGGCTTCCCGGCGTGGAGGGGCGGGCTGTGCTACTACGCCGACAGCGTCGCGGGGCTGGAGAGGGTGGTGTACAAGATGAAGGTGGTCCACCGCGCGCTTGGCTCCGCAGAGTATCCGTTCCCGTGCACCGCGTTGCAGGAGATGTTGGCGAGGAAGCAAACGTTTGCGTCGATATCCACGCAGAACGAGTGAGGGAAGGAGAGGAGGTGCATCAGGGTAGCTGCGTGGCTCTTTTTATTTCTCGTTTGATTCTCATTTTTTCGGTCTCCGTAGAACAGGTGGAGGATCAGCGTTGTGGTGTACGGTGCATAAAAACGTGTGTGTGTGTGTGTGTGTGTGTCTTGAAGGCGGGTTGAGTAAGTTGAAGTTGTCTGGGTGTGGCTTTTAAAAGAAGAACACGTTTGAGCTCACTGTTGCGTAGCGAAGACGCAAAACTCGTCTTAAGAATTAAAAAATAAACATGTTATTATTTCAAAGCCTGCGGTGGAACACACGCACGCACCCCTACAAAGAAGTGTCTTTCAACTTCGCATCATTTGGCGCGGGGTGAATGGATAAATGGCTTCACGAATCTATGTTATGTGAAAGAAGGTGCTTCATGACTTCTAGACCGGTCCTTTCCTTTTGCGCTGCATTGTGGTTCCTGCTCCTCCTTGATGTACGTCTCTCGTGATATCGTGGCCTTCATTATTCATTGTCCGATTTTCAGCCTCCTCTTCCTTGTTTCCAAAGCAAAGAAGAAAGAAAAGGTATCAACAACGACGATATCATCAACATCGTAATCATTCGCGTCTCTCTCTCTCGATATATATGCAATAAGCGTATTACACCCGTCGTTGCAGTAACAGCGTTCGGCGTAAATTCTCGGCCTGTACGTCCTTGTCCGCAGCGCGCACGGGAGGTGTGAATATCCCTTCTCGGAGTATTCATGGATTGAATACTATTGTTAATATTATCATTGCTCGTTTTGATTATTTATCTACGTAATAGTAAAAGAAGATGTTCCGATCGTCTCGCCTCGCTCGTGGCGTGGTGGAGACCGTCACGCGTGAGAACCTCACCGTGTCGCGGCTCACCAGTGGGCTGCGGGTGATTACCTGCGATGACGGCAACGGCATCACCGGGATGGGCTTGTTTTCCCTTATCGGCCCCAAGTTTGAGGAAGCGGGCAGCTTTGGCGCCTCTGCCGTGCTGGAGTCGCTACCGCTGCGGAGCAACGAAAAGATGAGCAACACGGAGATCAGCCAAAGTCTCGGCATCTTAGGAAACGCCTACAAGGTCACCAACAACCGCGAGGCCATGTCCGTCATGCTCATGCTGCCCCGCTACCACCAAAGGGAAGGGCTGGACCTCCTGAACGGCATGTGGCTGCACCCGACGCAGAGCAAGGAGGAGTTCGCGATAGCAAAGGAGCAGACGATGCAGCGGGGGTCATTGCTCAGTCGTGACGCGACGAGCATGCTGTTTGAGATGGTGCATAAGGCCGGTTGGGGCGGCCGCGGCCTGGGCAACCCGCTCTGTCCCTCAGAGCAACAGCTAGAGCAGCTGAGCCTCGAGTCTTTCCACAGCTTTCACAAGCACTACACACGTCCGGAGCGCAGCGTGCTGGCGGCCACCGGCGTGGCGGACCACAAAGCCTTTGCGCTAGAAGCGGAGTCCCGCTTGCAGTTTGATGAAGCTGGTGCTGCGGACAGCAAATGCGCGACGCCGTCCCTCGTGGCGCCGTACACGGGTGGCTGCGAGTACGTGCAGAACACCACCGCCCCGGAGTCGATGAACAAGTTCCAGGAGAAGAACCTGAGCCACATGGGGATGTTTTTTCAGGGTATTCCGATGGCGCACCCCGACTACTACACCTTTTCCGTGATCCAGACGCTGCTGGGCGGTGGCACGTCGTTTAGCTCCGGTGGGCCGGGGAAGGGCATGCACACGAAGCTCTTCCGCGAAGTGTTGAATCGCGAGCCGAACCTGCACGGCATGGAATGCATCACCGCGTGGTACAGCGATGGCGGCCTGCTCGGGCTCTACGGGTCTGCGCCGCATGAGAACGTGAAGAAGCTGCTGCAGATCATGATCTATCAAGGCTCCTCGATCAGCCAGCGGGTGACCGCGGATCACCTGGAGATGGCAAAGAACCAACTCAGCTCGCAGCTGATTTTGCTGGGCGAGGGCCGCGAGCAGCTGTTGAATGACATGGGCTTCAACCTGCTCGTGCACAACCACACCATCACCCCACAGGAGACGATCCGCGGCAGCGCTCAGGTGACGATGGAGGGTCTGCGGCACGTCTGCTCGCAGCTCATCGAGCGCCCGGTCACGTTTGCCGTGTATGGAGAGACGAAAGAGATGCCGGAGTACAGTCAGCTGACGGAGGCGTTGAAGAAGTCGTACACCTCCTTCAACAAGAAGTGAGCGTTGTTGGCATTAATCGTAATCATAAAAAAAAAACAAGAGAAACATGTTCTTTCTCCTGTATGCGTGTGCTACATCTTTGCGGTCTTTTTCTTTTCTTTTCCTTTCGTTCTACTCACAGACAAGGAGCACCGCTCCTTTGGCATTTAATTGTTATTGCTGTGTAGGTTGACTACTTGAGAGGTACGTTCTTTTTTGGTTTCGTTTATAGGAAGGGAGCGAAGTGGTATCTTTGGCACCGCTTCTCTTTTCGTTCTCGCCTGTGCGGGAGGGCGTATCGTGACATCTGTCGCCAGCATCACTCGACGCGAGAAGAACACGCGGCAGTGCTCCGTCTGGAACTTTAGGTGATTGCGTCCGATTCGCGTATTAACGGGAGAAGAACACTCCGGTGCAGGTTGTTATCGCTTTAAATCTTTTTGTATAAGACGAACTCTAGAAGAAGAAAAACAATACAATGATTCGACTTTAAGAAAACACTTGAGGGAAGTAGTGTGCAACGTTGCATCCCACAGCTGATGGCACGAGATGGGCGGTGGTGGTGCCCTGCGGAGGTGCACAACACCGGCTGCAGGAAGCGCACCTCACACGATGTTGAGGCAGCGGATTTGACCGCCAGTTGTATGTCGTGGTATTTGTAACCATTTTTCGATTTCCGTTTATGATTCTTCTCTTTCCCCCCTCCCCCTTGATTCTCTCCCTCTCGATACCTTCCGTGATGTGATGTTTCTCATTTACAATACTGCTAACGTACAGAAGGAAAAAAACATACTTCTGACATAACAGAGAAAGGAAGGGTGTCTTTATTGACCTTTACAACGTCTCGGGGGGACCTATTCTCGTAACGCGCTTCAGCGTCTTCACACCAGCGGAGATTTTTAAACCTCGTACAACACTCGCAGGCGCACCTATTCATATCCAAGACGGCTCACCTGGCTGCAACGCAGTCTGCGCGTTCTCACACACATACATACACAAAAACTAAACTCGTACCGCCTTTTTCCTTTACTACCTCGACAAAAGACTGTAGCAATACACCAATAAAAAAAATACGCTGAGTGTGCTGCTTCTGTTCTTATCCGTTAAATCTTGTCTGAATCAATTCTCTTCTTCTTTTTTTGCTTGTTTGTTTTGTCCCTTGTCCTGCGCTAGCCGCGTCGTCATACATCTACGGGAGGTCCATCCAACCACCCCTTTATCTCCTATTTTTGTTTGTTTTAGTCAATTCGGAGGAAGCGATCCGATATACGCCCACTGCTGTACTTGAAAGGACGAACCACGCACATACACACTCACTCAGAGACATCCAAACGGCGGTGCTCTCTACACATAAATATATATATCTACTAACCTTACAGAGAAAAAAGCTGCAAGGACAATGAGTCAGCTGTACACAGCGTTGGTGAATGAGACGGTGGTGGAGGCGGTGCAGGTGGCACTGGATAACTACGCCGCAGCGCATCGCACCGGCCCAGAGGTCAGCACGCTGCCTGGCGTGGTGACGTCCGCAGAAGAAGACGTCATTCGCAGGGCCGTGCTCGTGGGATTTCAGAGCCTGCGTCATGTGCAGAGTACCATCACAACTGCAAACCAAAATACGCTGAACAACGGTGTCGCCGTGAATGACGACGCGCAGGCGCTGCATACGGCGAGGGCCGGCGCGGCTGCGTCGCTGCAGGAGGCGCTGTCGTGTCTCATGCACAACGCTACCGCCATGCAGGATGTGGTGCAGCAGGTTGCCATGTGCATTCGTGCGCACCTTGGCGACAACCACCGGCCCGGCACGCACGACGCGGAGACAGTGGCGTCCATCTATCAAGCGGCACCAGAAGTAACGCAGGTACTGGAGGCTGCCATGGAGCAGCAGCTGGCGTGGAGGGAAAGTGAAGCAGCTGCGGAACGCGGTGCTGCTGAAGCATCGTACTCTTCCATTGTGTCGCACCACCTCAGCGCCGTCTCCGCTGCGCAGTGGATGTGGCTCGCCGCAACGCTCGTGATGGGTTACCTCGTCGTGCGGCTCCTCTTCGGTCGGGTGCTGGGCCTCGGCGACGCGCTCAGCCGCCGCCGTCGCCGCCGCCGCACGACGGTGCTGATTGGCCTCCCCGGCAGCGGCAAAACGGCACTGTTTGGGCAGCTCGTGCGCCGGATGCAGCTGCGCGAGACGCGGACGAGTATGCGGGAGAACGTCGGCTCGTTGCTGGTAGCGACGGAGCGGGGGATGCCGGCGACGGCGCCGGGTGTGCGTATTGTGGACTGCCCCGGACACCCGCGCTTGCGGGAGCGTATGCTGACTGCGGTGGGCGAGGCGGTAAACGTTGTCGTCGTGATCGATGCTGTGACGGTGCAGGACAGCCAGCACGAGGGCGTCGCCGCACTGGCGGAGCTCCTGCTCGGTGTGCTGCAATCGCCGGAGTTCTACGGTGTGCACAAATTGCTGTTTGCGTGCACGAAGCGGGACGAGGTCACGAGCTACGCGGCGAAGGCGGTACGGAAGTTGTTAGAGGCCGCGATGGTGGCCTCGATCGCGTCACGGCAGAACGCGATGGGCCGCGTGGAGAGTGTGCGGGACAGCAATAACACGGTGATCTCGAGCAAGAGGGGCAAGTTGGGTGGCGGTAGTGGTCGTCGGTATGTGCTGTCGGTGGAAGGTGGCGACGGCAGTGGCGGTGGTGCATGCGCAGGGGCAGCGCGCGATGTCACGCGTGGTCACCTACGTGGTGCCACAGCAGCGGCGGTAAGCGCTGCGGGTGCCCGCGGTGTTGGTGGGAAGAGGTTTTCGTTTGAGCAGCTGGGCATTCCGCTTGCCTTTGTTGATGTGAGCAGCCGCCCGCACCCGACAGAGCACAAGTACTCGGTGTCGCCGATTGAAGAGTTTATTCTCGAGGGATGAGGACGACGCTTCTCTTTGCCTCTGCTTCGATTGGTTCGTCTTTTCATTTTTTCCGCCTCTATTGCGCGTGTGTGTGCGTGTGCGCATGCCGTTACAAGCACATTTGCTATCGAACACTTCTGTTTCATTAATACAATAATAATAATACTATATATATATGCCTCCGTTTTTCTTGATGTGGAAAGAGACAAGTATACCGGATTGGTGTTGTTGTGCTGCCATTCCCGTTAGATGCACGACCGACATGTAACCAAACAGCAGCACAGGAAACATGCGCAACGCAGTTCCCACTGAATGTACCTGCCTTTCTCTTGTGCTTTCGGTGTTTGTCGGTAGGCCTTTATTTGATTCGCCTTGTATGTGTTTATGATCTCATGCCGCATCTCGCACATTCATTTCTTTGTGAACAATAATAGTAGTAATAAAATGCCTTCTCTTCCGTTTAACCGTGTCTCTCCACCGCCCTCCTGCACACGATTGCAGTTATCTTTTCGTATACATTTTCTCTTAGCTTTCATTCCTCTAGGTCTAAGTTATACACCCCAATAACAGGCACAGAGACTGCGACACGATGCATGCTGCGTCTGACGCGTCCAAGGCATCGCGGACGACGCGGTCCACCGTCGGCGTCAGCAACTCGACCGCCGGCTGCCTTCACACCTCCTCCGCCTCTCGTTATTCGGTACGCAATAAAAGCCACATGACGTCGTCCACGCGTGGCAGCGGCGGCACGGCAGCCGCACGCGACGAGGCGAAGCGGCGCCTGCAGGACCTGAAGGGCGAGTTGGAGGGCGCCGTGCACGTGTTGGATGGTGGTGTAAACCGCACGCCGCTGCCCCTGCAGCAGCATCAGAGTCTTGTTGGTGGTCTGGCGTACGAATCCCAAGGTGGCCCCACGCGACTGGACATGACGCAGGACTCCAGCACTGCCGCCGCCCTGATGAACGCCGAGATCGGCGCCTCGTTTCTGCAGTCGTCATTCATGCTGGGCTCGAGCATGCGGAACAACGCCCGAAAGCAGTCGTCCGTCAGCGCTGAAGCGGAGAGCTCGATCACCGGCATCATCGGTGTTGGCGGCGGCGGCGGACAACGCAGTCGTCGCGGCGGGGACAGCAGCTCGAAAAGCATGGAGTCCAGCACGTACTCCTTATCTTTCGCGAACGACCGTCGTCTGACGGAGCAGTCGTCGTCGGTGATCGACAGCAGCGCCTTCCGGACCAACAACACCGGCGGTGGTGGCTCCTCGGTGCTGCACCGGGGTAGCAGCACCTCGAACCAGATTCCACACCTCGTGCAGCAGAACACGCTGTTGTCGGAGGCCGCGTATGTGCAACCGGCGCCGCTGTCGGAGGAGAAGAAGGCGGCGTGGCGCAAGGCGATCACGACGATAACGTTGACCGAAACGCCCACAATCTTCTTGTACAACCACCACGACGAAGCCGTGTCGAAGGAGGACGTCGAGGAGGTGGCGGCGGTGAAGGCACGCAACAAAGCCTACGCCGGGGTGGAGGAGGCCTATCGCACCGATGAGGGCACGCGCTTTCACAGCACCGGCGTCGCCACGATGCGGGCCCCGTTGAAGTCGATTCAAACCGAGGTGCACCCGCCGGCGAAGAAGGACAGCGGTGGTCTGCAGGTGACGACGTGGATGCTGAAGGATGCGTACGAGGCGGCGCTGGAGGGCATGAACGGCGGTGACGACGACGAGAACGATGATGCGCAGCAGCAAAAGGAGGCGGCGGCGGCCGGCAGCGGCGGCGGCGACGTCGACGATGTTCTGCGTGAGGACGGTGGCGGCGATGAGGGGGCTGATTTCGAGGTGGACGACGACGCGAACAGCGAGGAGGCGCAGTCCACAGTGTTGTCGTCCGACGAGGCGACGACGAACACGCCATCGACAGCGGCAGATGGGACGGCCAACGCTAAGACGGGCCTGGGCTTGTCGAAGCAGTGGATGCTCGCCGACACCGTGTTGTCCACGCTGCGCGTGATGGAGCGGGCGGTGGTGCAGAACTACATGGAGGCTGCCCAGCTCGCCTACCGCGGCATCGAGGTGGACCCGGCCAGTAGGCGCGTGCAGGGGAAAGCGAGCAGCGGCAACAATCAGAACAGCAGCGGCAGAGGCGGCCGCGCTGCGGCGGCAAAGGGCGGAGCGGCGGCTCCCCCTCCGCTGCCGCCGTCGCCGGCCACCGCGCAAAAGCCGTTGCCTCCGCTCTCCGCCGATGCTGCGGCCGGCGCGACGAAAGACACGAGGGACCTCGTGTCTGCTCCACAACAACTCGTGCCGCGCGGTGAGCGTGACAGTAAGCCAGACGCCGGGGCTGACGGCACGAGTGGGGGCGCCGCGACGGCGCCGACGATAGTTCCTGGGTTCACCGTGGCGTTGCGGATGAGCGAGGACGTGCGCTTCCTCTGGCGCTTCGGCTCGGGCCAGCTGACACGCAACCGCGGGGTTGCCTGCATGACGTGGAACCGTCGGGAGCTGGACATGCTGGCCGTTGGCTACACGGCGTGCCGCACCTCCGGCGCGCGTGCGAACCAACGCAAGAGCAATGGCGCTGCCCCGCCTTCTTCGCAAAGTGCGGATCCGATCGACCTGGATGTGAATGATGGCGGTATGGTGCTGAAGCGGTCCATGGGTCAGGAGGCGAAGGGCATGATCTGCTGCTGGTCGCTGAAGAACCCTCTCGCACCGGAGCTCATCCTCTTCCTTTGTCACGAGGCGGACGTCACGGCCTTGGCCTTTTCAAGTGAGCGGCCGAGTTTGCTGGCGGTGGGCAGCAGCGCTGGTGAGATCGTTGTGTACGACATCCAACGGGATGTGGTCTACCCTTCCATTGCCCCGGCCGCCGGCGCCACTGCAGGGCAGCACACGGGCGCCATCTGGGAGCTGCAGTGGGTCCCAAAGGGAAAGGAGCACGGTGAGTTTCTCACTTCCATTTCGGCTGATGGACGGGTTGTGCAGTGGGCGGTGGGGAAGTCGATCGAGCGAGTTGCGCCGGACTTGATGCACCTGCAGCGTCAGCCGGGGACGCAGGTGGAGCAGGCTTTCGTGGACGGCGTGGCGGAGGCAGAGGCGGTGGCGGCGGCGGCGGACTCTGCGGTGGCGGCGGCGGGCGGGGGGAAGGGACGCGGGAAGCTGCGCCCGAGCCCGCCGCCGACGCAGGGCACGACAGGGAATCCAACGAGCTCCAGCGGGGGACGGACGAATGGCAGCCGAGGCAACGGTGGCGGGAATAAAGACGCGGGCGGTGGCGGCGTTGCCGGCGATGAGGCGGTGCTGTCGCGTCAGTGTGGCGGCATGTGCTTTGATGTCTGCCCGATTGACACGGCCATTTACGTGGTGGGCACCGAGGACGGCTCTGTGTTGCAGTGCAGCAAGAGCCAGACAGAGAACTACGACTTCGAGTACGAGTCCCACGCGGAGCTCGTCTACCGGGTGCGGTGGTCGCCGTACAGTGCGGCGTACTTCCTGACCTGCTCCGCTGACTGGACGTCGCGCCTCTACAAGGTCGGCACGAGCAAGGCCCAGCTCCGCTTTAACAGCGTGCGCCAGGACGCGGTGCAGGACGTGGCGTGGTCGCCCACAAACGCGCTCATCTTCGCCACGGCCACGGCGCAAGGCAGTGCGGAGGTGTGGACGGTGGCGGATGTGATGTACCCACGCGACAGCATCGAGTTTGAAGATCACCGCCACCTCAGTGCAATTCTCTTCGCGGAGCAGGAGACGCCGGTGCTCGTGGTGGGGGATGAGGAGGGCGATGTAACGGTGTTCTTGTTGGAGGGTGCGTGCTACACACGACAGGATTTGACCGATGATGAGCAGGAAGTGTGGATGGACGAGACGGTGCGGAAGCAGCTCACCTAAGAAAGAGCGGGTAAGAGATGGCGCGTTGCAGCCTAAATTGCTGTACTCTTTTTTCTGAGCATACGGTTTTTGTTTTAACATCTCTGCGTGCTTGTGAAGTAGAAGATCTGGTGCTTGAAATGGGGATATCTGTAGTTGCACCTATCAATCTATTAGAATGCGCGGTTTTGTTTGTGTGTGTGTGTGTGTGTCGACACCGATGTAAACAGAGTTTTGTTGTTTGTTTGTTATATTAATATACATGTATGTATAATGCCCCTTCCGCCATTAGAACACGGTGTAACGAATCGAGGCGAAGCAGTTTTGTGACGAACACATTTGAGAAAAGAATCGGCGACGCAGCAGGTTGTTTTTATTATTATTATTCTCTTTCTTCTTGTTTCGGGAATGTGATGTACTCTAGCTCAACCAACAAAAAGAATTATCAACAGCGCGCAGTTCTGCAAATCAGCAGTGGGTTAGCCGGCGTCATTTTGTTCGTTGTGAAGGAGTTCGAAATTGTCCAAACGGGTGAAGGCAACCGTTTAGTACGAAGATAACAACGTCGTTCTCTCCCTCTCCCACAGCAAGAGCAACGACGAAGAGAATTTCCCCTTCACAAGACGCTCGAATTGCCAAAACTCTTTTGACCCCCCCCCCCCCCGCCAAGCCTCATGTAGAAAAGAAAGGCATTCAAAACAAAGTCAGGATGAGTTTCTTAGAGCTTTGCATCAACCCGAATTTCACGCCTGCTTCTCCATTCACAACATCTCCTTCGACTTTCAATTCCCCCTCCCCCCACTTTCTGTGTGCCGCTCGCAAAACCTATCGTAAAGGCCGCTTTGGGCTGCCCCTCGGGAAGAACAGTACGGAAAAAGCAAGCAAGACAGCCTGTGCTATTGGAAGCAATTCACCTGCGAACTTGCGTATTTCCTTTTTGTTTTTGTTGTTTTTAAGAGAGGAAGGTATTCAGCCGCATCCACTCCAGACACCCCTTCTCGTCGGTTTCTTCTCATTTGTTATCTTGGCTTGGCATGCGACGGCGATGGACCCTCTTTTAGCGCCAGCACAGCCGCAATCCGACGCCCCTGCGGCGCCGGCCGACACGTCTTTCCCGCCGGTGGAGCCGAACGACACCACCGAGTCGCCGCAGCCCCCCTCGCCCACGAACGCCACAAACGCACCCGACGTGCAAACGGCCGGCGGAGACGACCAGCAGGACTTGGCGGAAGACGTTGCGGAGCAGCCGGAGGCGGCCGTCACGCCTGCTCCGCAGTCCCCCACCGACGCGCCCAAATCTGCGAGTGCGGGTGTAGTGGCGAAGCGACTGAGCCGCAGTGGCCGGCAGGTGATTCTTGACGCCAGCAGTCGCGTCGACCCGCTCTCCAACCGCTCCGCTGCGGCCATGGGCACCCACAATGGCATGGTCGCTGCTGTCTCCTTAAACGCCCAGTACAAAACGATCCCAGAGGAGCACGCCGAGTTTCGCGCAAAGAACAGAATTCGCTCCAGCTACCGTGGCCCGGTGTACACGGTGGAGGATGTCTGTGTGCTGTGCCACGCCTGTGGTGGCCCTGTGGACCCGGTGCGGCGCGTACCTGTCGGGTCCTTGTTTTTCCATGAGAACTGCCTCCAATGCTATCTCTGCGGTCGACGACAAGGGACGGCGGGGCTGTACATGCAGGTGGACCGACAGGCGGTCTGCTGTACGTGCGCGGCCCGCGGGTACGAGCGGTGGGTGCCGCGGCAGGAGGCGCAGTCACGAGGCATGATTTTTGGAGCCATTCAGGGCGATGTGTATGAGGCGATGGACGCCCACGATCGGGGCGAGCGCGGTCTTCCACGGCTGCCGGCGTCTCCGCCTCCCGCTCACGGCCTCGCTGCGGTGCCGCGCACGTCGGTTGCGACAGGCCCGGTGGTGGCCGGCTCAACGCTGAACCGCCCGACTGTGCCCGGCGCGCTGCCGCCCTCGCTGACGATTCGCCCAGTCCACACCGCCCGCAACACGGGGCGACGCTCCTTTGCGTTGATGGAGCGCCAGCAGTATTACACGCAGAGCGATAATAATCTGTTGCTGCGCGCATCGGAAGCAAGCGTGAAGACGAGCAGTGGGACGAGGCGGGCTAGTAAACTAGTGAAGGGGAAGCGCGCCGAGGGTTCTCCGGAGAAGCAACGCATTACCGCCTCCGATGATAGCTTGTGAGTTGCTTCGTGAGGGGTAGCAGGAAAATGAAATAGTAAAGCGAGTGAGGTGGCAAGCTGGACGCTTCGGAGAGGTGCCATTTGCTTACGTTTTACTTCAATGCTACTCACGCCTTCCATTTCGTACGCTTATGTGGTGTGAACGGCCGCGTCGCGGGCGTTGTGTTCTTGTTGGTCTCCCTGTTCTTATTTTTTTTCTAATAAGTTTTGGCAATGCATCTATCCATGTAAATTAGACATCGCAGCTTTCTTTGGTCGTGGCGAACTACTCGCTGTTTTCGCGTTGTCGCAAAGGCGTGTATGTGCGTGTGTGTGTGTGTGTGTGTGTGTGGGCAATCGGTGATGGCGACGATGGCAGCCATTTTCCTCGCGCAATCGACGCACCACATGAAGTTTGTGTTTCGCTACGTTGTATTTCTCTCTCTTCTGCATTTGTGCGTGTATCTGCCGTGTTATGTACAGCGGTTGTCCCTTTCTTTTCGTTCTTGCGACTTTTGTGCTCTGCTGCATTGACAAGAGTGCCTTGAACAAAAAAATGAAGCACCACAAATAAAAACCCCGCAAGGCGTAAGGGGAGGGCGTTGAACACGCGGCTCCCTTCTCAACAAAGCCAAACACACCGCACCTTACTTTGCGATAAATGGAGAGGTTTAAAGACTCTCGCTGCGTTTCCTGGCAGTGCAACCATTTTTTTTTGTAAGGAAGAGAATCAACAAGCAACCCACGCATCGACCTGCTTGGGGATGGAAGACACCTACGTTGCCGACACCCTTATTCGTTCTGCTTCTTGGCGTGTAATACGCCGCGTCGAGGCTCTCGCTCTCTCTTGATTTCGCTCCCAACCTCTCCCTTCTGTTTTGTTTTTGTTTTCTTCTGTTAAACTTTACTTTTCGTAGGAACCTCCCTCATACACATAGGAAGAAAAAGGACAGCAACTACAACAACAAACCCCTTTTTTTTAGCCTCGGCTTGCTTCATAATTGTATCGAAATGGCTGCATCTGCGACTCTTCATCTCCATAACGTCATTGGCGGCAACGTAAAGCAGGCGAGGTTTGACCGCCAGCTGCGCCTCTGGGGGACAGATGGGCAGGCGGCGCTGGAGGCCGCCCACGTCGTCGCCGTTGGTGCCACACCCGCCATCGCAGAGGCGTTGAAGTCGCTGGTCCTGACGGGTGTGACGACCGTCACGTTGGTGGATGAGCGCACGGTGACGGCGGAGGACCCGGCGACGAACTACTTCGTGCCCGCCGCATCAGTGGGAAATTCACTCGCCACGGCCGTGCTGACAAGCGTGTGCGCATTAGGGGAGCAGTGCACCGGCATATCCGCCGCGGTGGCGCCGGAAGCGTGGGTGAATGCGTATGTTGGAGCGGTGGAACAGGACTGGCAAGCGGGCAGTCTGCACAGCGCTGTTTCAAGCGCAGAGATGAAAGCACCTCTTTTCTGCGAACCGTCCGGCACCCTGGACGAAGAAATGACCGAGGACGTGTCCGCGTTGCGGAAGTTTGTGCAGCGTTTCCCTGTTGTTGTGGCAGGCGACGTGTCCGCGTCTTCTTCTTCTTCGCTCGTGCAAATCCCGTCGCCGTCGCTGATCCTAGTGAGCGAGCGTTACACCGACCTCTCGCCCACCTCCTCGCTCGTTCAAACGTGTCTCCACCGATGCTACCCGGATGTCCCTGTTGTACTGGTGCGTAGCAGCGGGCTACTCGGGTTTCTGCAGGTGTACTGCCCGCCGCGCGTCATTATCAGCCCGCACAACCCGACGCAGGTCAAGATGGACGATCTGCGCATCTTTCAGCCGTTTCCGGCCTTGAAAGCGTGGTTCGACGCGCATAACCCCGACGATGGCACGCAGTTCCCGACGGGCGACGTGGATGCTATGTCCCTGCACAGCCATTTGCCGTACCCCTGCATCTTGTATCACGCGTTTCGTCGGTGGTGGTCATTCTTATCGGCGAAGGAGCAGACCGAGCTGCAGTGCCACACATCCTGCGCTGCTTCTTCGTCGCCTTCGCTTTTCCCGTTGTCATCGAAGAGCTATCACGACATCGCGAACGTCACGGCTGGGTTGATACGCCGTCAGTCTCCGCCCGAGGAGGCGTTTCTGGAGGCGATGGAAAAGTGTACGGCCAAGCTGAACAGACCCGTGGTGCAGCAGCTGCCAGAGGGGCTTCACACGCTTTTCAACGACCCGCACTGTGCGGATCCGCTGCTGGCGGTAGCCGAGGTGCAGGCGCGGCTTTTCCCTGTCGCGCAAGCGGACGGCACATCCGCCGTGCCACTGACAGCCGCATCGGCGTTGTTGTTGCAACTGTGGACGCGTCCGGAGGTGCTGGTGTGGTTTGTACTCCGCGCCGTGCAGCTCTTCGTGCATGGTGAGATCGGGTGTGGAGAGCAGTCCGTGGAATCTGCCGAGCCTTCCAATCATGGCAACGAGGAGGCTCCGTTAAGGGCGACCCCGCTGCCTCCCTCTTCATTTTCTCCCTACACGCTTCCCTTCTCTGGGTATTTGCCAGATTTTACGACGACGACGATGTGGTACCGCGAGCTGCAGGACATTTATCATGCGAAGCACCAGGAGGATGTGGCGTGCATAGCGGATGCAGCGTGGGGGATGGTGCTGCAGGCTGTGGAGGCAACAATAGCAGGCACAGACGACGAAGTAGACAGTACTAAGACACCACCGCCGGTGCTGTTGCATGAGCAGTTGAGCCGCGCAGTGCGGCCACTCCTCATCAAGCTCACCAGCACGATGGTGACCAACATCTGGGATCTGCGATCAGTTGCGTTCTCGGTGGACTACCTGGCGACAGAGGAGTCGGCATGGCGGCAGCGTCTGGGTCGTCGACTCCTATGGATTACGCATCACATCGTCTATGACATGGAGGGTAACGCAAGCGCACGCCGTGCCGCGTGTATGGCGGTTGCTTACTTGTGCAAGGAGGAGCTCCAGCGATCCGCCGCCGCCGAGCATCGTGTGACGGGGCAGGAGATTGCAGCGGAGGCGGGGCACCTCGCCTTGTTGGCAAACACGTCGAATCCAGAGGCAGAGAACGCAGCAACCGCGACGACGGGGTCCGCTGAGGGTTCTCGGGCCTGGTTGGTGGAGAATGCAACGACGGACACGCTCTTTGCAAAGGCGTGTGAGGAGGTGGCGCGTTGGAACGGGAACGGCGCTGGGGCGAGCGTGCAGCTGCCCTCCGTTGCTGCGTCCACCGGCGCGTTAGCAGCGCAGGAGGCGGTGAAGCTGATCATGCGCATTCGCGTACCGTGTGGGCGGCCAATGATGTACGACGGCTACACAAACAAAATCTACACCTTGTGATCGCCAGTGAGCGCCAGGGAGCGTTTCATAAATGGTAACGTAGCACTTCCTTTTTTTTTCTGAGACAATTGTTTTACTGCGGCTTGGATCTCTGCTCATTGTTCAAGTCATGCGTGTTGTTCTCTGGAGCATGCGCATCCGTCAGTTGGAAGCAAACATCTACCTATACGTACTCCTGTTTAAAATCTCCGCATGGAAAGAAGGGCGAAAGTTTTACCCGGTGTGTGCATTGCAGCAGCGAGCGCAGATTTTCGTCTTCGTTGAGGAGGGATAGGATCTTTTAAAAAGAAAAAACGCTAGCAACAGTGGTGCGGTGTATTCCTCACGAACACTCGCACTTTAGCGCGAAGACGGAACTCCTCGTTACTTTCATGCTCTGTTTTTCTCTACTACTTCCTTTTTCCAACTTGCAAACGTGATCTACTGAACGCGGAACACACGAATGCGCACATGCACACACGTGCGTAACCCATCCATTGCACATGAACGGTGATTTACTTTCGCATTTTCGCACCTCAATGCTGTGGTGCTCCGTAGTATGTAGGCTTTCTCAGTATTCTGTTTACACCTTTCAAGTCCGCCTTTTTCTCTCTTTCTGTTTGGGTGGATGCGCGTTTAGGGCGTAGGTCCAAGTCAGCAATCTTTTCCCGCGCACAGAAGGACGAAGCATCCCCGCAGTGTCTTATGTCATCTCGCATTGCGCTCCCCCTGCGCTTTGTGCGGTGTGATTTGGGCACCGCAGGCCCTTCCGCAATCTCCACCTCGTCCCGCACTCAGGTGCTCACACCGTACAAACCGTGCGGACTTCCGTGCTACGCAGCTTCGCAGGTGAGCGCCGTGGCGAGCGTTGAGGCTGATCGTGGTGCCTCCTCCAGCAGCAACAGCGGGGCAGATGGCCGCCGACTCTTTGCTGTTCACACGCGCCTCTCTGCGGCCACCAGCGCCGCGTCATTTGAAGCAAGCGCGCAGCCCCGACCGGAGGACCCGAGCGACTCGCTGCTGTCGCGTGTGATCGACTCGTCGTTGCCGGGGTGCCGTCCGTACGTTGCCTTGCCGGTGCTCTCCTCGTTGCTCCGTCGTGGTGGGATCAGTGGCCGCACCGCTATTCCCGCTGCCCTCTTAAACCAATGGACTAGCCGGCACAAAGGACTTGTCCTCGTCACCCACACTCCGAGCGAGGCGTTGTTTCTCCGAAACGCGGCGCAGCTGGATTTGGTGCAACAGACCTTTCGGGTGGTGTGCCGCCTGCCAGCCGGCGTTGCCTCCGCCGCGCGCCACTATCTACACGCTCGTCAAAGGCAGTCGAATGATCTGGGAGCGGGCACTGCCGGGGCGGCGGCGGCTGTGCTAAATCCATACCTCCGGGCGCACACGGAGCGGCAGCGCGAGGCCTTGAGTGTGGCAGATCTCACGTACGGTATTCCCTTGACGCAGGTCGCAGCAACAGCAGCAGCGGCGGTAACACAACGGGGTGCGACGACGGACTTTGCAAGCGTGGGGCGGCTCCCGGCCGGTGTCCGTCCGCATCCTCTCGTGAGCGGCGGCTTCTTCGATGTCGCGCGTGGGCTGCTGCGCGTTCAGGGCACGATAAAGTGCGTGCTGCGCGTACAGACACCGCTGCACGCTGCCTCCCAACACAAGATCGAACAGTTCGCTCGACTGCAGAGCCTCTTTACTGCCCCGGCTCGGCAGAAGGAAGGAGGTGCGACACAACCCACCTTCACAACAGCAGTACATGACGAATTAAAAGTAGCGAGCATACCTTCGCACCCGTGGTTGAGGCCGGAGTGGCAGATCGGTGTTTCCCTGGACGCACCTAACATGCAATCCGCGGCCTTTGCCAATGTGAGTGACGATGACGACCATCCACATCGTTCGTTGCCGGCTCCGCGCGGCAAGTCCCTCGCCTTCGATTTTCGTCTCGTTTCTCTCTCCACTGCGAGGAAGGGCGACACGGCGCTGTACGAAGTGCACACCCGCGGTGACGTGACGGCAGACGAGGTAGCGGCGGTCTTTCAGGCGGAGGGCCTCTCCGTCTTAAACGATTACGTGCAGGACGTGTCCCTAGCAAACGTCGTGGCGGAGGTGGCGCAGCGCATGCGTGCAGCCCCACCCGGCCTACTGGCGTCGTTGCCGATGGGCGTGCAGCATTACCTGCGCTCCGCCTCGGCAGAGGAGCTTGTCGCGCTGCCGCTGACGCTGGTGCCGCTGGAGGATGCAGACCGGCTCTGCATCCAACAGGCGTTGAAAAGCAGGCGCAGCTCCAATGCTGCTGCCTCTTCGGCGCTGTTGCCAGGGCAGCCTCTGCCGCACCTCGCGGAGTCGGATGACCTGGAGCGCATGCAGCACTACGTTCAGTCCCTCTCGGGCGGGATCGATACCCGTCATCCGCTGCAACGCCTGCTGTGGCACGCCATCGGCACCTTCCACCTGTCCAACGCGGAGGAAAGGAACGCCTACGCGCGCGTGCTCAGCCTGACCCTCGGCAGCGGCATCGAGTGTACGAGCCTCACCTTCCCGGACCCCTCCCTCCCTGCCACAGTGAAGGCGATGCAGCACATATGGCTCACGTATGAGCAGCAGCGTCAGCGCCATGCGTCGCCAGCTGCGGCGGCGCGTGCCACTCGTCAGCACCCGCTAGCGGCAGAACTGCACTATGTGCGACGCAACGTGTTGGATGACGCGACGGGTCTGACGCGAGTGCCGCTGTTGGAGGACATGGCGCAGGCGGGTGGGCGCGCTGCTCGAGGGGAGTGCAGCTTCTCGCACGCGGCGGCGCTTGCCGTCCCACTGAACACGGTGAAGGAGTCGACACGTCTTGCTAAACACGGTGGGGCTGCTGCTGCCGCTGCTGGGGGTCTCCCTGTTGTGTCGAAGGACGTCCCGCGCAGCACGGCAGCGTGGAGGCAGACGGAGGTGCCGCCCAGCTACACGGAGGCCTACAACGGCTGGGCAGCGGCATCCTTGGAGATGTTGGACAGTGAGGAACGTATCAGCATGGCAGAAGCGGCGGCGCCGTCGCCGTGGTGGCCCTCGCCAGCGGCGCTAATGGAACGCGCTCCGCAGCGGCGGTCTGGCGCCCGTCCTGAACGTCACGACCATGCAGGTGCACCGTCCTCAGCGGCTCATCCACATTCAGAGAGGTCTGCGGAACAAAGCGGTGCTGCGCCGACGGTGCGTGTCTTCTTGCGCGTGGAGGAGCTCGCAGAGCTGTCGTGTGCGCACTGCGGAGCGCAGGGCCACACGTGGCAGCATTGTGCGACACGTAGCTCGGATGCGGTGGCGGCCTTGGAAGGGGGCGCAACGCTCATTCGCAGCAGCAGCAGCAACGGCGTAGTGCCTTCCTTAACAGCGAATACCGGTGCACCTCCCTCGATGACTGCCACGTCGGGGTCTTTCCTTACCTCCGTGATGGAAGACGAGAGCCTCACCATGGTGGAGGACGCAGCGACGGTGCTGGCAGATCAGGCGAAGGCCCTGACCGACTTGCGCGCGCAGCGTTCACGTGCCCTGGCCGGCGACACCTCGCCCTCGGCTGCGGTGGTGCTGGTGCCAAATATGGCTGCCACACAACACTTCAAGGCGGCGCACGTGCTACGCAGAGAGGCCCGCAAACCCGCGGTGCATCGTCGCACGATGCGGTGTGTGTACTGCGGCGGTCACCACCACGTCACGGCGTGCCCGAAGCTACAAGCACAGGATGGCGAAGCCGCTATCGAGCAGGCGGCGAGTGCGCATCGGTCATCCGCAACTACCACGACGACGACGTCAGCGCTGCCGCCGCTGTTCTGCATTAAGTGCGGGTCAAAAGGTCATGTGTATTTGGACTGCCCGCGGGTGCCAAGGGATTTGCATCCGGCGACGCACTGCCCCATCTGCCTACAGCCGCGCAGGAATGGGTCGCATGACCCACTGCACTGCCCTCAGCGGGTCCCGGTGCCCGCAGGGTACGCGCTGTCTGGCGTTCCACACAGCGGGCCGTCATCGGCGTCTTTGCTGTCTGGGTTTGCCCGAAGCGCACACCCGCAGCGCGGAAGTCACCGCGACGAGAATGGAGAAGGACGTAGCTCTTTCAACGCAGGTGCGACGAGCGACGCTGCCCGCAGCCCTCGCCGCCACCGTCGTGGATCGGTGCTGATCGCGGACACCTTCGTCGACGCGCCGTCGCGTAGGAGGTGAAAAAAAAAGCGTTGTGCGTTGTCAGACGGTGATTGCTGCCGGCTGATGACGAAGTGTTTGCGTTGGTGCGGCTTTCTCTTCCCTTTTGTTTGCTTAATGTTGTTCACATACTACACACGTTAAAACGCACAAAGACAAAAAAGAACCAGCCTTCTTTTGGATGACTTCCTTAACGCCGTCCGTGCACGTTCACGTGGAAGTGGGCGAGCTAAATGCGTCTTACCGCAGGAAGAAAGAGGACAACAGCAATAAAGAAGAACGCCACGCTCGTTGACGGTGCTTTCGAAAAGCCTGTGTGGCGTCCTCGAAGGGAAACGACACATGTCATTTCTTCTCCTTTTTATAAAGATCAACTATTGTTGATATCCCCAACGCATTTTCTCTCTGTCCTGTACTTGTTCGCCGGTTTCTCGGCCTATTCGACCGCCTCCCGTCGAAACACGCAATGGTGCTCCACAACGGCAAGCCTTCGTGGATTGCCTCCACAGCATACCCTTTGCACTCGCACGTCACATTCGACGCGAATAATAATCAAAAGAGACTCGTGCTTACACGTTGGTTCTTTTGTTCGTGTAATTCCCACCTCTCCCTTTTATTCATTTCTGGATCGGTGCTTGTTCTCGCAGTTTATCTTTTCCTTTTTTTCCCTTTCCCCAGCGTCTCGAACGGGCACACCGCCGTGCGCTTTCCACACGCATTTTGAGTTCGACCGGCACTTTTTTCTCTCTCTCTCCTTTCGCGTCCGTTGAGGCAAGAGCACACACACACACACAAGCACGCACAAACAGGTCCGCTGCTCTTGTGCTTGACACCGTTATCCTTTCCCTCTTCCCTCTCACCGACAGTTGCCGTCCTTCTCCCCTCCTCCGAGCGATTTGCGTATTTCTTTCTCGCAGCACAAATACCGAAAATGTGGAAGGAATGGACGAAGAAGATCAAGACCTTCGCGGAGGACATCACTTCGCCAGAATACGACGACGAAAGGCGCGATGGTGCGGCATACGAGGAGGAAGAGACAGAGGAAGGAGTCAGCCACCACGTAGACGATTCATACAACAATCACCACGCACCACGTGGGCACACGTCAGCCCCACCGGCGAGTCACCGCAGGGTTCATGACACGCATGTTGATGGGAATTCGCTGCTCTTCGAGACCCCTGCGCGTTCTCTTGAAAGGCACTTCGATGAACCGACAGTGGAGCGGAAGCCAGGCGTGACGCCGCAGCATCTACCCCGTGCCTCTGCGCAATCGTCTCCCGCAGTAGAAACAACTGCCGCTGCGTCGCACGCACCGGCTGTAGTTGGCCACCGCTCGAATTGCGATGAAGGAGAGGAGGAAGAAGAGGCGGATGGGTTTTCGCGACTGTCGTCGTCATCGACGGTGGGGCCGGCACCGCCTGCGGTAGTGGCGGGAGAGGAGAAGCCGCAAGCGGAAAGACCGACGTCGACCAAGGCGTCTCTACCGCCGCCGTCCGCAGGCGGAGCACCTCGTCGAGGACCGCCCCCAGCCATGACCACCCCCCAGCTGCAACGGCAGCAGCATCAATCACCAGCTCAAGCGCAAGCTTCTTCGACGGCGGCTACGCCGGCAGCGGTGGCTCTTCCCCTATCATCGTGCTCCACTCCGGCTGACAAGGCGGGATTGACGGACACCAACTCCACCCCAGCAGTCACACACCTGTCCGCGCCACAGGAACGACGCGCCTCAGTGAGTTCTCAACCATTGCATCCAAAGGAAGAGGAGGAGAAAACGGCCCTCGCCCACACCCCACACCTCTCTACCTCGGCGGCATCAACATCGCCGCAGCATCAGCAACCGCAGCAGCGGCGCCGGGACGAGTGGGAGGAGGAAAAGATGCAGATGCTAGTTGACATCCGTAACTACCAGGAAGAGGTGCGCGTGGCACATGAGCAGACAGTTGCCTATTACGAAGCGCAGATAAAGGCGGCACAGCAGGCAACGAGTGACGCAGTGGCAAACGCAAAGACTACACAAGAGCAACGAGACAGTCTTCAAGCAGCGCTTCGCACGGCGGACAAAAAGCTTGAAAAAGAACAGGTAGCTCGCGCAGCGCTAGAGCAGCAGGTGAAACAGCTAACGCAGGCAGCCGAGGAAGCGAGGGCGAGAATGATTGAACTACAAGGGAAGCTCAACACCGCGGCGTCTGCGCCTCTCGCCTCGCACACCAATGCAGAGTGGGCTGAAAAAGAGAAGGAATGCGTGGAGTGGAGGGCAAAACTTTTAGAACAGGAGAGGGAGCAGCAGGCAGCACAGGCACAGCTTCGACAGTCGGCTGAGGCAGCGCGTCAGACCTTGGAGGAGCAGCTGAGAGAGGCGCATGCGCAGCTTGCAGCTTTGCAGATCTCCTCCACCGCATCCGCTGCTGCAGCCACGAGCGAACATCAGATGCAGCGCGCGGAATCTTCGTTGTTAGTGCAGCAGGAGGAGAAGCTCGCTACGCTGCAGGCGCAGCTAGATACGTGGAAGCACCGCGCTGGCGAACTGAAGGAGAGGCTCGAAGCAGCCCAAACGCACGCTGACTATCCGACTCAACACCGATCGGAAGACGAAGCCACGAACACCGCTGCACATCATGGTACCGCTCGTTCTCCCTCTTCGACGAGTTTAGCAGAAGTTGAACAGCTAAAGCAGCAGCTGCAGTCGACGGAAGCAGCGCGTCGTGCGCTGGAGACCCAGCTGCAGGAAGCACAACGCGAGCTGACGTCCACCTTCCCTTCGAGCAACCAACAGCAGCAAGCGCATCAGGCGCCGCAAGCCGAGGAGCTGGAGGCAATGACGCTCGAGCTCGAGTCAGCGCGCCAGCGTGCGGAAGCACTGACGCAGGCACTCGCAACTGCCGAGACGCAAAAGCAAAGCCTCACTTCCCAGCTTGCGGAAGAGCAGGCGAAAAGAAATGCCGTGCACAGCAGCGCTACTGCCGCCTCGACAGACGAAGTCCGGCGGCTCTCCGACCAATTGCAAGTCCGTGGGGAGCAATGCAATACCCTCCAGAGAGAAGTCCAGCAAGCGGAGGAAATGATTCATCAGCTCACTGGTCGCCTAGCGGCTGAGGCGAAGGCGCACAAAGAGGCGGTCGCACAGCTGGAAGAGTACCACGCCGAGGCGGAGGGTGTACTGGAAGACGAAATTGCCGGCGTGCGGGCAGCCGCTGCGAAGGAGAAGCAAAAACTGGACGAGCAGCTTCGCCGGTCTCAAGCGGAGCTGCAGCAGCTGCAGAAACGTGTGGCGCACGCAGAGGACGAAAGCAAGGCAGCGAACAAAGCACGGGGCGTGGCAGAGAGCAACGCAACCGCGCTCGAGAAGGAGCGAGCAGCGCTGCAGCGGCAACTGCAACAGCACCAAGACGATCTCGCGCAGCAGCAACAGGAGTGGAAGCGACTCGCCGAGCGGGAAGCGAACAGCGGCGCCGGCATCTCTCTCGCTGCCCTTACCAGCGTAAAACGAGAGTTGGAAGACAAGGTGCAGGCGCTGGAGGTGACGGTGGACCAGGTGCGTCGCATGACAGTGGACACGCTCGTGCGGCTGGGCGTGGACATCGCACAGGCGGTGCAGCCGCCACAGCCAAAGAGCAGCAACGGCGGCGTGTTGCGGAACGGGACCCAGCCACCACAACCACAACCACCACCGTCTTCGAGCAAGACGGCAACGGGGGACAACAAGGGGACTAACTCACGGAGCCGCAGTCGCAGCGCGAGCAACAGTGACAATGAGGAGGGCAACGAAAGCCAAATCTACACGGATAAACGCCGGCGCAAGGCGCAAGATGCGCTTCCCCTTCTCCAGCTCTTCTCCCTGCTCACGACGGAGTGTCTCCAGCAGCACAACATCGTCCTCCGCGCGGAACGGGTGCAACAGGAGTGGGAGCAAACATACGAGCAAGCCCGGCAGGTCAACGAGTCATTAAATCAACAGATCGCGGACGCGTGGGCCACCATCGGCAAACTGCGCGAAGAGGCTTCCGTGAAGGATGCCGCGGCACGGCAGATGCAGTCACGTGTCGGCAGCGGAGACGCTCGACTCTTGGAAGTGCAGGAGGAGCTGACGCGGGTCACGGCGGAGGTGGAGCAGCTGCGCGAGGAGCGGACGGCCTGGACGGTGCGCCTGCAACAGGCCGACGCCGGCGCCGAGGGTCAAGAGCGAACGCTCGCTTCTCTCCAGGAAGAGCTCCAATCGCTTCAGTCGATGCTGAAGTCCAAGGACGAGGAGCTGCAGTCGTCGCAGCAGAGTTTGGAGAACCTGCAGATGGTGCTGGACCGTTTCCAGGAGACGAAGCGGCACGAGGTGGAGGCTCTGACGCTGGAGGCGCACCTCGAGGCCGAGAATCTCAAGACGGAGTTGGAGAAAGGTCGGCGGGTCATGGAGCAGCACGATCAAACGAAGGAGGCGCTGCACCAACGCTACGAGGCCCAGCTGGCCGCGAAGGACGCCGAGGTGACGACACTCTATCGCAAGCTGGCGGAGGTACGAAAGGTGCTGGAGAAGACCACTTCACGCCACATGGACGGCGCCGAGACGAGCGTGGACAAGCGCGTCGTGTCGCAGCTCCTTGCCAAGTACATTCACGCCTTCATTGAGCAGCGCAAGGAGGCGGAGGATATGCTGAAGGTGCTGAGTGGGCTGCTGAACTGGGATGAGGCGACGCAGGAGCTGGCAGGGCTGCTTCCCGGACCGAACAATCCGCACCCGCCCGGCAGCGGCCCGCGTGGGCAGCACAGCAACATCGGCGGTTTGTTTGGCTGGCGACGCGGGAAGGCGGCGGGCACTGCTGCTGCTGCTGCCGCGTCTATCGGACAAGGGCGCGACGGAGACGGAAAGTCCAACGCGACAAGCACGAGCAAGTCTGGATTGGCTTCGTTGTGGGTCGAGTTTTTATTGAAGGAGAGCGCCGGGGGAGGCGGAGGCGCGGCTGCACCTCCCACTCCCTCCGCACCATCAGATGGGCCCGCAAGCGATGCCGCTGCGTTGGAGGCGCCTTCGGCAACTGAGTGTCCTGCAGCCACGACCACGCCCACGGAGGAGCACTAGGGGCACGAGCGCCAGCCGAGCTGCTCCTTTGTGCGTGTCCCGATGCTGAGAGAGAATGGTTGAGGAGAACCTGCTGGTTTCACGCTTGCCTTTTTGTTTTCGCCTGCCATGCTGCCGTCTTCTCTCTTCTCTCTTTCTGTATTCGTTTAACGGGAAGAGGGAGTAGGGGGGCACATCCTTCTTGTCTTGTGCGCCACAGGATGAGGGCAGCGATCAACAGAACAACGGTTGCAGCAGCTGTACAAGAGCTGGATCCCTCCACTGTGCTTATGGGAAACAGCAACGATACGCTACAAAAAAGTATACAGGAAGAGAACGCTTTACAGTATCGGTTCACGTGCTTGTCTGTCCGCAAGAAACCACCACTTCTTGCTGTACGAAGCCAAGCTCTTTGCGATGATGAGCAAGCTTACGAGTTGCTGCTGAGGAACGCTGATAACAAACATTTGTCTCTGCTGTTGTTGGAGTATGGGGCCCTTTATGTGGACCACGCACCTCTTTTGTCGGCTCCATGACTCTTGCTGATATGTATTCTGGCTGAAAGAAAGAACAAACAAACGTGGACCGTGGTGGTCGCTGGTGCGTGCACTTCTACGTCTACTTCCATCACTTCTCTCCATGCTTTTTTTTAATCTTCTTCTTTCGTTCTCTATTGTGTGTGTGTTGTGTGTGTGGGTGCACACCCCTCCGCAGTACTCCTCCTTGTCTTTTGCCGAGTAACAGCCTTTCTCATTATCCTGCTCTCCATTATCAGAGGAAGAGCTGCACTCTAAGTGTAATCAGCAACAACAACAAAAAGAAAAGCGTGGGTAAACCCTCGCAATCTGCTTTCGGCTGTGCACCTCGATTTTTCCTCTTCCTGTTTTTCTTACCTTTCTCCTTTTACGCTCTGTTGTGAGCTTTTTCTCACCTCTCCACCCCCACCCCCACTCTCTCTCCTTAGGTGGACATAAGCGCTCTGAACGACTCCAAAAGGGGCTAGCAGGCCAGGCGGGCGCCCACAGAGTCCGCATAATATACAACAGTGAACTTCTTGCTGCTCAGCACCCGTATATCCGTACCGGCAGACACGCCCACAGAAAGCTCTCATTGCTGTTCTTCGATCTCTCTCCGCGATTGCTTTACGAAGTGGAACGGAGGGACGAGGGAGCTGCTCTAGTTTCTTCTTATTTAATCTTCTTCTTTTTGTTCTTTTCTTAGAATGTCGACGTACGAGTGGGTCATTGAGCAAGAAAGCCCTGACGGCGTCACGACGCGTATCGTCTTCGACATCGCCGGTGCTGACGAGGCCACGAACGGCAACAGTCATACCATCGGCTCTCGTTACAACAGTTCTTCTGCTTCATTGCCCTCGCGCATGCGTGGAGGCCGCGGCGGCCGTGGAGTCTCCTCTGTAGCTCCATTACAGCAAATCGGGGTGAGCAGCACATCCACCAACACGTTTTTCGCTTTCAGAGACGCCACCACACGATCGGAGGGCGGGAGTAGCAAGCGCAGCAGCAAGCGCAGCAACGGCAGTCGGTCACGGCGCAACCACCGCCTAGGCAGCTCCGTCAATGGAAGCGGGCCGAGTGTAGGCGGCACGGGCAGCAGACTCGCCCCTGCCGGTTCCGCCTACACCTCCGCTGCTCTTCGTCAGCGCTATCATCGCATGCTCTTCGGTGAACGCGGCGCTTCCGCACCCATGTCAGCTCGCCTCGATCCGACAGGCAGCAGCTTCGGTACAACCAACTTCTACACTCGAGCGGCCGGAACCGCCAACGTCGGCTACGCCACCACCGCCACCGCCAGCGCCGCCTCTTCTTCCCCTAGTACAATTTTCATGTCCACCTACGGAGCCGAAATGACGGAGGAGGAAGAGCGATCGAGTGGCAGCTACCCGCCGCGTCGCAGCCGTGCCAGCACGAACAGCAGCGGCAGCGGTGGCGGCTCATCGCGCAACAGCGTGGGTAACGTAAAAGGTAGCGTTATCGCGACTGTTGTCGACAGTAGCAGTGGTGGTGGCCAACAGGATGAGGTGCCACCGCGATATGCGCCGTGGGCGGCCCACGTGGAAGATCCTGCACCCTCTCCCCCCCCAAACCATCCCGTATGCATCTCGCAACCACCAAACGAGGTCTCTGCGTCCTTTGCACGGCCGCTTCCGCCATCGAACACCGCCACGATGGACTACGTCGATGACAAGGATCGCTACTGCAGTTATGTGAGGCGAGATGTGTGGGCGGCGCGGGCGACGTGCCCTCACACCGTCACGGCGGGTCCGAGCGAGTTCCCAGCTTTTCCGCCCCTCCACCCGATTCCGCTGGAGGAAGAAGGGGAGAGCGCGAGGAATGGCGAGGGCAACGCGCCGGACAGCAAAGAGCGCGATACCCATAACGGTAGTCGGCGGAGGAGCCACGGCTACGCTGCTGCGATGCAGCAGCCGTTTCGCGTTGTGTCCGACTGGAACGACAAGAACGGTGGCGGAAGTGATGGAGAGGGACACGGTGGAGATGATTTGCAGCGACCGTTTTTCGTGAATAGTAGTCCCGCAATAGCACAGAAGCAGCAGTGCGGCGTGACTGCGGAATTGAGGGAAGACAGCCGCCGATACAACAAGATGCTGCTCCGAAAAGAGCGTGAGCGCGGGCGTGGGCGCGGGTGGCAGGCAACGTCAGCATCTGCAGCCGCAACCACCGCGTCGTCTGCGGGTGGCCGATACGGTGACGCCAAGGACAGGTCTGTCTCCTCCTACTCGTGCGATAGCGACGACGCCGATGTTGATGTGGACTCAGAGGACTCGTCTATCGAGTGCTTAAGCAACTCCCCCAGCAGCAGCGAGGACTCGGACGCGGAGGCACTTCGTGCCGACGCCTCCTTCGCCGCCAAGGTGCAGTCCCTCGCGAGCCGTGCGGGGCGAGAGCGGCGCAAAATGGAAGCGCGCGAGGAGCGTCAGCTGCAAAACGAACTGCTACGCTGCGAGGAGGCGCTGCTAACGCCGCCGATAGCGTTTCTGCACGAATCGATGGCGCCGTCGCCGTCTCCCCCTTTCTCGTTGGCGGCCACCCTGCGCCAGCGCGACACCGCCTCCGCCGCGACCGGTGTGCGCGCGATGGCTGGATGCAGTGTGGATGGGCAACGCATGAACGCTTCTACGCGATCTGGCAGCGGCAGCAACAGCAGCAATAGTAGCTATACACCCTCCTCCTTCTTTATTTCGCCGATTCATCAGTCCGTTGCGGCGGAGTCGTCGACGTGGGCTGGGGCGGGGACGCGGGTCCAGTTTCTCGGACAGGGCGGCCTCAGCAGCAGTGCCGGACGAGCAGCAGCAGCAGCAACGAACCGTCTTGGTGCGAACAGCGGTGGCGTTAATCGACGCCGCGGCCGCACCGATGACAACGAAGAGGACGATCTCCACGTGGAGGAAGCACAGGACCAGCGCGAGAGCACGGTGCACCTATCGAGCACACGACGTGACGATGATCCCGGTACGCATGTGAGTTCTTCTTCTTCTTTCGCTGCGCCACTCCCAATATCCAAGTCACAAGCGCGTCGTGCGCGGAAGCAGCGGAAGAAAGGCAACGAGATCCGCCAGTCCGTCGTGGCGGAGTGCGGTGGGAGTCGTGCGCTGCGCCCCGTCGCGCCGCCGTCCATCGAGCCTCCGCTGGAGATGCTGCCGTGCAGTAAGAAGGAGATGTGCGACGATCTGCTGGAGTCGTTCCTGATGGCCGCGGCTCTCGAGGACGATGATTTGAAGTTGCCTTAAAAAGCGCTGGAGGGAGAGAGGCGAGAGGCGAACGGAGGAAGAAAAGAACATGAAGTGTTTGTGAGGGCGTAGAAAACAAGAAACTAATTAATGGCGTTTCCTCAAATGAAACCAATCATGGGCATTGGATGAATGAAGCGGCCACGAGCACTCGACGCAGGTCTTTTGCTTCTCTTTTCACTCCGTTTTCTCGCTCTTTCTGTCTCGTCGAAGAGGCGGATAGTTCGGGACTGATTGTAAAAAAAAAAGGAGAGGTTTTTGTAGCGGATGCGTGTCCTTCGCGTGTGCGTGTCACTCAACATCCATTAAAAAAAAAAAGGAAACAGTGAAGAATACACAACTGGAGGGGTCATTGTGTTCGTAACCGTCCCTCCAAAAAAAAAACTCTGCTGCAGGTGCGATGGACGCCGAGGGAATTTATTCCGTTGAGTGTGTGTGTGTGTGTGCCGGAAACACCTCTGACGCATCTCGCAGCTTTTTCCCTTATTCCTGACATTTTAGAACACAGGAGTATGCTGTTCATTTTATTACCTGCTGGTTGTGCCCCATCAGGCAGTATGTACGCATGTGCGTTTGGTTTCACGTTCTCTTATCTCTCTTGTCATCCTCCTTCATCTCTTCCCTCCTCTTTTAACTCTACGTGGAGGGGTCAGAAACGGACGGCTGTAACGCGAAGAGCGATTGCTTCCGACCACCTTTTAATGGTGGTGCAGCGCAAGTTGAATACATAGTGAAGAACAGCAATCACACACCCCAAAAAGGCGTGTCGCATGCTGCAACATGAGCTCTGGTACCACAAACGGTGACGCCACAGCTGCGACTACAGGTAGTAGTGGCAGCCACAGCGACAGCAACGGCAGCGCCTCTCCGCACATCACGAAAGAGAACATTGACTCCTTCAACTATTTTCAGCTCTTCGGTCTCACCCTACCAGTCGACAGCGCGAGCAGCAGCGCCGCCGATGACGTCGATGTAGCGACGATTCGACGCGTCTACCGCCGCCTGAGTCTGCGCTTTCATCCCGACAAGGACGACTCCGCAGAGGCGCGGCACGCCTTCGAGGTGGTGCATACCGCGCTCGAAACCGTCATCGATGCGGCGAAGCGGGCGGTGTATCTCAACGATCTCAGCGATGCAGACGGCAAACAGAAGAGGAGCAGTAAGACGACGGACGAAGACGCACGCCAGCGGCAGCGCACGCAGCAGGCGCAGGAAGAAGCACAGTGGGCAGCGGATCTGCTCGCGCAGCGCGAGCAGCAGCGTCGGGCAAAGGAGGCCGCAGCCCGTCAAGCAGCGCAGGAGCGCGAGGAGGCGGCACAGCGACTCCTGTCCGAGTTGACGAGTACGTTGCACACACCCTTTCAGCAGATGGAGGCGGAGCTCGTGCGGGACTGGGATGTGGACGAGGAAATTGTGGCCATGAAGACGAAGGAGGTGATGAAACTGCTCCGACAGCTCGCACCGGCAGGACATGCCAGTGACTCGGAGGAGAGCGCGGATGGAGATGCCGCTGAAGTGAATGCCGGCAGCTCTCGTAAGCGTGGCCGGGAGACTGCGGAGAAGCTCTAAGTTAGTTGCACCGGCCTAGTCTTTTTTCTGTTTGTGCTTCGCTGTGTTCTTTTGTTGTTGATGTTGGGAAAAAGAAGACGTGGAGGGACGCGGAAGACACGCCGCCGCCGCCGCCGTAAAAGCGCAGCATGAACAAACAAACAGGATTCATGCACAGCGGAACATTGAAATTGCCAAAGTAACTAAAAAAAGAACTACTCCAACTGCAGATCCCTCCCGTTTCATATTTGCTGAAGACCGGGAAAGCACTCTTCATCGACCCATGTCGCGGGGAAAGGAAATTGCAAGCTTTCACTGCGAATGAAAAGGCAAGGAACGTCTTGTTGGCCGAGCACGGCTCGCCTCAACAGAAATTGTCTTCATGCAGCCTTCCACCGGCACTTTCGACTTTCGGTCAACTCCCCTGTGCTCTCTCTCTTTCCGTATTTTTCTTTCTTCTCATCCTCCCGGTATGCGTTCAACTCCATATACCGATGTTTCCTCTTCCGCGATGGGGCTTCTTCCTCCGCTGCTGCGCCGTTTTCTCTAGCACCTCAACACCAACGGAAAGAAGGAGAAGCTGTCAGTGCGACGCCACCACGCTGCAGTTTCTTCTCCTTTTATATTTCTTGTTGTCTTTTCCATCGTCCCCATTGGCGACGACGCACCAGCACCGCGGCAACGTTGAACAACGCTGCCTCATATAGTTTTTTTTTTCTTCTGCTCGTGTTCTCACCACGCACTCCATAGATTCATTACACTCCGGCTTCATTCTTCTTCTTTGATATACACATACATACACCCACGACAAAGGCAACATCAAGCCCCTTGAGAAAAAAAAACCCAAAAGTAGACATGCTGAGCAATCGCACCCTGACAGAGGAGCAGACGGTCATCCGGCGTCAGTTCACAGACTTCTTCGAGAGCGAGCGCTACGAAGAACGGTACCATGAGCGCATTCAGACGATGATCGTCGCCGGCAAGGCTCGCCTGCTGCTGGACATGGGCGATTTGCTCGATTACATCCCCATCAGCGCTGGCGGTCTCGACGGCAGTGAGAACGGCCTTGGCGGTGGCGGTGGTGGTGAAGCTGGTCTCTCTCTTGGCGCCAGCATCATCCGCCAGCCTGGCAAGTACATCCCGCTGCTTGAGCTGGCCTTGCACGACGTGGTGCTGCGCCAGCAGCCGGAATACTTGAAGGTGGACTACCGCTCGCGCGCGGTGCATGCGGGCTTTGAAGGCCCCGTCGGACGCGTCTTGTCGCCGCGCGAGCTGTACGCCCGCCACCTGAATACCATGGTCGCGCTCGAAGGGATCGTGATCCGGCAGTCCACGAACCGGCCGCGTGTACTGGAGACGGTGCACTACTGCGCCGAGACGAACAAGTTCACTAAGAAGGAGTTCCGCGATCAGCTGACGCCGATGATCGACAGCTCTCACTTGCCCACAGTGAATGTGATGCCCAAGACGGACATGGAAGGCCACGCCTTGCGCACGGAATTGGGACTGTGCACCTTCATGGACTCACAGTGCGCGGTGCTACAGGAGGCACCGGAGCGAGCGCCGACGGGGCAGCTCCCACGCAACGTTGAGGTGCGCTTTGACGACGATCTTGTCGACGCCGTGAAGCCTGGTGATCGCGTGCTGCTCGTCGGGGTTTACATGCCGTACACTACCGCCGACAGCAAGAGCTTCCAATCTATCGTCCTCGTGAACCACGTTGTGTCGACGCAGACGTTCACCTTTCTCACCCGTCCGCTTCCCGCGCTGGAGGACCGTCTCACACGATTTGCGCGGAAGTGTCTGGAGCAGCACGGTCCGAGCGGGGTGCTCGACACGCTGGCCAAGGCGGTCGCCCCGACCATCTACGGAATGACGCCCGCGAAGCAGGCCATTTTACTCATGATGGTGGGCGGAGTAGAGCGCATGTCCCACCACTCCCACGTGCGTGGCGACATCAACGTCCTCCTCGTCGGTGAGCCCTCCACCGCCAAGTCGCAGCTGCTCCGGTTCGTGCTCGGTGTGGCGCCGCTGGCGCTGAGCACGACAGGGAAAGGCTCCTCCGGTGTCGGTCTGACGGCCGCGGTGGCGACGGACAGCTACACCGGTGAGCGCTCTCTCAGCGCGGGTGCCATGGTGTTGGCGGACCGCGGCATTTTATGCATCGACGAGTTCGACAAGATGGGATCACAGGACCGGGTGGCGATGCACGAGGCGATGGAGCAGCAGACCGTGACGATTGCGAAGGCGGGCATTCACGCATCTCTCAACGCGCGGTGCAGCGTGCTGGCTGCGGCGAACCCGATTTACGGCTTTTACAGCGTGCAGCATCGCCTGGCGTTTAACGTGGGGCTGCCAGAGTCGCTGCTCTCCCGTTTTGATTTGACGTTTATTATCCTAGATCAGCACTCGTCCGACTACAACCGTCGCATTGGCTACCACATCCTGCGCAACCACATGACTTCCGAGACAGTGCGCTATGATGAAGTGGATTCGCGGACCGTCGTGGAAAGCGTGGAAACGAGCTCGAACGCTGCCGCTCGTCAAGCCGGACCCCGTCGTGGTGGTGGTGATGGCAATGACGACGAGCAGGGCACAACTTCCGTTTCCTCCTTCGGGAACGGTGGCGGCGAAGGCCGTCTCGACTTACGCATGACGACCAACAGCACAGGTGAGTCCATCGTGAGCGTCGATTTCCTGCGCGCCTTCACGCAGCTGGCAAAGCGGGGGTCGCCGCTGCTGACCGAGGCGTCGCGTGATCTGGTTTGCCAGCACTACGTCCAGCTGCGCGCCGAGCAACAGGACGGCGGCCGCGATGGCTTTTTCATTACCCCGCGTACACTCGACGCCATCGTGCGCCTCTCAACCGCGAACGCAAAGCTGCGTCTGTCGCCAACGGTGGAGGAGGTCGATGTTGCGGCGGCGATGGCGCTGCTGCGGGCGTCGGTGAACGCCGCTACCACCGCGACGCAGCAGCGCCGCGATGACAACGAACACTCTATCGAGGAGGCGGGAGGACACAAACGGCCTGCCGCCGCAGCCACATCAGCGGGGGCGGAGACAACGGCGACGGGGCTGGAGGTGGTGCCGTCGTCAATGAACACCACGGAGGAAGCAGCGGCGCTGCGACGGCCGCGCACGGAGGCCGAGGCCGGCGAGGACGGACGGGTGGAGAGCAGCCGCAGCAGCGGTGAGGCAGCGACAACACCCGCGACCGTGACGAGCGGGGCTGCCATGTCCGCAGTGGATGTGCATCTCAACCGTCGCGTCGTGGAGGCCCTGAAGGAGTTTCAGCGAGAGCAGCGTGACGTCGTTGCGCTGCGAGAGTTGCACGAGCGTCTCGGCGGCGGTGGCGGTGCGGCGACGACCTCGATGGACGCGCTGAAGCGATCGGTGACGCAGCTGCAGGGCGACGCATTTATCTTCGAGGGCACCGAAGACGGCGGTGACGATACAGTTCAATTCATTTAAGTGCGACAGCGGCGGGGCGGAAGAATAACGAGTTGAAAGACCGCAAAAACTGGTGTTTCCCATGTAGCGGTGTGAGAGAGGTGAACGATGCTGTGCTTTAGACGTGGGGCAGCTAAGAATTCCGGCGCAGATGAAACTGGTAGATGCTCCGGCGAAGTGCTCGCTGTGTCGTTCTTTGGTTCCTTCTTTCTTTTCCCTTTCTTTACGTCACCTATAGATCCCTCTGGTTGTATCAAAACAAAAAGAGCGTTAATGAAGAAGAAAGGAGAAAAACCGGTGTTTCATCGGATGCTGAGCGGTGTCTGCTAGACCTTGTTCGGCAAACAAACCGCCTTCTTTGTTTTCCCCCGGACTCTTGACTTGCATTGGCCAGCGGGACTCGGCATTGAATGCGAAGAGCACGAGGGTTTTACATTTTTTTCTCGCCCCGCGCAAAGAGCGATTTTGTTTTTGTCTAGTCCGTTTTGTGGATGCCGCTGACACCAATGGCAGGGAACTTTGAAATGTCGATGTGTATGCACACCCATGGTCGCCTTCATCACATGAGTAACTTTCCTTTTGGTGGCTTTTTCCCTCTCTCTATGTGTGACTCTAACATCCAATGCATCTTCTCTTCCTCCTTTCCTATCCAAAAAGAAGAGGAATACATTAACAGAAGAACACTAAATTGCAAGCTGTCAGAAACACATCAACATCGTCGAAACACCACATCTAGTAGCTATGTCACGCGCAATTGGGATGGCGCAGCCATCACGGCTGCTGCTCTCCGGCGGACCACGCGGCCCGCAAGTCCTCGGCGCCGAAGTGCCGTCGTTCCGCGACTTCCCCTACCGCGCCACCGACACCCTCCATCTTTACCGACATTTTCTCCAACTCATCTACCGCCATCACGGACCAGAGGAGCGCAGAGATCTGCTCTTCCGCCTGCGCAACGAGTTCGCGAGCAAGCGGCACCTGCGTGGTCCGCGCACCGTCTCTGCGGCGCTGAAGCGAGGCGAGGGCATCTTGGCGCTGCAGCGACAAATCTTGGAGTCCCGTGAGGTTCGTCGTGGCACGTCGCGCGATGGCGGTGCGCAGAGCGTGGATGCGCTGTGGGATCAACTGCAGGTCGTCTCGGGACACGTCTTGCCTGGTCTGCGAAACTACGAATGCTCGCTGTCGGTGTCGAAGGGCGGCTACTCGACGCAGGCGAGTACGCACAACGTTTATGCCCGTCGTCGCTGAGAAAGGAGAAGGGAGGGGAGGTTGAGGAGTTACAGGCCGACCTTTGGAAGATAGGATTCTTCTTCTTGCAGATTTGAACGTTAATGTGATGACGCGGTGGACGGTGTCAGTTCTGCAAACCTTCTCCCCTTCTTCTTTCTTACCTAGTGGTGGGTGACCCACGAGCGACCGCTACTGTTCCTCACAGTTGTAATTTGTTTTTCTTCGGTGCTCAGACGTGTGTGTTTGTGTGTGTGTTTTCCTCTCCTCTTGCTGCTAACAGACGTGTTACTAAAACAGTGCCACTGCCATCCGATTTAATTCAAAATGAACAGAAAAGGATTGCTGATGGCTGGGTGGTGCTCTGGAGCTGCTTCGGTAAAGCGCATGTGTGCTCATACGCGTGTATTTCTCTCTTTTGCAGGGTTGCCTTTTTGTTGTTGTTGTTGTTTGTTTCAAGTCCATGCGTTTTCTTCGTTGTGCGCCGCTTTCAAAACAGCACGCCCTTTCACTTTCTCGGTCTCTCTTCTTTTTTCTTTGCTACTTTTCAATCTATCTTCCGTCGTTCCTTGGCAACACAGATGCACACCTTTCATACATAAAAAAGCAAGAAACAGCTCAGTCTTATATATATATATATAAGACTCCATGGGATTTGGCGCGCTGCCAGTGTGCACGCCTCGCCGTGTGGTGGTGACCGGCATTGGCATGGTCACCCCTCTTGGGCTCACCACCATTGACACGTGGAGGGCGGTGTGCAGTGGGCAGTCCGGCATTCGCCCTCTCCTCGACGCCCCGTTCTTCCTTCCCAGCTTTGTTCAAAACGACCGCACGTTGAAACCGGAAGAGAAGCAACGCGCATTGGAGAAGCTGGTGCAGGCGATGCCGTGTCAAGTGGCGGCCTCCATCGCAGCTCCATCGTTGTTGTCTCCTGCCTCCGAGATCTCATCGGATCCGTTTGCGCCTTCAGCGGCGGAGTCGCGCGCCTTTAAGCTGTGTGCCCGCGCCGTCGACGATGCTCTCTGCGACGCCGCGCTGCTCACCTCGCCCATCACCCCCACAGCTGCGCGGGAGAAAGGCAAAGCCGAGCGGGAAGTTAACCTGTCCGACGCCGCCCGCGACCGGGTTGGCGTGAACATTGGCATGGGCATTCCCTCTCTCGCCGACACGACCGACGTCGCGGTGTACTTAACCGCCGATGACATCGCCCGCTCTACCGGCAAGGTGCACTACAACAAAGTGCACCCCTTGTTTGTGCCGAAGATTCTCGGCAACATGGCCGCCGGTCACACCGCCATCCGCCATCGTCTGCGCGGCCCGATCGGGAGCAGCGTTGCGGCCTGCGCCACCGGTGCACACTGCATCGGTGAGGCAGCGGCGTGGATTCGGTCCGGCCGGGCCGACGTGATGATCTGCGGGGCAACGGAGGCGTGCATCACGCCCGTGTCCGTCGCCGGCTTCTCGCGCATGCGGGCGCTGTGCACGGCGTACAATACCACGCCCGCCTCTGCCTCCCGGCCCTTCGACACGAGTCGCTCCGGTTTTGTGATGGGCGAAGGCGCGGGGGTCCTCATTCTCGAGTCACTGGAGCACGCAACGGCACGTGGGGCGCCGCGGCTGTACGCCGAGCTGCGCGGCTTTGGGGTGTCGTGTGACGCCTACCACGTAGCGGCCCCACATCCAGAGGGGCTCGGCGCGCGGCACTGCGTGGAGCAGGCGCTGATCGATGGTGGCAACGTGCCAGGCGCGGCGGTGCAGTACGTGAATGCCCACGCGACGGGCACTATCGGTGACGAGGTGGAACTGGCCGCGCTGCAGTGCTCGTTGCGACCGCCAGAGAAGGAGACTGTGCCGCCGCTGTACGTGAGTAGTGCGAAGGGCGGCCTCGGTCACCTCTTAGGCGCCGCCGGTGGCGTGGAGGCCGGACTGACGGTGATGGCGCTGTATGAACAGCGCGCACCTCCGACGGCAAATCTCACCTCGTCGTGTCTGACCGACGCGCAGAAGGCGGCGGGAGTGGTGTGTGTGCAGGGCAACACGGCACAGGTGCTCGAGGATTGCGAGGCGGTGATCTCGACGAGCTTCGGCTTTGGTGGCATCAACACCGCCCTGCTCTTTACGCGTGTGTAAGTAAACAGCTGAGCACATCGAAAAGGGGAGGCAGCGTAAACATGGAGACGCAAGTTATCGTCAATGATGCATGAGCGAGAGAGCAAATGAGGGACTCAAAGTGGCGTGAAGTACGAATGCGATCGAACGAGGCCGCGAAGAGGGAAAGCGCTCTTGTTTGTTGTTGTTATTTTGCACTGATGCGCTCACAGATGAGGTAGGATAGATAATGTGGCAAGGATTCGCAGTTTGCTGCAGCTGCTGCTTTGTGTGTGTGCGTATGTGTCGGAGGAGCTTTTCGTCACGAACAAAGAAACAAACACGAGAAGAAGACACGGCCGAAAATAGTAGAAAAGAAAGATAGTTGAGGCGAAAGCAGCGATCTCCCCCCTCTCTCCCTCTCCCTACTGCCTTTAAGGCTGTCCATACAGCGGCGGATGTGCAGCGCCATCACAGCGATGCTTCTGTGCGAAGTTGGATCTGCCTCGCGTGTGGCGGTGCTCAACCGCCTTCTGAAGGGATGCGGTTTCACGAGACGGTATCTCTGTCTCTCCCGGTTGGTCTTTTCCCGAAGCGGGATCTCTTTCGCTTTCATTCTCCCTTGTGCTGCTCTCTCGCCTTTGCTACTCGTACAAAACGCCTGCCGTCGATTCTTTTGACCTACTTAAAAAAAAAATTCAAATGAAATTGAATACCGTATACATACACACAATTCTTAGCTGCTGCAGTCGTCTTATATAGATATTTTTTCCCCTTCTACTTCCGCATCCTCAACTCTTCTCCTTCCCGCCTCATCCTCCTTCTCCCTTATTATCCTGTTCTTCGTTGGCGTAGTGCTGTATTTTTTCGTTTTGTGTTTCCAGCTGCACCCTCACCCCCCTTCAGGAGTTTCCGTGCTCATTGCTCTCACACCATACACCTCCCCCTTTCTCTCACCATTATATACTGCTAAAATTCATTCACGTTTTCTTTTTCTTCTCTTCCCGTTCTTTCTCTCTCTCTCCCGCTCCTTTCATATCAGTCTTCTTCTTTGTACCTCTTTCGTGCTGTCTGATCGCTACTGCGTGCGGCTTTATTCGTCTTGTTCGGCTTTCTGCCTTGTGCGAATTGCCGCTGTTCGCCGCCTCAGCACTCTCGCCTTTCCGCGCTTTCCTTTTGTGTTTATTATCGTTAGTAGTATTTCAACCCCATCTTTCTTGTTGGGTGCTTTTTCTTCAATATCATCCTTATCTATTAGGGGACTTTCTTGACCCTGGCAACTGTCACGGACGACGCTGGCACGACGCTAAGCATTACGAGATGACTTCGTTGCTTGCCGATGTCTCGCAGTGGTACCAGCAACAACAGCAGCAGCAACCGCCGTTGTTCAATCAGTGGCGTACGCCAGGCACGGCGCAAATGCCGGTCGACCCCTGGGCCTCCGAGGAGACGTACGGAGTCGTGTGGTTTGGCCATGTACCACCGAAACGCTTCTTTGAGATGACCCCCTACTTCCTCTCGCTGGAAGAGGTCCGCCGCGACGACGAAGCGGCGGCGGAGGATACTGATCATGTGAAGCGGCTCGACGTGAACTTCTTCGTCGACGGTCCTTACGCCGGGCAGGGCTTCGTCTGCCTCACCACCCCGCATGCAGCGCGGGAGTTGGTGCGCCGCTTCCCGTGCTCTATCATGGTGGGCCAGTTTCCCCGCTTCTCCATTACGCTGCGGCTGTCCTCCATCGCCGATCTCTACCGCGCGCAGTGCAACTACGCGTGCAAACGTGAAGTAGGGCGCGCCCGCTCCCCCACACCTCCTGTGCCGCAGAAGGTCGCCGACACGGCGCTTGCCGCAGAAGAGGCGGAGGACGGAAACACCGGAGAGCCGACGTTGATTCACTGGCTGCGTGGACTACCCTTTGAGACGACTGAGGCAGACTTGGCTGCCTTCCTGAAGCCGATCGAGGGCCGCGTTCGCAGCCTCCGCTTCGGCCGCCTCAGCACCGGGGAGTGCAGCGGCAACGTGTTCGTCGAGCTGAACTCGCTGGCGGACCGCAGCGCCATCATGCAGCTGCACAACGTCTTTTTTCCGGTCGCCGCACACGAGGGCCTCGCACCGCAGCTGCGGCCGAAGCCACGCTATGTAGAGGTGATTCCCGCCGACGCGGAACGCCGTGACGCGCAGCTGGAGAAGGACAGCTGCACCAGCCGCACCCCATCCGGGAAGCAGCAGAAGTCCGCGCAGCATGGCATGCTGCCGGCACTCGTGCCGTCTAATGACGCTGCCGCTGTCGCGAGGAAGAAGGCGAGCCGAAGCAGCGGTGCTTTGGCACCGATGGGAAGCGCGTCGCTTGTACAGACGGCGCCTTCGCTTGCACCGCCGCATCAGAGACGCCACCTACGCTTTCAGCAGCCGCTACCATCACAGCAGCAGCACCAACAGCAGCAGCAGCAGCAGCAGCAAACATCCTTTTACTCGTGTTCTTTGCCGTCGATGGCTCCACCACAGCAGTACGGCACAATGGGGGTGTACGCTCAAAGTCCTTCGACCTCAATCCCACCTACGTTCCAGCGGCAGCCCCAGCATCTGCAACTCCAGCATCAGCGGCCGCAGCATCAACAACTACAGCAGCTTTCCCTGTTCATACAGCCCACGCAGCAGGTTGCGTACTTGCTGCCGCAACAACAGCCTGAGGAGCAGCAGCAGCAGTGCTGCTATGTCATCCAGAACTCTCCAATACCTGCCCAACAGCTGCTGATGAACTCGAGCGTCTTTCCGTCCTTCAACATGGCAGTGAACGCGAATAACTCGCCCACCATTTCCATATTTTCGGTGAACCCGTCGTCGACGTGCTTTAACGGAGGCACACAGCCTGCAGGGCCCGAGACACAGCAAACGCTTGCGCTGGCGCAGTTTCCTTTCTTTTCTTTTGTTCCGACGCCCTCGCAGCCGCAGCAGCAACAGCGGTTTTTCGTCGTTTCCAACGACCAGAACGGTTTTCATCCGCCGCACGCTCAACACTAATTTCTGGAGTCCTCTAATTATTTTTCTCCCTTTTCTGAAAGAGGGAGCAGTTAGCAAGGGATTCAATGAGCACGGCAGGGCTGAAGAGTCGTGCACGCGAACTTGCCATTTCTTTTTATTTTCTTTTTTGTTTTTCTCTCCTCCTGAAAAGCCAGCCGTGACGTGTCTGGTCCTCTTTGGCGCAGAAACAGGCAAGCACACCAAAGAAGATGAAAAGAATAGTTTTTCCTTTTTTCACTCTGGTCTCCAACTATGTATTTTTTCTTCTCCTTTTCTTTTCCACAAACGCCGCTTTTTTAGACTTCTCTGAATGTACCTTGGCATCACGGAGAATGAACGAGCGAGATGCCGTGTCAGGGTAGTGCATGTATGTATCTTTGTGCGTGTGCAATGGAAGCGGTGCAGCTACGCAGGAGTCAGTGTTGACCGTATTACTTGCGGATATCACCTCCTCCTCGTTGTGCTTTGCGGGTTTCTCTCTCCTCTTTTTTGTTTGTTTCTCTGTTGGGTGGTCCATCTCTAGCTTCGCGCGATGTTCCTGTTGCATTCTATGAGATTCTTCTTGGGGGTTTCCACGCGTGCGCCTTTCTATCTCGCTCTTTCCCGATCGTATTGATTACGCACTCTATCCGGGCAGCTGTCTTTTTACATCTCTATATATGTATACGTTCGCAACGATCTCACAGGCGTGGTAAAAGATGTTGTTGTGATATTCGCACAGTTGGCGAATCATATTATTATTATCATTATTATTATTCCTGCTCTTCCTCCCGCGCATGTGCACCTCTCGCAGCGCCTTTCAATTGCTTCCTATATATATATATATATATATATGGGGCTTTCTATTGGTGAAGAACCGCAACCGTCACAACGGAAATGGACACACATTAATATGGACTTCAAGGCGCATGTACGCCTGTCTTTCAGTGCCTCTTTCTCTCTTGCTCTGAGCTTGTCATTTCTTGTTTACTTTATCTGCTGATCTTCACCACTTTTGTTTTTGAAAATAATTCCCTTTTTTTTCTTCTGGCAGCGACCGCAAATTTGCCAAGAAGAAAGGTGGCAGCCCTCATTGAAGCGGCAGGGGAACACACGCTGGGCGGCACGGCCCTCTTTCTTTTCTTTGTTATTTGTGGATCTGTGAACGCATTTGTTGGTCGTTGCTTCAAACATAAACTCGTTTTTTTGTGTCGACTATCATCTTGAAATGGTACCTCAAACAGAAACACATAGCCAACGTTCCCACTGTTTGTGCTTCCTGACGCTTATTCTTTTCTTTCTTTGGCCACCGTGTTCCGGCGGAAAAAATCACTTTTTAGGTTTGTATCTTGGTTTATTATTACTACTCTTTCTTGTGTTTTTGTTTTTGTATAGTTGAGCTCCTTCCGTTGTGCGCGTTCCACGATCACTCGAATTCCGATTCAGTGGGTCCAGCTTTATCGCCCATACAAAGTTTTTCCTCATTACACTCCATTCTATATAACAATTCTTCTTTTTTTTTTGATGCCTTTCCTCGTCGTTAGTGGTCGAACGAGAAACGGCGTCATGAATGCCGTCCGTTGAGGAGAGCGGCACGAATCTTTTTCCCTTTATGAAACAGCAATTCGTTGGGTGTCCTAGTAAACGAAGTAACTATCATCAAACAATAATAAGAATAAGAATAATATAATAAACTCTTCTGGTGATTGTTAAGACGGCCGCTGTTGTTTCGGTATATTCCTGTTTTGGTTTGTTTGTTTCATCTGTTTTTTGTACTTCCCTCCTCTCATTTAGCTTTTGTGCAGTGGTGCTTTAAAGTGGCACTGTAGCGCTCATTTAGCAGACGTCTGCAATGCGGCACTGTGACCTTGCACACAACAAACAATACTAATACCAAGCACACTCCGACTTGCATTCGGTGAGTATTACAGATGAACAGAAGTGTGCAGTGCTGTGTGAACGCAGGTTGAGTGCAGTCGCGTCGGAGCGCAGGGGCCGCGGTTTTGAGTCTCCCGCACTCCTCTCCTCTCCGTCGGTGATGACCATCCGGCACGCGGTGTACGACACACACGCCTTCTCCATCTGCGACACGAAGTCGCTCTGTCGTTGTTTTTCATGCGCACGGCCCGGCCTCCTTTCTCAGTTTTGAGCCGTTAGTTCTTCTGTGCTGATCGATCTGCGTACCGTGCCGTCTGGTGTGTGTGTGTGTGCTTGTAGCTGCCGTGCTGCTCCGTGCTACCGTAGCTCTACCCATTCTCACTGCACCTCCCTCCTCCTTCGCTTCTCCTCTGGTTTGTGCCCTTCACACTCCCCCGAACCACAGCCGCTGCTTGTAACTGCACCTCACGTATGACCAAACACGCCGCTGCCTGCTCGCCGCACTCTCAGACCGAGATAATCAAACAGGAAGGAGCGAAAGGAGCGTGAGGACGCCTTGCGCGGTTTCTCCTCTGTTGCTGTGTGTGCCGCAGCCCACCGCCCCTTTGCACCGATGCGGCTGCGCGAGGGACAGGTCTCGCTCCCTCCGCGTTTACCTCCCGGCCCCCGTCCTCTCGGACCGTGGTTGCGTTTCTTCTTGCAGCGTTCGGCGGTGCTCGTCTCTCTTTCTGCTGGTGTGTGCGTTCCTTTCTGTTAGTGTGACCGCCGCTTCTCTCACTGTTTTCTTGACGCCCGAACGGGGAATGATTGGCCGGTTGAGCGGCTGAGATGGGCGGGTCCAGCCGTCTCTGTGTGTGCCCTTCCAGGCTCCGTTTTCGTTCGCTTCCCTCTCCCGAATGGCTTTCCGCTTTCAGATCGCTCCTCTGTTCATGCCGCGCTGTGGAGGCGGGTTGGAGAGGAGGTCTGCCGCTTCGATTGATTTGCTGATACGGTTTGAGAACAAACAATAAGATGATATGCCTCTGCGCATCTACTACACGTACTCGATGAGCGCTGCAGGAGGTGGACAACGTGCTGCGCGTGGCTGGAACGTTGACACCCACGGAGACACTCGTCGCCCTCCACCTTTTCCCCTTCACCTGCCCCCTCCTCTCCCTCTTCAACCTGAAATCGCCCACAATTATTCCCTTCTCTTTCGATACGCCCCGCCACGTCTGGAGTGAAGACGAGCGGAAGAACAAGGTCAACGGCGAGAACAAGGAAAATGGACGGACCGAGCAACATAGGGGCGAAGCTCTTCACATCTCTCGCCGACGCCACCACTCCTCCGTCGCAGCACCAGCCCGAGAACGCTACCAACACTGCCGCTCTCCTCGACAGTGCGGAGCCCCCGCACAGTAATTTAATCTACTGGTTGCGTGGGCTGCCATTTCAGGCCACCGAGGGCGACGTCGACGCGTTCCTGTCGCACGTCCTCGCTTTCCATCGGTTGGACGTGGGGACCCTGGCGAGCGGGGAATGCAGTGGGAATGCGTTCGTGGAGTTGGCCTCGGGCAGCTTCTGTTCCGAGGTGGAGATGTTGCACAACGCCCCCATCTCCTGCGCTGCGGACGTGCTGTTGCCGCCTGCGCGTCGTCCTCGGCCCCGGTACGTGGAAGTCGTGCGGACGACCGCCGAGCACCGCGCGGAGGTGCTGAGAGAGGATGCGCGCCTCACAAGAGCGCAGCTGCCGGCGCACCGCCAAGCGCAAGCGGAAGCCGCCGCCGCTGCTGCTGCTGCTGACGTATCCTCTCCGACCTCCCCCGTTCCTCTCCCTCATCATCCCTAACAAGGACCTCCTCGATGGCTACGCCCTGGTGGAAGTGGAGACACATTCCGCAAACCTGAAGGGGGTACTCCAACGGTGCCTATCGGAGTCTAATAATAACAATCATACAAGCGCAGGGCGTTCGACCAATATATATATATACTTTCTGTTTCCGCCCATATACCTCTTCCTTTTTTAACGGGAGCGATGTGAACGCGGCGCAGGCAACAACTCCTTTCCTTGTTGTCCCTCGAACAGCGGTAATGAACGCGCTCTCAAGCTGTTTCGCACCTCCCTTCACTACTGATTTTTGTATGCGTTTTTGTTTTTTAGTTCCTCCTTTCTGTTCCGCTCCTTAATTGACGGTGTCGACGCTGCAGCTTCCACGCTTCTTTCCATGTTGTTTGTCTCGCGACGCTTTTCGTCGACGCTGCTCCCTCGTTCTTTATCTGGATCGTCCGCGCCCTTTGCTCCTTCCTCCCCCGCTTTTCGAAGTGTCCCTCTCTCTCGTTTCTGTATCGTCACTTCGTGGTTCCTCTTTGTATGGATTACTCCTGCTCGCTGTTTCTCATCGTTGTTAATTGGTGCGTCCAATTCTGACCGCTGGAAAAGGAGCTATATATATATATATGTGTGTGTGTGTGTGTGAAACACGAAGCAAGGGGGAGGAGAAAACCCACGGCAGGCGCAGCATCCACTCCTCTGTTTTTTTGTACTGTTTTCTCGTGCAGCCGCCCAACACTGTTTCGCTGGCAGACACGCTTATTTCCTCTGCTTTGTTTTTGTTTCAACTGTACGTTGTGCTTCCCGCAGATGTATAAATACCAGCTTAAATATACAGTTATATATACTTTTTTTGCAGATGACAAGTTTCTTCCACGAAAAGCCACGCACCGAAAAGGAGGTCTCATGAGTTCTGCAGCTGTTCAACACCTCATTTCTATCACGAATGTATTGTCTTGATTGATGTTGGATAGATAAAAGATGAGTCACATCCAGAGGTTGTTTGGAAGCGGGTAGTGCATGTGCGCACGCGTCGTGGTGAGCTTCGAAAGCATGCTCCTGCTTTACAGCGTTGTTGTGCTTTCTTGTTTCGTAAGCCAACTGCGGTTGCTGGAGTATTGATGCATGCTGCTGCGGTGCACTGTGGCCGTTTTCTTTTTCTTTTTCTTTCCCCCTTTTTTGTTTTTGGTTTAGTGCTCCCTTTTGTGTAGTCGCCGTCTTTTGTTTTGTAACTCCTCGTTTCGCAGTCCCTTGTACTGTAGCCGTGATTTTTTTTCTCCTCGCTGTTTCTTTCATCTCTCTCTCTCTCTTTTTTTTTTCTAAATTATTTTTGTACTCTATTTTTCTGTCGTGGTTCTTCGCGCGTATGTTCTACAGAACTCTTTTACTGGTGCGATCTGTGCGTGTGTGTGTGTGCGCGAAACGATGACTTGACAAGACTGTTGTCGATCAACCTTCTCGGCGATTTCTGCTACGTGCGTCTCTGGCGACGATGTCTTCCCTCACGTTTCTGCCAAGTATCCTGACGGGCGCATTCTAAGCGAAATCATAGTACTTTTTTTGTGTGTATGTCTGTGTGCTCGCCCGTGTTTGTGTTCTCCCTTTGCCACATGTATTGCTACGATTGTTATTTGTATTGCCATTCCCACCGTTATTCACTTGGTGGCGGGAGGGCAGGGATGGGGTTGGGGGGTGCTTCTTCACGTCTGTGAAGACTGGTGCGCTTACACGCGCCAAGGGTCTGGTCTCATTCATTAGTTATTTCTTCTTTATTTATTTTTTTCCTTTCGTTGAAATAAATAATAATACTAATATTATTTTTAGCTCAATTTAGTAGCTCTTCTTTTAAAGCAATTTTTAGAGTACTTGGTATCGTCAAGGAAATCAACGAGGTGACGTCAAGCAAACGTCTCGCCATCTAAACTTTGTGCTGCCGATCTTCATCAGCTCTAATTATCGTGTTTCTCTTGTTTTTTTTTTCTCCGCTCGTTGTGTTTTCTTCTCAGTAATTGTCCGAATGTGTTCTCAACAAACTGCGTAGCTGCTCTCACGACATGTGTCAAACATATACGCTGATGGGGAGTTTATGACCTTAACAAACAAAGACGATCAAAGGAAAAACAATAATAATACGAGAAGAGCGACTGCCCTTTATCACGTGTATTTCAAGAAGATAAATATGAAAGAAGTCTCGGTATCGCATTTCCACTTGTGAAAGAGCTTTTTCATAAATCCAACTCGTGGTAGTTTAGCGCTCTTTACTACTATTATATATGTTTTTTCTCGCAGTCTGTTGTTATTGTCTTTCCTCACGTTGACAAATATTGGGGGCGCGTTTAATGTGGGATCCGTAGATCATATATATTGAGAACAACACTTTCGATGCCGTCACAAATTTTACATAATTGTTTCCCTTTTCAAATTTGATCCAATCGCTGCGTGCACAACGAACTTGTCTTCGCGAATCAGCGCATAGTTTTTTGTTTTTGTTTGTTTCCCAATTTAAACAACAACAGCCAACAAAAAGGGCGTCTGTACGTGCGCTGTGCTTACCCTTGCTTTGCAGTTGAAATCGGATGCCGCAGATGTGGCGAGCTTCTCCCCCCAACGTCCCTAAAACTGGCTGTTTTTGTTTTTGTTGTTGTATAGGACACCGCGTTCTCTGTCAATCACTTTTTTCCTGCTTCTTCTTCTATCGTTCCTAACCCCCCCCCCCCCAGACTCTTCATTTTTTGTTTTATTAAATGAACTGCTTTCGGTAGTTGTGCTGATGTTAGCGGTTGCGTGAATGAGTGCCCGAATGCTGAGACGCGCAGGAGTGTCTTCTTTTTTTTTTTCTTTCTTCTCTGCCATCACAATTTATGTATTTTCCTCTAAAAATTGTTTTGTTATTATTGCCATGCTTGTCGTCTGTGTACGTGTATGTGTTGAATTCACCTAATTCTTTTACACGCTCTCGTTGACAGCTATTTCGAGTTGACCCCCTTCTTTCTGTTGTGTTGTCTGGCCCAGTCTGTGCGTTACGTGCCGTGTTTCCTTTCTTCTCTTATCGTACACACACCCGCATTCAAATGGGCCTGCTCCACTTTTTCTTTTTTTCAACTCAAAAGGAACTTTTTAGATACCGCTCTGACCTCAAAGTGGAGTTTTTATTATTTTCGTTTTACTGGTTGGATTAAATCGTCTTACTGTTGTCTCCGTGGTGGCTTTCTTCCTCTTTTGTGTATCTGTGTGTGTGTGTGTTTGTGTTTGCATTTTTAACTCTCTTCCTTTCACCCCCTGTTTCATTAACATGCTGCCCGAATTGCGTCGCAGCATGTATCGTTCTATTAACTAGTAGTATTAGAAGAAACAACAACAACAAATAAAAGAAGATAGCGTAGATGTGAGCACAGGTGTGTGCAGCTTGGCTTTTCGTCTCACAACATCAACAGATAGGTCAAGACAGTATTCTCCCTTGGTTTTCTTTTTTCAACGTACTCTTTGACGTTCTTTTTCCTCTCGTTGTCATCCCCCCACCATCACGACTGTGGAGGGATGACCCGCCATGTATTTTTTTTTCTTCTCATTCCCCCCAACGTTTTGTTTTGTTCTTCTCCCTTTCTTCCTCCCACAGCATTCGAACGAGTTATAATCCTTTTATTTTATTTTTTTGTTTTCGTGTTAGAGATTTTGTTAGCGGCCAAATTATCAGGTGTCATTCATTATTAGTAGTTAACTCGTTGCTATGCAGCGCACCTTATTCGTTGTGAATTAGAAAACATGTGTCGGCAACTAGGGAGATCGTTATCGTCCGAGTAAAGTCAACGACAAAGAGGTAGTCCACCGAACAGCCCAGTCGCCGGATTGTTATGGTTGCTACTGTGCTGTTGACGACGATGCGAACCAAAGAATAGATGTTGCTGGGGCAATTACAATTCGCTCCTTTTTCCCCCGCATTCCTCTGCTTTTTCTTTCTTTGTGATTGTTTCAACTGCGCCCCTTTGCGATGCAGCTCATGGGATTCCTCTCTGATGGGTGAGCGAGGGTCTTTTTTTTGTTTTTCTGGGCGGTTTCCTCTGTGCGCAGCGAAGCCTCTTCTGTTTCCCTAAAAAACTCATAGATATATGTATATATATGTACTGCACCTTCTTCTCTCTCCTCTTTCATTGTACAAATCATCTGCGGACTTGGTGTGTTTCTTCACGAACCTCGATCATTACCTTTTTTTATGTTTTCCTTCCTGCTGCTCGCTTCCTCCTTCTTTTTTCTCTTCTTTGTTTTGAATAGGAATTGCTTATGTACCGAATACGCGTGTGCGTGTGTGTGTATGCGTCACCACCGACGTTCCTGAAAAGAAAAGAAAAAAGGGCAAAAGCAGCACAGAGGGAGTGAGCAACGACACAGATAAGTAAATCTGGCTTTCTTTTGTGCGTGTTTCACCGTGTTGATGAGCGGAGGTTTTTTTTTCTTAAACGCCATCCGTGATGGTTGCTACATATGAATGTTCTGTTGAGGTGGTTGCTATCATCCTTGTCCGGTGCGGCTCTGTAACTTTTATTCTACCGTGATCAACGCGTGGATTTTTTTTTTGTGATAGTTGTTTTCTCCCTTTTCTAACTTTATCCTCCTCTTTCTTTTAAGCGACATTCTGCTTTTCGTTTGGTAGAAATACTTCGTCCTTTCTTTTTTTCTTCTCTGTGAGTCGTTGCCGCATATTCTTGTTTGTTTGTGTGTGTGTGTGTCACCAGCATCTCCTCTCTCTTCTTGTTACCTTTTACTGGTTTAGATGTCCTTTGAGTTTCCCCACCTTCTCTTTGCGCTTGTCGTTCGGCATTCACCCCCTCCTCCGTGTAGAGGGTTTTTTTCTGCCCAAATCGTTCCGCTGAGGCATCCAAACTCGAGAGGTATTCCTGTCGTCTTCTGGTTGTTGGTTCGCCGCCGCGGAGGGAGACGGCTCACCGGGAGCGAGGGCGGGAGAGGTAAGGGCTTCAGAGGACTAAAGCATGCAACCCAAATACGCACTCGACGTACATAACGATGCGAGAGGACTTTCTTCTGTCTTTTTTCTTCTTATTTTGTTTTATCATTAGCGATTACTTTGTAGCATTAAAGCAAAAGGCTTAGTGACGGCGGGAGACAAAATAAATAGGCGCTATGAAGCTCGTCACACAATTTCCATTTCCTTCTTTATTATTATTATCATTATTTCCCATCATTTGTTAACATCTGTCTCTTTGTTGTTTTTACCTGCGAGTTTGCCTTCAACGCCTCCGTGAAATCAACGAGCTTTACAAACGAAACAGCGGCGTCAACGGCAGCACAGCGTAGTGCTGAGTTTCTATTATTTGTTTTTGTTTTTATTTCACTTCCTGATGAACGACCCATGCACATAAGCGTTGAAGCGTCCCTGTGCGGTACGCCAACTCGTCTGAATCAAAAGGTAGTAAGTAGTAAGTTTTTTTTGTTTTTCAAGACAAACAGGTGCCCCCTGCGCGGTGGCGGTCGGTTTGTGCTACGTCACGCATACGGATAGGTCCGCACCTTCGTAGGAAGTAATTTACCCGGCACAAACGCACCACCTAGATTTAATGTTTATGTAGGAACTTCATGGCCTTTCACACGTTTGTTTAACTGATGCTGCTCGTCGCCGTCGTCTTTTTGGTGTTTTTCTTTTTTTACCTTTTCGATTATTATTATTTTTTCAGTCTTGGGGCTTTTTCTTTTTGTCTCTTTAACAGCTTTCCGAGGAAAATCTCCGGCTCACGCATTTTTTTATTGTTTTGTTTTTTTTGTTTGGGTGTGATTTATCCTCCTTTGTGACGCGTGTTGATGTGTTTCCCCGTTCGCAATGATTCTTTCGTGGTCGTTTGGAGTCCACTGCACTGCACCTCTCCCCCAAAAGAGACAAAACAACAGAAAAGGAAAACAACAAGGTAATGCAACATGTCGATCTACTCACAGCTGTCAGCAGGCGCGATCTTTCTTTCTTTCCGTCAAAGAGCATTTCCTCCCATCGTTTTGAATACTTCTGGTGATATTGCCTGGAAGTGTTTACGTCGGTTTGCAGGATATGTATATGTGTGTGTCGGTGTGCTCTTCATTACTGATGGCGCCAGAATCGTTTCATTCGTTGAGGATGGCAGGCCGATTTGACTTCTTTTTTCCCCCTTTCTTCGTACTATCTCTTTCCCACGCTCTCCCTCTGCGCGTTGTTGGTTTTTCTTCTCCCTTTCTCCGTTTTTTTTTGGGGGGGGGGAATCTCTCCTCTCTCGTGTGCTCGGTTGTGCACCCGTCCACCTATCCACCCATCCACACACGCACACACCTGCTCTCCCTCCTTCTCCACACCACCACCTTCATCATCGGGGACCCATCGTGTGAACTGTCCAACACAAGATTTCCTAGCCTCGCTCCTCTTTGCAAACCTGTCTCTCTCTCTCTCTTTCCCGAAGGTGAGAAAAAGAAATATCTGTCATCCACCGCGCACTTTTTTTCTTTTCTCGCTCTTGTTTCACCTTGAAAGACGTTCGCTCTTTTCGATCAATCTTGACACGTTGAAGAATAAAAGAAGAAGAAAAGGAAAAGGAAAAGGAAAAGAAAAAAGCACACTTTGATACGCATTTTGCAACAGCTTGCATTGCGTCTATTTCGTTTCTGTGTTTTTTGTTTTTCCCGTTTCGCCACTCTTCCCCTCCTCCTCCTTCTCCCTCTTCCGGCGGGTTTGTCCCGTACATCGTCCGTTGTGCGCTGCTGTTCTGCTCTCCCCCCTCATCTTCTCTTTACCGCACTCGAAGAAACTGCTGTGTTTACACAAGCACACACATACATATACACGTGCACGTACTGCCTCCCCCACTCATTGTTGCCGCGTACATCGGTGTTTCTTTTTCTCCCTCTCGTGCCACCTCTTTTGTTCGTGCCATTACCACGCTGACACGTTCGACTGCTATCGTGTGTGTGTGTGTGTGTGTGTGCGCGCGCACGTAGAAGACCTGCATCGCCAAATACACTGTCTGCCTTTCGGAGAGCGAGAGAGCGAGAGCAACACCACGGTAACCACCATTACGGGTATTTTGTTTCTTCTTTTTCTCCTTTTTCCCCGGGGATCTCGTAAAACTATTTTTAAAAAAGTTATTATTGTTCAATTATCTTTGTGTTTTTCTTTTTTCTCTGTTCTATTAAACATTTTGCTATCGGGGAGGAAGTGATCTGTTTTCCTTTGCTTTTCGTTTCTTTCTCGTCTTGCGTTTTCTCCGACACCAACATGCACTTCTCTTTGCATCTCTGTCACAGCTGATTTCTACGTACTCCACCCTTCTCCGCTAACCTATTGTCGTCTTTTCTTTTGGTTTTTGTTTTGTCCTCTGTCTTTTCTACCCGCGCTCAAGTTAGAGTTGTCGTTCTTTCATATTGAGCTGTCTCGCTCGCTCTCTCTTTCTATAAGCATTATTATTGTTAGCAGGAGAACGGCACTTACTGAACGTTTCTTTGCGTTCTTTTTGTTTGTTTGTTTTTCTCCTGTTCTGGTTCTTTTTCCATTTTCTGTCGGTTCTCTTTTTCCTTTTACACGCCTACACACATACACATACACGCACGCACACGCACGGACACCTACACAGAGTCAACTAAGGGAATAAAGGGAAAAAACTTTGGCTGTGTGAAGCGTTGAAGAAGAAAGGTTGTTTCTGATTCGTGGCGTCTTAACTCAGAAGGAAAAGGGAAAAGAAAGAAGAAGAAAAAGGACCTTTGCTACCGTGTAGGAGTTGAGAAGCGCGCACGAAAGACCCCCGTCTGTTCTCCGTCTCTCTTTCTCTTTTCTTTTTCACTGTCTGCTGTGTTTATCTCGCCGCGAGAAGAGAAGCGGCAAATCGGGATTAACAACGGTGTAGCTCATTGAAGCAGAAAGCTGTCACCGAGTGAGGTGAGTCCAACCTCACGAACACCGAGGAGCATCATCATTTTTCCTTTTTTTTCTTAGTGCCATCCAGAGGGAAAAAGAGGTGTGGGAAGAGAGCAATTGAAACGGCTGCTTGGCAAAAGGGGTACTTTTGAACTGTGAAAACGGTGTTATTTATGAAGAGCTCACACGCCTGATCTTTTTCTTTCTCTTCTTTACATATATATCTATGTCTGTGCTAGTGAGCACTGCCGCCGCCGTCGCCACCATCTTCAACGCGAATAACCCTGCTAACGTCGTTATCCATTCACCTTCGCCAACGGTTACACCGAATCTTTTCTCAAAAGGTACTGGTGACATGAGCGCCGACGGTGCTGCGTCCGCGGAGGCGATGGCGGCCCCGCAGTCGCCGCTCATGATGCAGAGTGAAAGCGAGAACGATTCTCGTGTGCTCAATGTGCCGCGCACCGCTGCGATGGCCGGCAGCACCACGGAGGTGACCGCCACCACAACGAACACGGCGTCACGTCGAGGGCCAAACCTCGTCTACTGGCTCCGCGGTCTGCCGTTCCAGGCGCAGCGCTCCGACGTGGAGGCGTTCCTGGCAGGCATTGACTACAGCAAGCTGGACATTGGTGTGCTGGAGAACGGGGAGTGCAGCGGGAATGCCTTTGTCGAGCTGAAAGGGTCGAGGCACCAGACGGAGCTGGAGGCGCTCCACAACGCGTTTATTCCGATCAGTGCCCACACCGCGTTGGCGGCCGAGGTGCGGCCGAAGCCGCGATTCGTGGAGGTCATGCCGTCAAACCCGGCGAAACGGCTGGAGCAACTCGAGCACGACCGCTGCCTCCCCCGCGACGCGACGCGGCGGCAGCGCCGTCTGCAGAACGGGTTTGACAACGTCGACGTCGATCACTTCAACCCGCACTTCGCCGCATCGTTCCCGAATGGCTCATTTTTCAACGCCTCCGTTCCGAACGCGTCCTTCGCGAATGGGTCGTTCCCAACTTTCCTCGGCCTGAGCAACAACTCGTCGTCGCAGTTTTCAAACATGTCGCTCTCGGGCAATGTGCCATTGCCGATGCAGCAGCCGCAGCCGCACCAACAGCAGACGTGTTACATCCCATGCGGTGTGCCGGTGGGGTCGTCATCGGTGCCGACGCAGTTTGTGCCGACCTTCTCGAACTACGCGCCCCCCGCAAACCTGCCGACGATGGTCTCCTTTGCGCCGCAGGTGATGGGAGACGTGACGACCGGCGCGGCGGCCCCGCAGCAGACGTACGCGCTGTCGTACGACTATGTCGGCGCGATGCAGCCGTCTCCGTACTTTGGGCAGCACATGGCCTTCGCGCAGCCACCACCGCCACCGCCGCCGCCGCCGTCGCAGCAGCAGGCGACCGTGATGTTTGCCGGCCCATACGGAGCAACATCTTTTGCCTTACCTCCCGCATACAACTGATCTTTCTTGTATTTCCCCGTTTGTGACTCCGTTTTTCAAGTCATGTTTATATTTCTAACACGGCACAAAAGAAAAACGCTCACCTTTGCTTTCCTTTTTCCCGTCGTTTCCCTTTTTCTTTTTTATATATGTCAACAGCTTTACGTACAGCTGCAACGAGGAAGCTCTGCTCACGTAAGCAGTGGTGGACAACGAGAAAAGGATTCTCCTTTTCGTTGAATTCCACACCGATGCCATATATATACACGTACGCTGCACTTGCTCTCTTTCTATTTGCTTGTCTCGCCAGGTAACACGAGAGATGGTGCGCACACTTCGTGTGAAACGCACCTTCGCAATACCCTCCAAAGAAAAAATGGCATCTTCTTTTTATTTTCTCTCTCTCGCTTTCAGAGCATGGGCTTTTTCTCCCTTTTAATCTTTTCACGATTTTGTAGTTTTGTATTTTTTAACCTCCCTTTTTCTTCTGTCTTCTCTATGAGCCGTTCTGTGCCTTTTCCTTTTCTGACCTCTTGCTTACGATCTATCTCTCTTATCTTCTTTTATTTACTTCGTCACTCGTACATCGTGTTCTTTCAATAGCAGTCTGTTTGGTATGTCTTTTTCTTAGCGTCATTTTTCTCCTTTGGATTATGTCTTCTCGGTTTTTTTTTTCTTTCTTTCCTTTTCTTGTACGTGAGCGCCTGCGCGTGTCTGAGTGCTTAAGTACCACGTATTGACTGCTAGGATCCTGTAATTAGGGCTTTCTGTTCTTTTTATTATTATTATCACTATTGGGTTAAAAATTGGCTTCTTTCTGTTGCTGTGTTTGGTGGTTTCTCCATACACACACACACACCCACACACGCATACACAAAGGATTTTCCTCGGCGTTTTCACGGTCTCGATAACTATTCACCCTTTTTTTCCTTATATAAGAAATATATATTTCATGTTTGTCGTTTTTTCCTTTGTTGGCATAGAGGTTAACCACCATCACAACAACACTAAAAAAAAAAAACATAAGCGGGCTTTTATGTATCCTCTGTCTTTCTGCCGTTGCCTTCTTCTCGATATTTATTTAATTATTTATTTCTGTTTGGTTTTTCTCTTGTTCAGCCTTTTTTTTTCTTCCTTCCCTCCTCGAAACACACCGTAGTGTTTAACAAGAACGGTATGAAGGTAGGTATAACATCAACAATAAAAGGAGCACGCCTTTTCTTTTGTTGTTAGTTGACAGGATTCTTTAACTTAAGTTTTTTTTTTGTGAAGTCCCGCTCGAAGGAAGACGCACACGCACGCAGATGCACAGAAACAAGTGCATATACATACACATACACACACCAGCAGCGGCAACGCAGGTGTGGTGGAGGGTGCAGATGATGGGGTGAGGGACTGATTAGTGACTCGAGCGCTATGAGCCAACAAAACAATTTATTTCTCCCTTTCTTTATTTTATTTTTTGTTTCTTTGTTTGTTCTTCTCCACGCTAAACGTTGGCGCGGTAAAATGGGTCGAGCTGCTGAAGAATTTCGGCGAGTTGCTCGTCTTCTGTTTTTTTTTTTCGTTTCCCCCTTTGTCTTGTCTTCTTCCTCTTTTTCAGACTTCAAGTATTGAAACTACTTTCCAAAGAGAAGGAATACTTGTTCTACATCGGGCACTTAACCACACACACACTCTCTCTCGCTCTGTTTTCTTTTTGTTTTTAACTATTTTTCCTTTTGGATCCTGTTGCAAAAGTCATTATTGCAAATATCTATTATTATTTATATATATGTATGAGTGCGTTTGCTTCGACCTGTGTAGTATTTTGACTTATTGCTTAAAAAAAGGGAAGCATCAACAAGAAGAAAGAAAACTGGGGAAAAAGTGAATACATAGGCAGCTGCGTTTCGTGCGCAGTTCCCCTCCTCTTCTTCTTCTTCTTTTTTTTGCGTGAAACCGCAATTCTAACACCCTTGTTTTTTTTTCTAAAGTGATTTTTGTCTCTTGTAAGCTCGTTCTTGCTACTTTATACGATCGCTCTTTTTTTTCTTCTTTTTGAATTACTTGATTTATCGTCACGTTCTTTTTTGTTTTTCTTTGGAGCCTTTTTCTTCTATTTTCTCAGCACTTCGGAGAAAGAAATGATGCCCAGAGCTGCGGTGCGTTGTAACGTCCGCTTTGGATATATAAATATAGTTTCTCTCCCTTTGCTTCTATCTGCTTAAATAAAAACAGCTTTGAGAATGCACGTTGAAGTTATATCTTTTCATCGACAACACCGAAAAGCACTGCTATGAGTTTTTCTTGAGTGTTTATGTTATTTTCTCCTTTTATCATCACGGAACTCGTTAGCGCTGCACCCCCTCCTTATTTTGGTTTCCTTCTCTAAGCATTCACATGCTCATCATTTTTTTTTTTTGGTTTGTTTGATTTGATTTGTCTGCTTTTGTTTTTCGAATTTCTTTCGGTAGGCCGAACGTGCAGGGGGGAGGGGAGGCGCACCTGTTGGACGCGCGTTATTTCTCTCTGATCGGTGCCGCGTATAAATGCCGAAAAATGGACGGAAAGCAATTGTAAGAATGATAATAATGGTAATAACAATACGTGGAAAGGGACACGCGCGGCAAATGCGAAGACGAGTTCCCATTGCACAATAAAAGAAAAGGAAGAAAAGAGTTGCTGCTGTGTTAACGATTTTCTCTCTTTTCTCCCCCTTTTTTCTCTTCCGTCTTGTATTTGCAACGGAAGTGTTCCCATGTATTTTGGTTTTCTTGTTGTTGTCGTTGGTGCTTCTCTCTCGACTTCTGTTTGCAGCCCGCCCTGTTATGCTAGCCCACCAACTCAGCCACGTCTGTCTGTCTGTTTTTTTTTCCGTCTTTTGCCTCTTTGTGGTTTTTCGTATTCTCCCACCCCTTAAAAAATCGCAAAAAAGGCCACGGGGGCTTCGCTCTCTCTCTCTTTCTCTCTCTACTGTCTTCGACTTCGGAAATCCAGTTGATCAGCGCAAAACAATGACGAAGAAGACAAGAGGAAGCAAGTTCGAGAAGCAGCTCTCTTCTCTGGTGGTGTGTTTGCCTCTCAGCCTGTTTCACCACAAACGCGCACGCACAGTGGCTGAATGAGGTAAGAGAAGCGTTAAAAAGAAAGAAAGAAAGAGGGGCAAATCGAAAGAAAAACCACAACCACAAACCGAAGGAGAGGCGTTGGTGCTATTGCGATAGACCGGTAATTGCTTGTTCTCTACCATTGTGTATGTATTTTTATTTGACGTTGTGCATGACACCAAGTAGTTCTCTTCTTCTTCTTTTTTCTCTCGCTCGCGAACAGTACTGTTCTGTGCGTTAGTTTTTATCTTCTTGTTTTTCACACATATACACATATATATGTATAAATGTCTTGCTGGCGGCGTTTGTTGTTCTTTTCTTTTCTCTTTTTTTCCGTAAAGGGGGAGGAAAAGAACACTGAGGCTTGTGTCTCCGTTGACACTTCCAATTAAGCGCGAATTCTTTTCACGTCTTCACGAGTGTGATTACTATCATCACTTCTTCTTCTCCCCCCCCCCCAATTATTATTATGAACGCTGTTTCTTTTTGTCTCCCCCGCTCAAAAGAGAATAAAAAAAAACGACCACATTTTTTTTTGTAAGCTTCTTTGTTTTTTTTTTTGCTACATCTTCTCCTTCTTTCTCGCTGCTACTGCCACTGCCACTCTGCTTTTGTTGTTAGTTGTTTCTGTTTCGCATCTCGCCGCGGAGGCGGGTAGCGGCTGCATATGTGTGTGCGTGCGCGCGTGAGTAAGTGAGTCATGAAGGAGTCGACGTCAATTGCATTTAATTTCGTCTGGTCAGATTATATTTTCTTTATTGTTTCCCGGTTGTTGTTGTTTTTAAAGCAATATGCGTTGTCATCCCCCTAGAGAGTCAACAAAGTCGAATAGAGTTCAAGCGTCAAAACAGAAGCGTTGGTGCTTCCTCCGGTGAAGAGGATGCACACCACCCACGCGTGCACACCGAGAGACTCAAAAGAGAAAAGAAACATTCTCCGGTTTGCTGCGTTTATGTTGTCATGCACCTACATACTGGTCGATGTCCTGTGCTTCATTTTCGTTTTCTGTTGCTTGCTACCGTTGTGCAAGTCGTCATGCTGTTCACTGCCTCAGCCGCTCTCCTCCTCCCCACTGCTTCTTCTCTTCTCTTTTCTTTTCTTTTATATTCCGCATTCCACTGCCTTGTTGTCGACGTTACAGCTCACGTGTGAACGACACACTATTCTTTTTTTCCCCCTAAACTCATCCTTCTTTCTCTCCTCCCCTTTTATTTGTTTACTACCTATCTCCCGGCGTTCGCGATCTCCTCACCTTCCGTACCTGTCCCTCTCAGCGAGCAAACGTACACACCGTTCTTCATCTCCTCCGCTGTGTCGTGCTTGCCGCGCTTTCTGTACTTCTGTCTATATGTATACAAGGGTGTGTGTTTGAAGTAGATCATTTATCTTCTACACGCTGATTCTTCTCTCTCTTCTTCACAGTACGCTGCCCTTCCCCTCCCCCCGCCCTTCCCAACCTCGTCTCTTCTCCATCGCTTCGCCGCCTCCTTTTTACAAGTCCTTTTTTTCTTCTCGCTGTTGGTTTTCTGTCGCGGAATCGGCGCCGGCGTTCAGAGAAGCCGCGATCTGCGCCGGTTTCCAGCGAACAACGCGACTGCGTGACAGAGGAAGGAGAGGGGAAAAGGGGAGAAAAGAGGATGTTCGTGAAGCCGCCTCGCAGTATCTCCCCCGCGGTCGCCACCGCTGACCCTTTCAATTGCAGGGGCGAGCGCTCCTTCAGCGACGCCGCCGTGGATCGCACCGCCCGCCTTCCCTTTTCTGCCTTCTCCGTTCCGTGCCGGATGGGAGCTGCGACGGGCGCCGAGCACATGCGCACGGAGCGGACGTTTCGGGCCAGCGCCGCCGTCACGGAAAGCCAGCCAGAGCCGCAGCAGTCCAGCAGCGACAGCACCGGCAACTCTAACGCCAGTCTGTGGCGGCCGCTGTCGAGGGTCACGACACCCTTCGAGGTGCCGTCGCCTCCGCTCACGGACGCCTGCGGCAACAACACCGCTGCAACGGGGGTTGTGTGGGTTGGGTGCGTACCTCCGAGTCGCGTCCGTGAGCTTTCGCCTCTTATCCACCTCCTCAAAGGAGTGCGCTCCACCGGCGCCGAAGCACCCAGCCAACAACCGTCGCGGCAGAACCTGGACTTCGCGTTCTTCGTGGATGGCCCTTACGAGGGCCAGGGGTTTCTGTGCTTTTCTTCCGCAAAGGAGGCCGAGGAGGCCGTGCGCCGGTGTCCTGGCGTGGTGGTGGTTGGTCAACAGGAGCCGCTCCTGCATGTGTCGGTTCGCGTGTCCTCCGTAGAGGAAATGACGGCTGCCCAGCAGCAGCACCAGCAGCTGCAGCAGTGCCACGCGACACACCTCGCGCCTGCGCTCACGCCGACACTGCCGCCGTCATCGACGCAGAACCTCGTCTACTGGCTCCGCGGTTTGCCGTTCCAGGCGCAGCGCTCCGACGTGGAGGCGTTCCTGCGGGGTGTATGGTACCTTCGGCTGGACATTGGTGTGCTGGGGAGCGGGGAGTGCAGCGGCAACGCCTTCGTTGAGCTGAACGGGTCAAAGGATCAGGACGCGCTCCAGAACCTGCACAACACGTTTATCCCGTGCGCTGCCCACGCCGCGGTGCCGGCGCTGAACCGACCGAAGCCGCGTTTTGTGGAGGTCATCTTGACCACCGCCGACCGCCGTCAAGAGCAGCTGAGCATCGATCGCTGTATGGTGCGGAATCAACTGCCACATCACCTGCGGATGCGTGTGCCGGCCACGAAGATCGCTTCTTCTTCTTCGCCTTCGTTTTCCGCCTCGCGCTACGTAGGTGACCGAGGACGACATCACCAGCAGCAGCCACAGCAGATCAGTCTTCCGCGTCAGTACTTTAGCGGAAGCGATTCGTATCTCTCTTCCGGTGATCACAGCATCGCGGCTTCTGTTGGTACTGCAGCGGCACCTCCGATGCCACCCGTCTCGCCGTCGTTCTTTCTGATGCCGAGCGGGTTGCCGCCCCATCGAATTGAAGTCGCGCAGGGAGGCAGCAACAGTTTCAGCAGCAGCGGTGCTGACCACAACGCTGGCGCAACGACGCCCGCGCGTCGCATTTCGCCCGCGGAGGCGCTGTCGATGATGTCGGCGCAACCGCTGTCGCGCGTGCAGCTGTCGCCCGGCAGCATCAACCCCCACCCCGGCCTCACTGCTCAGGCTTACTCGATGCCGTGCGAATCGGTGTCGCTGCTGCCTCCGCCGCTCCCACCGACGCCGATGCTGCCACCACCGCAGCCGCCTTCCGTGCCGTTGCTGCCGCTGCCTCGGGCGGGTGTGTCGTACAGCACCCCCTACTACGTTTTTCCTCGTCGTGGTGGGTAGGATAGGAGGGGGAAAAGGGAAAACGGCGTATCGTCTGCCCTTCAAATGCCGCGTATCGTCGGCAAAACTTCTATCCTGTGATCCTACGCGCAGGTGGCTGTTTTTTGTATATATGTGTGTGTGTGTGTGTTTTTCCGCACCCCCCAAAAGGCGGAGTAATAGGTTAAATACTAAGAAAGGAAATAACTCTCTCCCCTTTTTTTTATTAGTTTTCGCGCTTGGCTTTCTTCCTCCATTCCCTTTTTTCTTTTTCACTCTTGTTTGATGATCTCTAACGAGATGTCGTAACGTTTTTTTTTCCGCCTTCTCTTCGTCGTTTTGTATTTATTCACCTCCGCGTTGAGAAAGGTTGTTGTTTTCAGTTTTCTTTTGTTCCTGGCATCCTTACTTGAGCTTACCATGCTCGCTCTCTCTCTCTCTCTCTCTATATACATATATATAAACAAATCTGTTGACCTCTTCTATACGTTTTTTTCTCTCTCTCTTTGTCGGCAGGATCGACGTGTTAAAAACAATTCTCAATCGCTTAGGTTTCTGAGAAGAAGACCTGCGAGAAACTCGTTCTGTAAGGAAACGGTAAGCTCCCTTGTTTTGCTTCTTTGTTTGTCAGAGATCAGCCTCTGATTCCTTCTTTTTTTTCCTTTTCTCTCTCTGCTTTCGTTGTTTCCTTTTTCCGTCTCAGCGCAACCTTCTATTATTGTTATTCGTTTTTTGTTTGATCTCGCCCCCTTTTCTTCTGGTGTTTTCTTATTCTCCCTGTAAGTGAATTCGCAGCATCTTTATGTCTGTGTCAGTTGGCGAAAGATGTCTTTGTGTGTGTGTGTGTGCCTCCGTTTGGGTGGGTTTGCTGATTCTTTTTTGTGTGTCTTGTGGAGTTGGTGTCTTATCGCTTGGTTTTATCTTCTGTGTTTTTTCCTCGTGGAGTGTGAGTTATTGTCTTTCTTGTTCGGGTATATAACATGCATTTCTGGTTTGCCTACACCTTCAATAAACACCATTCATCGTACCTTCTATATATATTCACCCTCCTGTCCGGCTCTCTTCACTCGAGCCCTCACGCGTTTTTTTATTTTGAACACCGCTCTCCATGTAGCAGCGCCCCGATGACGTTTTTTCTTTTTTTCTTTGATGACTGAAGTGCCGAAACGTAAACAAACTGACGGCGACAACAACAACAGCAAAAGAAATGCATCAGAGGAGGGGGGTTGCAGTTGTACCTCTTTCATTCGGTACTTACCGTTTTCAATATCCGTTTAAAAAAAAATGTCTCTTGCTTCTCTTCAGCTTGGTTGCTTTTTTTTTGCTGTTATTTCTTGGTGATGGCGATCAGGAACACCGCACAGTTCCGTACCCATAGGAAGGGTTTTTCTTTCTTTCTTTCTATGTGCGTGCGTGCGTATGAGCGGGCCGAGAGCGTCACTTTGGTGTCCGTTTTCTTCTTGCATGCCCATCGGTGCTTTTCAATTTATATATATTTTTTATCATGACTCTCCTTTTGGTAGATACGGAGGTTTTCCTCGTTTCTTCTTGTGTACGGGGAATGGATCGGCGAACGTTATGTATTTATTCATCTCTTTCTTTTTCTCTCTCTCTCGCTCAATCTCTCCTTCCCCTGCTGCAGTTCTTCCGTGAGTAAGGACCTCAAAGCATTCTCTTTCTTGTGGGTGTGTGTAGGCGTGGGTGTTGTAGGTTGTATCTTCGTCTATGATCCATATCTCCCAATTATCTTTTTTCCCCTACTCCGCGTTCTATATGACATCGTCCATTACTGGCTTCACTTACTCTTGAATGGTATATCCTTTTTTTTCTTCTTTAAGGGAGGGAGGGGAGAAGGACTTTCGTCCTCATCATATCCACCACCCGCAGCGTCGGCTTCAACAAAGATGATCTTTGCTGTATTCTCTATCCAGTTGCCTATCTAATAAGAATAACAATAGTAATAAAACCACGCATACTACGCTTTATCCGGTGCGTATGGAATCGCGTCGACGGTCACCTACGTTGTTGATGGTTGCTATTGCTGTGGAAATGTTGCTTGTATTGTGAACTGATAATAATAATAAAAAGAATGAGAAGAGCTTAAACCGCTTCAAAGCACGTAAATTGCCAACTTTTTTTAAAATTGTCTTTCCCTCACATCCTACGCTCTTGTATTCTGGTGGATCGTTACTGAATGCACGTGCATGCGCATCAACGTGGAATGCAATTGACCAGCGGGGGGTTCTCGCAGCAACCAAGCACACGGCGTCTTTGTACCTGCTGTGATAGAAGAGACTTCTCCTTTAAAGTATATATCGTTGTTGCTGCTACTGCGTGAACGACAATTCTTTTGTCTCACCTGTAATGCTTCTTTTCTTCCTTTCTCATTGTTCCAGCATCTGATCTTTGGCTGCGCTTAGAGCTACGTTTTTTTTTTGTCTCGTCTTTTCCATTTCGTTTAAGTTTGTTCTTCGTTGTGTGCAGCCGCAGTGCGACATTTTTCTTCCTCGTTCTCTTTTCCATTTCATCGTGTTGGCAGGTTGTTGGTGCGCGATCGGAAGAGATGGATTCTCAGCCACACCACAGGTTGTGCAACCAGAGAAACCAAATAGGAGGATAGCACTTCGGCTCTTCTTTTTGTTGTTGTTTTTCTTTCTTTTGATTATTTAATGTTAAGAATACAAGGAAGGCGCTAAGAAGAAAGCCTTTTGAGGTTTCTTTTTGTTTTTGCGATCTTCTCTTTCTTCTCTCTCTCTCTCTCACGTTCTCTCCTAGTTTTATTCTGGTCTCTAGACTCGACACCTTTCTCTTTGTACGTGTGTTCGTTTTCTTTTTTTTTCTCTCGGGGGGATGAGCTGGAACACGCTCTATGTACCACGCCACGATTTCTTTCTCTTTTTTTTTGTAGGAAGCCTTTTTGAAAATGAAGGTCTAACAACGTAGCGTTGCTAAATAGTAATAATAGGCACTGTGTGCCTTTTGTTGTTATTGTTGTTGGCTGTTATCGCGCATCGACATATTTTTTCTTGCATGTCTTGAACGTTGAGCTCCACACCGCAGCTTTCGTGTTAACTTCTTTTGTGTTTTATTTTCTTCGCGTCTGTGCTTTCTCTTGTTTTACACACATACGTTGTGGGTGCGTGCGTCCTTTGTTTCTTCTTCTTCTTTAACGTCCCTGCTATTTCTTTCTTCTACGGCTGCATTGGTGCTCGGTTGTTCCGTCGATGAAGACTTTGTTTTGAGAGGTTCGTACTCCCAGCAGCACCGCAGCAGGTTTTCCTTGCCTTTCTTTTCTGTGTTGTGTGAACGCAAAGTGCGGGCTACTTTTGCGAGACAAGTTTCTCGTGATTTTGTTGTTTTTTGCGGGACTCCAAACAAAAAATCCTTCGCAATTTTTTTTCCCTTCTCTTTTCTTAGTATTATCGTGCTATCAGTGCAGCTTTATGCTCTCCATGGTTTCGCTGTTGCCTTTTTGAATTCTACAATGGATTCCGCGAGCTGAACGCTTCTCTCTCTCCTCTCCTTTTTTTTTACAAATAAAAATAATAATTATCTCTTCACCCTTGGTTACGATGAAATCGTGTGGGTATTTCGACCACAACGCCCTGGATGTTAGCGGTTTGGAAGGGGAGACACACGCGCATACGCACAACGATACAGGTATTCATGGGGCAGACGCTATCTCCCTCTTCACGAGTCGGGCAGGTTTTTTTGTTTCTTTTTGTCCTTCCCTTGCTCGTAACGGGCAGGATCAGCTGCGTGAAGGGTGTGGAGAAACGCTGGTCTCAGGAAAAGTAAATAACTATCTTTCTTCTTCTTTTTTTTTGATGGTGGCACGTAATTGTTTGGCAAAACTGTAGCGTCAACGAGAGAAATAATGATAATAATAATAATGAAGCGGGAAAAAACATATATGGGGCTCTACCAAACTCCTTAAGAAGCAAATATATAAGTTGGCTCCTCTGAAATTTCCGCTCGCAGCATAGCAGTGAAGCGTCAATCGTTTGGGGTGTTGCTTCAGTCGTGTATCCACTTCCAGGCTGACTGTGCAGCACAATGGATTCTGTTAGTACTACTAACAACAGCAGTAGTGGTAGTGGTAGTGGTAGTAGAGGGGCTTAATGGCGCCTTTCAAACACGCAGCGAATGGAAATGTGCATCAAGAAAAAAGAACCTCTTGTTCCTTTCGTGTTTTTTTTTTGAAATCGAAAACGCATCGCTCTCCTGGTTGTTATTCCCCTCTCTTCTTTTTTTCTTTTCACCTCCTTCTCCGACTCTCGCTTGAATCTCTCATCGGTGTGTGTGGTGCAAATTCAAAGTGTGATATATATATATATATATATATTATTGTTTTCTCGTTTGGTATCGCATCTACGGCTTTCGTGTCTGCGAACCCTCTACTTGTGGAACCGCTTTTCGTTCTTCTACTCAAGCTACTAAATATATATATATATATCTATATATATAGTATCGTGTATTTGTGGGAAAGGCGCATCCGCTCCCACGACAGAAGATTTTTCTGTTGCCTTTTACGAGGAGGCTCAGCGAACAGTATCCACAAGCAATTAAAGAACACACGAACAAGCATTTCCGCGGTTTTCTTGTCTTTCCATTTCTCTCTCCCCCTCTCTCTTACACACGCAAGAGCAGAACCTACCGATTTGGATCTCCCTTTTGTTTTTTTGTTTTGTTTTAACTTCCTCTCGTTAACCTCATGCAGCGGATATCTTTCTCAAAGCTCTCCCTGGCCGGCGTCGCCGCTGCGGCGGGGTCATCAGCCGTCTTCACTGCGACACGCGCAGCCTCGACCGGGTCAGTTGACAACGACGGCGGCGTTTCGTCGACGCGGCGCAACGCCTCGCACAGACGTGTGCACCTGCTGCCGTCTGATTTCCCTTTCCGTCCTCCGGTGCTCCGTGCCACAACGATGCCGTCTCCGGTCGCCAGTCTGCAGCACGCGCGTCGCTGGCAGTCCTCTGTCTCGCAGAAGGACTTTAGCCACATCACGCACGACCTCGTGTGGGGCTTGTGGAACGAAGGCAACCTCTTCTCCCTCTCCGCGCCGGAGCTGATCTTCTTCTTGCAGCAGCAGCAGCTGAACTCCTCGACGACAGGCGGAGCTGCCGGGGGGACGTGGTCGATCGATCCACAAGCCAAAAAGAGCACGCTGGTGCGGCAAGTGGAGGAGCTGCTGTCGGCGGAGCAGGCGAATCTGACGGTGCCGCAGGAGACCGCGAATGTCGTAATGTCGGGCTACGACCGCGTCGAGGAGACATTGGATGAGGCAGACGAGTACGGGGACTGGGGCGCCGAGCCGGGCTTCGAGGAGCGGCGGCACATCGACTACATGGAGTTCAGCCCTCAGATGATGGGCGAGCGCTACGAGCCGCTGGTGCCACGCGCGTATCAGCTGCTGCACTCGAACTTGTCGGCGGATGTCGGGCTGAACCTCATTAATCCATCGAAGCTTCCCGGGCAGAGCAAAAACACGCTGGCGTACTTGGTGTCCAAGGTGGACGTGGACAAGGCGAACGAGCAGCACTTCCGGCGGGGCTTGGAGTGGTGCATGGCGAACCTGTGGAACACAAACATGAACGGTGAGCTGAACATCGGCGCCGGCCGCATTCTCTTCTACCGCTCCATTGCGAAGCAGAACCGTAACGCACTACCTCTGTGGGCTCTGCAGAAGCACGTGTATGCGCAGCACCCCTACGTGTGGTTCGCCATCGCGTCGTCCACGAACGCCGAGGCGATGGAGAAGCTGGCGAACCAGCTCGGCATGAAGCTGGTGCAGGACACTACCACGAGCTACAAGCTGTCCATCCGCCGTGCTGGCGAGATCCTGGATGCGGAGCTGAACGCGCAGCTGCAGTGCACCAAGCTAAACCGCCCTTGGGACCGCTTCTTGGTGTCGCACTTTGTCCGCGCGCAGATGCCGGACCTGCGCTTCTTGGTTCGCGCGCGGCACCCGATTAAAAAGCGCATCGCGGATGCCTACTTGGAGGCCGACATCTTACGCAGCACTCGCGACTCGGTGCAGTCGGTGCTGTCACCCGAGCTGGGCGACGTTAATTACTGCTGCGAGCGCGTGATACGGAAGTGGGCGATGCGAACGCAGGTCGGTGTCACCCTGCAGCTGGTCGAGACCCGCCGCACCCCGTTGATCATCACGCGAGCCGGCGACGAAGGGGAGCGACTGGAGTATGAGTGGATTGTGGTGCTGCCGCAGAAGGCGGAGCGAGTGGATATCGCGGCGATGTCCTCGGAGCTGTGGCGCTACGGTAGCCTGCTGGCGAAGGAGTTAGAGACAGGCATGGAGGAATTCCTCTCGCACACCATGACTTCTGTTGCGGCCTTCTAAGTTGAACGAGGGCGAGGTGGTTGGGACTGTGCAGCCTTTGATTCTCACAAACCTTTTTTAATACATATATATATATATATATATATATATGACTTCCCCCCCCGGTCATTGCCACGCATTACTTACCGCGTCTGCAGATTTGTTTTCGCTATCCTTTCAAACTATTCATGCATGCTTTAACCACTTTCTTGTTTTTTAGCTTTCCAAGTCAATCCTTCTTGCTTCGCTCCACAAACGCAACCGTTAGTCATTCCAAATTCTCTTAGCGACGCAACATTCATGTGTGTAAGACTGCGCACGTCGGACTGCCGAGTCGTGACATATACCAGCTGACCAGCCTAACGCACTTTGTTTCTTACCCCCTTTTTGTTAAAGTATTCCGTTTATCGGGTGAGAGCGGGAAAGAAGAAAAAAAGGTATCTTTACGAGTTTATACGTATATATTATTTTTTGCTTGTATGACGTGCGTGTGACCAAAGGACCTAGCATGGTGTAGTCATCCGCAGTCCCTACCGCGTTTTTCTTTGTCTGCTTTCTTTTGCTCAACGGGCTTTAAAAACACCAAAAAAAGCTTCAAGGTGCAGACACACACACACCTGCCTTTTTCTTCTTCTCGTTTTTTCCTTCTTTCCACGACCGTCAACTACCTCCTTCCGTTGATTCAAGATGCCGCCGAAAGCACCGAAGGGCGCGCCCAAGGCGGCGGGTAAGAAAGGCCCGCCCAACGCCATGCTGGCGAAGCTGAAGATGAAGATGGAGCTGCAGAAGGCAGAGGAGGACCGTCTTCGCCAGGAGGCCGAGGAAGAGGAGCGCCGCATCCGCGAAGAGGAGCGGCTGGCGGAGGAGCAGCGCAAGTATGAGGAAGAGGAGCGCCTGCGGGAGCGGGAGCAAAAGAAGAAGGACGAGCAGCTGGCCCGCAAGGAGGCGAAGAAGATGGGCAAGAGCGACGCCTTGGATCGAATGCGTGCCGCGGGCATGGTGCTGCCGGATGTGGAGAAGATCCGCCACGACGAGGAGATCCGGAAGGAGACGGAGAAAAACGCGCCGCCGAAGCCGAAGCCGAAGCCGAAGCCGGCGGTGAACGGAACCGCGGCACATGCGCAACAGCTGCAGCAGTCGGACGAGGAGGAGGAGGAGGAGGACGCAAACGCGGAGCAGTCGGAGCCGTCGGAGTCGGACGCGGAGGTGGACGAGGACGACTGGGAGGCCGTCATGGAGCGCGATGAGCGCCGCGAGGTGCGGCACACCAACAACGTCCGCATCCGCACGAAGCGCACCGAGCGAAAGACGGCCCGCAGGGAGGCAAAGCGCAAGGTGGAAGAGGCGACGCGCGAGGCCGAGGCGGCGCAGAACCACGTGCTGGAAAAGGTGAGCAATCTGCGTTCACCCATCTGCTGCGTGCTTGGCCACGTCGATACCGGGAAGACGAGCCTGCTCGACCGCATTCGCATGACGAACGTGCAGGGCGGCGAGGCCGGCGGCATCACGCAGCAGATCGGCGCCACCTTCTTCCCGCGTGAGAAGCTCGTCGCGGATACGGCGGAGTTGAATAAGAAGTACAACTACAATCTCGACGTGCCCGGACTGTTGGTGATCGACACGCCGGGCCACGAGTCGTTTACGAACCTCCGCAGTCGGGGTAGCAGCCTGTGCGACATTGCCATCTTGGTCGTCGACATCATGCATGGGCTGGAGCAGCAGACCCGCGAGTCCATCCGCCTGCTGCGCGAGAAGCGGTGCCCCTTCATCATTGCTCTCAACAAGGTCGACCGTCTGTACGACTGGCAGGCGCACGAGAATATGGACATCCAGCAGACACTCGCGCTGCAGAAGCCGCACGTGCGCAACGAGTTCAACACGCGCTGGAGCCAGGTGAAGAACGAGCTCTCCGCGGAGGGGTTGAACTCGGAGCTGTACTACAACAACAAGGAAGTGCGCAAGTTCGTGTCGGTGGTGCCGACCTCGGCCAAGACGGGCGAGGGCGTGTGCGACTTGATTCTGCTGGAGATTCACCTCGTCCAGCAATTCATGGAGGGCAAGGTGACCTACAAGGATGATCTGCAGTGCACGGTGCTTGAGGTGAAGCCGATCACGGGCTACGGCTTCACGATCGACGTCATCCTCATCAACGGCAACTTACACGAGGGCAACGACATCTGCCTGTGTGGACAGAACGGCCCCGTCTTCACGCAGATCCGCTCACTGCTGACGCCGAAGCCGTTGCGGGAGATGCGCGTGCGTGGTGAGTACGACCACCACAAGTCCATCAAGGCCGCCATGGGTGTAAAAATTGCCGGTAACGATCTCGAGTACGTCGTGCCGGGAACGCAGCTGCTCGTCGTGAAGCCCGGCGACGACCGCGAGAAGATCGCCGAGCAGGTGATGAAGGACGCAACGAACATACACAAGTTCTTAAACCCGGACGGGGTGGGTGTCAGCGTGCAGAGCAGCACGTTGGGCGCGCTCGAAGCCCTGCTGTCGTTCTTGCAGGAGATGAAGATCCCCGTCGCGAGCATCGCGATTGGCCCTATTCACAAGCGGCACATGGTCCAGGTGCTGTCGATGAAGAGGCGCGAACCGCGCTATGCCGTCATTCTCGCCTTCGACGTTGTCGTGTCGGACGAGGCGCGCGATATTGCGAAGAAAAACGACATCGACATCTTCGAGGCGAAGATTATCTACCACCTCTTCGACAGCTTCACGCGCTACATCAACGAGTACGAGTCGCGCGAGAAGGAGCGTCTGCGTGCGGTGGCCGTTTTCCCGGTGTACATGAAGCTGATCGGCGATGCAATTCACGCGACGGACCCGATTATTCTACCCGTGAACGTCGAGCGTGGGCAGCTGCGGGTCGGCACCCCGATCAGCGCGTTGAAGAAGAGCACGGATGAGGTCATCCCGATTGGGAGGGTGATGTCGATGGAGCGTGACAACCGGCCGGTGGAGGTGGCGACGCCGGGCATGGACGTTGCGGTGAAGATCAACTCCGGTGAGTCGGGTGTGACGGCGGGCCGTCAGTTTTCGCAGGAGGATACGCTGATCTCGCACATCTCCCGCCCCTCTGTGGATGCGGTGAAGAAGTTTGCCGATGAGCTGAAGCCGGACGACATTCAGCTGCTGGCCACGCTGATCAAGGTGCTGAAGGTGCCTAAATGAGCAGCAGCAGCAGCAGCAAGCAAAAAAAAAGGAATACGCAGCGCAATGCGTTGGTGGCTGTTTCAGAGCGTTTGGCTGCTGTGCTCTGCGGCGGTACGAACTGCTGGAGGAAGGAGGTCCGCCGGTGGATACCAAATGATATCTAAAAGTTTTTTCTTTTACTTTTCTTTTTTCTTTTTTATTTTTTTAAATACCTGTTTCGTCTAACTAATCGCTACTGACTGCGTAGTAGATTTGGCCAAGCGAGGATCGAGGAAGAGGCCGGAAAAGGGGAAGGGAGAGAGAGAAGATAAAAAAAACGTAAGTGGCTCGTGCGGCGCATGCACAACGCTGTTCTTTCCTTCTTCCTCCTCTTATCTCCTCCCCCCCCCCCCTCCCCCTCCTCTCTATCTTTCTCCGCTTGTTGTTGGTGGTGTGTCGATTTGCGTGTGAGTGTGTGTGTGTGTGTGTGTGTGTAGCGACGACGTTGAATTTGTTCCTGCGAGGTGTGTCTTCTTCTTTCCTTTCCTGTTTCGCTTCGATAACTCTTCTTTTACCTCTTCTTCGGTGCGTCTTGCGAGGGCATTTTTCACAGCGGTGGCCACGATGTTCAGGGAACGGCGTTTTTCTCACCTTCTTTCTTTTTTATTTGTGTTTATCAAAACAGGATAATATATATATGTGTGTGTGTGTGATTCTACAACAACAGTACACACACAGAATGAACCCAGCCTGCCACATAGCGTTGCTTCTGCCGTAGGACGCTTCCCGGACCTCCGCAATTCCTTTATTATTATCTTGCCACCGAGAAGCATCATGAAAGATACAGAAGAATAAACAAGTACAGAAGCCAAGGAATCAAACAAGAAATATATATACATATATATATGGAACACGTGGATGTGATGCTTCTATGCGGTCTGCGGTGCGAGGGTTTGTGAGTTCTGTTTTCGTTTGTTTGGCGAGCAGAAGAGCGTTGAGAACAAGAGAGCCGAATAACTCGAGTGCCGCATCTTTTTTGTTTGTGCTTTTTAAAAAGCCAAACACCCTGCCTTGTCTGCGCCTTTGCGTAGGCAACGGCGTTGACACCCCAACCAAGACCGGATACAGAGCATTAACCGCTGGTGCAGCGAGGATCTTTTCTTTTTTGTTTTCCCCGCTTCGCATTCTGCTCCTTTCGGGTTCCTTTTATGCGGTAGTGAATCTCCTCCCTCTCTCACCTCCCAAAAAAGGAGAAGAAGTTCGTTCGCCTCCCACATGTACACGATACTGTTCCTCCTTCTTTCCTCGACCTCTAACGCTCTTCTCCTTTGCGTTGTATGGCCGCGGCGCCTTTTCCCTATGACTGGATCTATTTCTTCTTTTTCCTCTTTTGAAGTTCTTATGGTTACTCGTTGTTGTCGGAGCACATAGAACGCCTAGCGGAATGCACCCGCAACACTCGTTGGCCGACACCGTTGTACGGGCCGCCGCCTGGAGTGACGGCGGCGCGGAGTTTATCTACGGGGACGGCACCATTCTCTCCTTCCTCGACGACATGAACACCTTCGTGGCGGTGCGTAGCAACAAGGCGCCCACCCCCGATGCACGTCGAGGCACGCACAAGCGGTACACTGTTTTTTCACCCTCTTGTGACGGCGAGTGTGGCGATGCCGGTGAGGCCCGACAGGAAGATGAGGCGGAGCGGGAGATGTGCTTTACCGCCTGGACTTTAAGCGCCTACGAAGCTAAGGTGCGGGCAGCGCTCTCGGTGTACAACAGTCTCGCGGAGCGCCCCCGCCTTATCTCCACTTTACTGCCAGGGTATCCGCACAGCAATAGTAGTCGCCCTCCTCACCATCTTTTATCAGTGCATCACTGTGAGGCAGCGTTACATTGTGGCGGTCACTGCGGTGTATGGCGTGTGCCGGGGCCACCGATCCACACCCTCTTGGTGGAGAAGCGGCCCGACCTCTTTACCCGCTACGCCGTGTACGGCGCCGTTCGCGAGTGGTTGCTCGAGCCGGCGTTGACGCAGCCGAACGACGAGACTGTGACGCTGTCAGAGACCGCGCAGGACACGACTGTGTTCTCGGTCCACGACGTGCCTTCACGGGTGTGGGGTGTCGATGCTCTTGCGGCGCACAGCAGCAGTAGCTGCGAAATGCGACTCAGTCCTGCGATCCACCACCCACGCCAACTACCCACTCACCTCCCCGTCGGGACCGTGCTGGAGCTGTGGTGCGTCCTGCGCCGTGTGCGGCTGACGGTGGCGGTGCATCGCGAGACCTTCACGGTGCGGTGGCCTGCCCCGGTCACCCGGCCAGACGGCTCTCGGCTACCTCCTTCCTCTGTCGCGTCGTACCTCCCAACGTCGACTCACGTGGACGCGCTTCTTCCGTCGTCATCATCGGTGCTCTTCACCTATGTGGAGCAAACGTTCCCCGTGTGCAGCCCACCGCCGGCGTGGCGCGTCATGTTGCAGATGGCGCTCGAAATGGATGCGGAGCTGCCCATGACGGACATCGTGTACCACGCAGCGTACACCACCGGCACTGACCCTACAGAAGAAAACGAGTGCAACGTGCAAGAGGCGCGAGCACAAATCTCCATGGCGCGTTCGTTGCCGGCAAGCGTTTACACCGACACGTTGCTCTTCGCGGACAATGAGGGCGGCGGCTGTGGTGGTGGTGGGTGGCTAGGCGAGCTACCGGACCCCCATCACTGGGGAGGAGTGCTCAACCATGGACGCACGACCCACCCCTGTCGATTCTCCTCCCTCACACCGGCGCAGGCGACGCATCTCGCGGCTCCGCGGACGGCGCGGGTGCTGGATGCCATGCGGGCCCTGCACAGTGGCGGCCACGGCACGACCTCTTTTGCTTCGTCTTCTGCGAAGGAAAGCGGGCGACTGTGCTGGATGTACGAGGCGAACCGGTGTGCCGCGAACGGCTACGTCGGCGACGCGGGCGGCAGCCCTCCTGCGGTGTACTGGTGCCTACCAGCAGCAGCAGTGTCAGACGACTCACACCCCGAAGGTGCTGATGTGCTGGCGTGGGTGGCCGAGGATGGCAGCGTAGTACACACGTGCTTGGAAGGGCAGGGCTACACCGTGCTGCATCAACGCGTGATCCCCGCGGTGTCAAAGCCGGTAGTGTATCGGCTCGCGGGTGATGGAGCAGCATCAAGGGCGTCGCACAGACTGCCGCCGACGGTCGCACCGCTGCGATGTCGTGTGCTGCTTTCGTGTGCGGGAGCATCACGTGAAGAAGCCGATAGAGTCAAGCACAAGGTGAGCGGTGGACGCGACCCACTCCCTCCCCTGTCTCGTCAGGACAAAGAGGACGTGAAGGTGGTGACATTGTCAGAAAGAGACCAGAACCCCGAAGACTTGCCTACCCCTGATGCTGCTGCTGAAACGACGGTGGATGTAGCCGTGGTAGTGGTGGATCCGTTGTCGTTGCACTGCACACAACGCACAAACGAGGGTGTTGAGGTGCATGCCGCCTCGGCGATGAGCGCGTGCTCAACGCTGTCCCAGCTAACCGAGCTGTCTCCTCTGAGCAGCGCCATTCCTGTGACTGACGGCGTCATCCCGGCGCATTTCCCCGCCGCTACGCAAACTCTCACCGCACTTATCCCGCAACCTCAGTCTCTCTCGGTTATTAGGGCGGAGGAGGCGCGGCGAATTCGATGTCATCGCTACCTCGCCGCCGTTACTGATGTGTGCGTGCAGCTGTCGCAGCTGAACTGTGCGGTGTCTCGCGAGCGGCAAAAGAGAAGGGCTGATCAGGCGCCGCTTCGCACAACTCACGCCACACTCGCCGCCTACTGTCAACCCGCGCCGTTCCAAGAACAGTCCATTAACGCCCTTCTTTTTTCGCTTTCCCCATTCAAAGCTCGCCCACCGCCGAGTTGCGGGGAGGGCGGCATTGTAGCAGCGTCGAGTGATTGCATCGTGTACTTAACGAGCCACTTGGACGGCATCGGCACCTTCACGGCTCTCACCAACGGCACCATGCGGGGCCACTTCGACGACCGCACCATCCTCACGCTCATCCCAGGCCCAAATGAGTTGGACGAAGCGCAGCTGCTGGCGACCTGTGTGCTGCGCGACGCACGGCGGTGCACGATGCACGTGGCACAGTGCCGCCCAGGCGATCCGATCTTTCGCTACCTCGCATACATGCTGCCTTTCCGGCGCTTTGTGTATCTGCAGGCGGCGCAGCGCAATCAAGAAGAAAAGGAAAACGAAGGAAGAAGGCGGCAGCAAAAGAAGTACTGCCACCACGACGGCAGCAGCAGCAGCGATGCGCACTTCCCAGGTGAGGAGATGATGTCTTCGGTAGCGGCCTCACTCGCAGACGAGTCCGTGAATCAGCTGCCCAGTGTGCAAGCGAGTGCCGACGCGCACGCGGAGCAGCTCCTGCATAGTTGTGATGAACCAGCGGAAGACCATGCGGAGTACAACACCTTTCCTGACAAGGACCATAGAACGGATAGCCTGATGGTTGCCCGTGCAAGGAGCGCTGGGCCTCCTGCGCGTGGCACCGCATCGTCCCTACGCTGGGGCATTACGGATTCGGCATGCACGCTGCAAGTGCTGCGGAACCGCGAGGCAGCTGAGGTCTTTGAGCGGGAGGCCAGGCTGCAGGAGATGATTGCGGAGAACGAGTCCCTGTCGCACGCCACGCGAGCGCTCCTACGCGACTGATGCCAATCTTCTGTTTATTATTATCAGTGCTATTATTACTGTTATTATTCCTTTATATATTTATTTTTTTCTGATTCGTGTATTGCGGTACTTTCATAGATGCACCTCTTTTATGTTGCCTGATTGATGGAGCGCAAACGTCCGTTTGAAGTTTTTTTCTCTTTCTACGCGCTTTTTTTTTTGTTTCTCGATCACGGCCCTCTCCCTCTCTATCTTCTTCACCGTCTGCTGTGCAGACAAAAACTCGAGTAACGGTGGGGGCACTACTGCACACGCCATCATCGGAGGTCATACGCTCTTCCTTGTAAAAGAGGAAAAGGAATAGTGGGCTCCTCACATCAGTTCTGCCGAAGCACGGTCATGTATGTATATATTCGTGTAGGCTTCTTTGACACCACGTGGCTTCAACGTCTCTCGTATGAACTCTCCGGCACTTCACTGCGAGCCACCTCTCCTTCTTCGCTTCTCTCATTCCCTGTCGTATTGTTTTGTTTCAGGTGTTTGTATCATTACTGCTGCAGTAAACCGCGCAGGCCCACAAAAAAGCTTCGACCAGATACTCGTTTTCGGTTTGTTTGTTTGTTTGTCTGTACATCTTCGGCGTTGCTGAAGGAAAATTAAAACGAAGTACACTATTTTCTTTTTTTTCTCCTTCTTCTGCGCACGTTCATTCCCCTACACCACAATATGAACTCCTCCACCGACTTAAGGAGCAAGGAGTACGCGGCACTTAACGTCACCTCATCGTCCGTGTCGGCGCAGGCGACGCAGTCCGCCAGCAATTTCAACTCTTTTGCCTCCGTCGAAGCGGCGAGCACGGCGGAGTACCACAACCTGGACGAACTTGTATACGACCCCTACAAGGATGAAAACCTGCAAGGCATCCCGTCCTCCCCGCAGGTGGCCGGCTACCTGCCGCAGCTCCATCCGACGAACCCATTAACACCGCAGCGGCCTTCCCAACTCCTTGCCTCACGGACGCAAGCTGTTATCGAGCCGCGTGACATCAGCACAACCTACGGGTTCTGCTTCTATAGGCATCACGGCAGCAAAGACGTCGACGTCATGAACTTCGGCAGCGCCACCGTCCCCTCCTTCTCCTCTGCGGACGTGGCGGTGGGTAGTGCGACGCGCGCCAGTGATCTGTTGCTGCCCTTCGTTCCGACCACCGTCCCGCAGCCTCCCCCGCCCTCACCGCGACGCCCCATTTCGAGCGTGGTTGCCGCTGTGCCGTCGGCGGCGGTGGAAGCCACCACACCACGCGCGCTGTGTCAGTTCGCTTCATCTTCCTCCTCCTCTGCTGCGGTTGTTGCTGCCGATGCTGATGCTGGTGCCGCCACCTCCGCCGTGACGAACTCAACCGCCGCAGGAGCGCGAGAGGCTGGCCCGCGCACCGCCCCCCGTCACGTGTACCCCTCCTATAACGTCCACCCCGTGCTCCCCCGCCCCGCCCACCCCTTCTTCCAGCACGACATCCCTAGCAAGATCGGCCGTCGAGCAACCCGCAACAGCAGTATAAACATCAACGCGAGCGCCAGCAACTTATTTCCGCTGTCGGGCTCGCAGGGACGGTGGAGTGCAGCGGCAACAATGGCGTCGTCGTTGATGTCACCGCGACGGAACAGCAGCGTCGTTGCCCCTGCGGATGGGACCGCGCGACGCGTCTTCGGCCTCTCTCCGCAAGCTCCATCACAGCCTTTTCCGAGCGACAGCGGCACCGCTGGCGGTGGCGGAGGCAACGGCGATCCTCTCGACCACCAAGATCTTTTGGAGTCATTTTCCGCCGCACGCTCGACTGAGTACAGGAAGTTCGTTGCTCCGGAGCAGCGGCAACCGCAACACACAGAAAGCCTCTCCAGCGGACTGGCAACATGTGCTAACACCGCGTCCGACGCTACCGCCGTCGATCAGGTGGTGCCATCTGGTTTGCTGCTGAGTTCGCTGCGGGACTCCAGCGGTCACCGCTTGGCGCACGTGTCGTCTCCTACCAGCGCCTCGTCCTCCTCCTCCGCCTCTTCACGGGTGCACGGGCCCCTGTGCGCGACCTCCTCTGGCAACTGCATCATCACCACCTCTCACGTGCCACCTGCGCGAACGAGTCCGCGGGGATCGCTGCGCTCCTTCACTTCCGGAAAGTGCGCGCAGGCCTCCTCACCACTCCAGCACTCTACGTCCGTGAAGCACGGTCAACGCGCGTCGGGCCTCCGCTTTGCCCCTCTCTTCGCGGCCGGTGCCGCCGCAGCAGCGGCAGCGGGGACGTCGTCGACGCGCACGCAGCAGGCACCGGCGCGTGCTGCACGTGCGTATAGCCGCCGCGACGTGCGCCGTGGCCGTTGGCGCCTGAGCATCGCCCGCGAGGAGTGTGAGGCGCGGGCGGCGCTGGAGGAGGAGGAGTCATTCGAGGCAATTCGCACGCTGCCGGCGTCGTGTGCGGTGTGGCGGTCGTACATTGATCCTGCGTGCAGCGATGACGACGACGCGTTGGGGCACTACCTGCTCGCGCGCATCAACGGCGCGGAAGAGGAAGTTGACGAAGCTGCGGAGAAATCGTCGTCGGAGGAGCTGCACAACTTGTTAGAAAAGCTCAGGAAGCATCAGACGTCGCGTGACGAGCGATGCACCGCGGGCACCACCGCCACCGCCGCTGCCGCCCCACACCCTGCCTTCCTCACCGCGGCCAAGCGTCTGGTCATGCTGGAAGAGATCCGTCGCGCTGCGATCATCAACGCAGAGAAAGAGTTTTTCCACGAAGGTGTGTGCCGTCCGCAGGCGTATGCCCATCGCGTGCTGACGGTCGGCACGCTGCCGCTGGAGCGCTTCCTGCGGTGGTGGATCGGCGTGTACCGTGCGCGCAAGATCGTCCACGCCGGGCAGCGGGCGCGTCTGTGCGCGGTGGAGCAAAAGGCTCGCGCGGACCTCATCACCTCGAGTCGCGGCCTCGCCGCACGCCATGCATGCATGATGGCGGCGCTGCTTGAAGAGGAGCACTACTTCCGCACCCAGCTGGAACTGCTGCAGACGCAGGACGCGGCGTGGACAGGGGTTGTGTTGATGCGGCTGCAGGCGCACGTGGAGCTCTTCACACTGCTGTACGGCGGCACGATGCGGCAGACACGCGTGTGTGAGCGGGTGCAGGGCACGACGGTGTTCCGCGGGCTCATCCTGACGGAGGCGGCGACACGCAGCGCCTTGGCAGCGGAGGAGGACGAGGAGTGGCGGCGCATCCCGCTGGCCATGCAGCTGCGATGGATGGTGCTGAGTGGAGAGCCACATGCACGAGCGCTGGTGGTGCAGGCGGAGTCGACGCAGCGCCGCGACGTCGAACAGGTGATCTACGCGCTGACGGTGCATTACACCATGCGCGACGTGGAGTTGCAGGAGATGGATGCACGGCGAAGCTGGGATGCCCCGTGGAGGGAGGCGATGACCCTCCTTGCGGAAACGGCTGATATGCGGGAGGAGTTATGAAGAAAAAGTGAAGAGCGAGGTGGACGACGGCCGGACCCCCCCCCCCCGTCCACTCAAAAAAGCAAAAGAAAGGGCAAACAAAAGAATCACATTTTCCTTCTCCAACGCGGATGAGCACGAGAGGGGTTGGGCTCGTTACCGGCCGGTGACTCCTCCTTTTTGTTTTTTTTTCCCTGTTGTTGACGTGGATGATGCTCTCGAACACGCTATCATGCACAGTCCTACGTGTCTGTGCAGGAGCAGCATGTACGTTACAAGTTTGTTGCCTGTACACTGCTTGGCATTTGAATGTTTATTATTATTGTTGTTGAATTTATCTTTCGATGGCGTTTGCAGAGGCCACTTTATGTTCATAGCATCGAGCAGCACGGCTGCTTCTTCTCTTTGCTCTTTACATCTCTTTTCCTTTTTTTCTTTAAAGGCATTGTGCATGTAGAAAGAAAAGAATCCCATTATGGGGGAAAACCGAGGTACTTTCAGCTACAAACTCAGCGACAACTGGTCTTTTTTTTCTTGTTTATTAAAGGTCGTAGAGGAATTATGAGAACAAAAAGATCTCAATGCGTGGGTAATTCCTTTATTCAGCGGGTTGCGTCGCACAGCGTACATTCCCCCATGTTTCTTTCATCTTGTAGCGACTCTTTTTTTTTAAATGCTGCTTTTCCTCCATCTTTCTCTGCTACGTCTTGCCTTTTCTTTTCTTTCCGCTCTTGCTCTTTACGTGCCTTGACCCCCCACACACACACACACACACCTTTCACGCACCACAGGTTGTTGTGTGGAGCTGTAACTGCATCAACGTGTTACGGTGAAGCGCACTACAACTTCTATCTGGCCTACTCGACCTCTTCGTTGCTATTTTGTTTTGTTTCTCTGTTGTTGCTGTGGTTTCCTTCTTACTTACAGTTATATCCCACTTCTAGATTTGTGTACTCTTCACCTTTCCTGTTTCGGTTATTCATTTAATCATTTTTCATTACTAGAATTATTTTCGGAGTGTTTCTTTTATTTTTCCTTTTCTTCCCCTTAATTGATTTGGCTGCTTGCACGCCTGGCGTAACAAGAGAAGAAGAATCTATGGTATTTGTGCCTCCCGCTGCTGCTGATCTTTGCTCCCTGTTCTCTTGTCCGAGTGTGTGTGTGTGTGTGTGCCTCCCATTCGATCTTTCGTCAGAGACAAGAGGATTCATTTCTCACATATACACACCGACGAAAGAAGAGACATACGAGACGTAATGCCCCTCACCGCTGCCGGGATGCGCACGCTGATGCGCCAAATGCAGGAGGTGCACGAGCACCCCGTTGACGGCGTCCAGGTGCGACCGTCGGATACCATGACCGAGTACCACTTCGACCTGGATGGGCCGGAAGGGACACCGTTTGCGGCGGGCCGCTTCCACGTTGTGCTGATCTTCGACGAGCAGTACCCTGAGGTGCCGCCGAAAGGTTTCTTCCGCACCAAAATATTTCACCCCAACGTGGCCGAACGGGGCGACATCTGCGTCAACGCGTTAAAGCGGGACTGGAGCCCACATGTCGGCCTGCGCCACATCCTCGCGGTCATCCGCTGCCTCTTAATCGAGCCGAATCCGGAAAGCGCCCTCAATGAAGAAGCCGGCCGACTCTTGTTAGAGGACTACGCCGCCTACGAGCGCAAGGCGACTATGTACACCACCATCAACGCGGCGCGGGCTGACGGGGCAGCTCGATTTACGCTGCCTGTGGAGGCGACGAGTGTTTCTACGCGCGCCTCCGCCAGTGCAAAGGGCACAGAGGACGGCGCGGAAGGGCAGGCGCACGTTGGAGGGAGTAAGCTCACGGTGACGGAGGCGAATTGCCATCCTAGCGCCGCTGCTGCGAAGGAGAAGGCGGAGCGGATGAAGAAGGCGGCGGAGAAGAAGAAAAAGGCGCTGCGACGGATCTAATAGCCCTCCCTTCTCCTCCTCCAAATAGTTACCCTGTCCTCCCCTTTTTTTTCTCTCTTTTCGGTTTTCTCTGGACGCCTGCTTCCATCGTGAAAAACCTTTTCCCAGTACGTTCTCTTCTCTTTTATTATTGGTTAGTGTTAAATATATATATATATATATATAAACAATCGTCAGCATTTTGTTGCTCTCCCCACGTCACTCCTCGACGGATGAACGCAGAAGAACGATTCATATGGAAAACGGTAAACGTTTTATACACGCACACACACACAAAATATACTTGTATATTCGACTGGACATGAATTCCTTCAGTTTTCTTTTTCCTACCCTTTCTTCAAGGGCGAAAGTCTTTTTTCTGGAGACCCACGCATCCACCCAAAAGCAAGAGCAACGTCATCACCGTAATGATAAACGAATCAGGCGTTTCACTGCTTCAATCAATTCTCTTTGGATTCCCCCAAAAAAAGAACCTTCTAGAAGAGGAGGTAAAATAATACTAAAAGGCGGTGGCGTGTGTCAGATTTCTCCTAATGCTTCTCCCGAATCAAATCGCTGTCTGGTTTTGTTCTCCACTTCTATTCTCTCCTTTTTTCCCCTTTTTGCAACAAATGCGTTTTTTGCTAAACGTGCTTCCATGCACATCTCACACACCATTCTTTTCATTCTTTAATCTCTCTCTCTCTCTCTCTGTACTTTTGTCTTCGGGGTGACCCCACACTTTTTGCGTAACACAGGATGACGCTATCGTCCGTACAGCACGTTGTCGTGGTTTTTTCCCCTTCCCCTTCCCATGTTGCTTCATCTTGAGAATTCATTTGTTTGTTGATACTTTTCTTTGGTATTCTGTCGAACGCACGCGTGAACGTCGGTCAGAACTCCCTCCTCCATAAAAGCAAAAACGTTCTTTATAGTCTTCGTTTTCACCTCGTTTTGAGAACAAAAGTCTTTGCAGCGATTCCTCAATTCATCACGCGCTTTTGCGGCTCTCTTTGTCTTCTCTGTTGTCCGCTCTTGTTCTTCCTCCAATTCTATATTTCTTTTGCGACTCTCACGTTCACGGGTGTGCGTGTTTGGGCCGTAACCCCCCCCCCCCCCGTAAAAGAAAAGCATTTATACGCACATTCAAAAGAGGAGGCTAAAGCAGAGAAGAGGGAAGCACAACCGCACTCTGTTTTCAGTGCGGACCACCGTGAAGGTGCGCCGTACCGAGCGCTATTTTTATCACCCACCCACCCATTTCGGCTACTGCTCCTGTGCAAAGGGAGGAGCGGCGTTGCTATTTTAAGTCCTGTGAAAGATATTTGTGTCTGCAGCTTTGCACTCGCCAGGTGCTGGTCGCTGTTGTGCCTCTCTGTTCAGTATTTTAGCAAATTGAGGACGACACACAATATAAATATAGGCTTTCGCTCTCCCTCACCCACTACCCCACTATACCGACGCTCGTGCATGCGTGCTTTTGAGCGCGCGTGTGTGTGTGTGTGATCGTTGCGAGGCTGCTGTGTATTGGCTCACGACAGTGGTGACAGTAACTGTCTTCTCAGACAGCAGCAGCAGCAGTAGCAGCGACGTTTATTACTTGAACTATTATTGTCGCTTTGTTGTGAGGTAACTGGTGTCACACCGAACCTTTCTACGCGTTGTTTTTGTTGCCTAATACATATACACACACATATTATATATTTTTCACTGGTTGTATTTGACGTAGCGAGCCTTTGTGTTTCGGGCACTGCTCGCCACCTTTGCGTCTCCTTCACGCCTTCCTTTTTTTTTCTCTGGTAGTACCGACGCGTCTCCGTTTTCTTTTTCTCCGTTCCCACATACACCCACAACGAGAAAGGGAGAAAAAGCAACATCAGTTGAAGTCTAGCAAACGATGCCGTCGCTGTCGGAGCGTGACCTCGGCCACGTGGAGAAGCTTTTCAACGCCGTCAGCAGTGTTCTCGACTACGATCATGCCCACCGCACCTACGACACCGCCACCACCTCTGCCGGCCCTGCGACGAGCAACGCCAACTTCGTTCCCGTACCCTCGCCCAACGCTACGGATGCCCTTCCGGCCCCCCAGCAGCAGCCGTCGTCGAAATCTAGAAGAGCACAGTTTTCGCTCCCACCTACGGTGGTGGGAAGCGGGCGAAATGCAGCGAGCAGCCCCGATAGCTCGTCCGCCACGCTCGCGTCCACGGTGACGCCCTCCGAAGTATTGCGGGAGCACCAAGATCAGCTGACTGAGCAGAGCCGTGGCCGATTTACGACCTCGTCGACCGGCGCCGTCAGCGGGTATGTGTCGAAGCGACGACTGTGGGCGGAGCTGGCCTTTCTTATATGGCGTGTCGTTGGCCTGCAGAAGCTGTCCCTCATGGCCTTTGTGACGAGTAATCCGGATGAGATGCTGATCGCCCTCGCCCGGGCGCTGCTCAGCTTTCTGAAGGAGTCCTGCGCGACGTTCGCGGGTCTTGGCAAGGCGATGCGCATGCGCCAAGTTGGCCTCCTCGCGCAGGAGCGCCTCCTCTTTCTCCTTCGTGTCTTCTGCAACCTGAAGAACTGCACGGTGATGCTGAGTGAGATAAGCGGGGCGAGCAGCGCGGCGGATGCGCAGGTCGTCTTCGACGCGATCTGCGCCGTTGTCGTGGCGGGCCAGCACTTCTCGTGGATGTCGCAGATTTACGTGTGGTTTTGCGACGAGGCGGCTCGCTTTTCCGCCGCGGGTGCGGCCATCCCCAGCGCGTACGTCTACGCCACCCACGATGCCCTGCAGTGCGTCCTCGGCTGCTGTACGAATCAGGCGGCGTGTGCGCGTGCGTTTCTCTACGCCGAGCCGGTGGCGTGCGTGACGTACATGTTCTACGGCCTGAAGCTGCGTATTTCGACCTGTGATGTGCTGCGGCCGTATGAGGACGATCGCGTGTTGAAGGAGACGCTGCCAGCAGTGACCGCGGCAGCATCATCATTGTCAGCAGAGCCTCCATCCGCAATACAGCGTGAGCCCGCGACCTCGAGCGTGGGCAACTCCCGCAGCGCGCTGCCTCGCCACCTGAACTCGTTTGCAGCGAGTGAAAGTGACGCCAACGCGCAGCTGTGCAACTCACCCATTCCTTTACGTCCGCCCGGTGCTCGGTATCTAAACACGCGGTATTTTGGTTTGCTTACCTTAGGTCCAGCTTCCGCGCCAGTCTCTCCCGGACTGCAGCAGCAGCAGCAGCAGCAGCAGCGTGAGGGCCCCATTGTGGTAAACTGCTCCGCCGTTGCCTCGCTTGTGCGCCCCTCTCCATCGCCGTCGTTGTCGTCGCAGAAGGTGAATTTGAGCACTTCCTGGGCCTTTGACACGCCAGGCCTCACGCGGGAGCAGTTGAAGCAGCTGCTTCTTGGCGGCCGCGAGAACGCCTTCGACGCGCTTCTGTTCGCGGCGCTCGACGTGGTTGTCGAGGTGCTGCGGGTGACACGTGACTACGGGCATTGGATGGTGCTCTCGATGGTCAGCAACTTGTTGCTGCTGAGTAGGAAGAACATCGACGTGAGCGACGTGGCTTCGCCGACAACGACGTCTGCTGCTGCTGCCGCACTGCCTGCACCGCTGCCGCTCTCGCACGTGGTCGCCATGTACGAGAACATTACCGTCATGTTTGTGTTTCTCTTCTCGCTCATGCAGGGCCTCGACGATGACGATGACGATGGCAGACCGCTGCGCAGAAGTGACGGCCACGGCTCTGCAAATGCGGAGAAGCCGGCATCCGGCGCCGCAGGAAGCACCGGCGTTGAGGACAACGTTGCCGACAAGGCGGTGTTTGTCAAAGGCGAGAAGAGTCGTGGAGGGTCTACCGGGCCGTCGGGCACGCACGGTGGGGGGAAAGACAACACGCCGCTGCCACCGTCCTCCTCGCTGCACCAGCCCAGTGCGCTCGCGTCCGCCGCACGTGTCGGGCTCAGCGCCGGCTCCATCAGCTCCACACCAGCGCCGGAGCGGTTCACCGCCGCCGCGACTACCTCCCCGCATGACACTCCGCAGCTGCGTGAGGACCTCTCCCAGCACTTGGTGCATATGGTGCTGCAGACGGACGTGCACGCCGTCGTGGTCGCCACCACGCGCGTCCTGCAGTGCGACCGCACGCTCTTTCGCGTCCTGCACCAGTTCTGCGTGCTCGACGGGCGCACGATGGAGCAGCCCAAACTGCCACTCTTGCCGCCGCCGCCACCAGCTTCGAAGACGTCGGATAGTAACAGCGTCCATATCGGCACGGGCAGCGGCCGACACCGCCGGCACAATGCGTCGCAGGGACACACGGCGAATGACACGACGTCCATGTCGCTCTCCAGCGCCGGTGGGGGAGTCAATGCGAGTCGGGCGCTGACCGGCGGCTCTCTGCCGTTCGCCTCCCTCGGTTCGCCCTACTCTGGAAGCGCCGCCACGTTAACTCCGTACCTCTCGAGCGGCCGCGGTGCGGGAGGGAGGCGCGTCGGCGCCCTCGACGGCACGTACGACAGCAGCGCCCCTGTCTTCAACGCTGCCGCCAGCTTTTTCACCACCGCCAACTTTGGGGACCTGCGGCAGGTGGTGAACGCGATCGGCGTCGGCGGCAGTGAGACACCAAACGACGGCGGCCTGCCCAGTGGTGGCCTGTCGGGTGACTTCAGCGGCAGTCACGGCTCGCTGCAAGGTACGCGCGGCAGCGGCGTGGGCAACTCAAGCGGCACCGCCAACACCTCGCAGCGCCGCTCCTCGAACGCACAGAAGTTGCAGAAGCAGCGTGTGCGGAACCGCAGCCAGGGCACGGACAAGAAAAGCGGCGGCAGCGGGGAGAACTTCGCCAAGTCCTTCTTTAAGTCCTTCTTTGGAAGCGGCAAGAAGGGCGGCGGTCTCTTCACCCGCAGCATCACGAACGACGTGGATGAAGGCGTGGAGCCCAACAGCGACGACGAGGGCTCGTTGGACGGCGACTCCTCCTCGGCAGGTTCGTCGTCGTCGTCCTCCGCCAGTGGCGACAGCGACAAGAGCAACGTTCTCGGCAACGCCGCTGAGGTTGCCGGCGGGGCTGACCCGCAACTCTCCACGATGCGCAGTTTCGGGGCGGCCAGCAGTGGCTCGGCGCTGCGGCGCAGCAGCGTTACATCTGGCGGCTCACGCCGGCCGCCGCTCTCTCCCTTCACACAGCACACACGTCGTAGTCACAGACACCATCGCAACCGCAGCAGAGCCAGACCGCATGATTCACCTTGGCGTGATGTCCCATCTTTCATTGCACTCATCAGCGAGCTCGTGCGCATATTCAACCTTATCCTGGCGGACACAGAGCTTTCGATTGATGTGCGACTCGGGGCGGGGCTGCTGCTGCCGAGCATTGTCCTGCGTGACACTCAGGTGTTTCGCCTATACGAGGGCCGCGTGCTGATCCGCAACTACCTTAGCCTGCTGCTGCATGAGCTCCAGCATAACATCCAGCTGCGGTCTGTCGACGACGGCAACGACACCACTACTGCACAACAGCCGCAGACGTCCACCGGCGAGGTGCTTAGTCAAGAGAAGAGGTCAGGCGAGGGCCCAGTGCAAGACCCTGCGACGCCAGCGATCATCGGCAGCAGCAGTGGGGGGGGCGGCGGCAACGTGGTCAGCGGCCGCGCGCACTTGACACAGCGCGAACTCATCACCTTGGTGTCACGTGTGATGGAGGCGCTGGAGCAGACTTTCAAGGTGCTCGGCGCGACCCCGCTGACGAGCGACGTCGCCTCACTGACAGAGCTCCCGTTGTACTTCTTCTGCGCGGATGGTAAGACGCCCTTCGGCAACGCGCTCGAGCGATCTTTTACGCGCGTGGTGGTGCTCTGGTTGATTGGCCTTGTCGGCGCGCAGTGCGACGAAGACATTGATAAGAACGCCATGGAGGTCCTTCTTCGTTTGATGAGTCGCGCCGTCACGCGGGGGTCGCTGCCACGAGACAGCGGCACCACGTTGATGCTCAACGCCGCCGGTACAGCCACCGTCGTGCAGATCAGCTCCGTCTCGGGCGCAGCCGTGCCAGACATGCCCGGAACGTCAACGTGGGACTGGACGGAGAGTCACCGTGTACTCCTCGATGACGCTGATGTCGCGGCGGCCAGCGATGCTGGTGCTAAGGGTGATGGTGGTAGTGGTCTCTCGGCCCATGCAGAGTCGGCAATTACGGGGCCTCTGTCGGCTTCCAGCGGGCCTGTCGCGACATCCCTTGCAAGTGGACGTACGGGACACGTGGCAGGTGCTGCTGCTGCTTCTTTGTCCCTTCTCCCAGACGACGGCAACGGCGACGTGGGTGGGCTGTACCGCGGTAACGTCAACAACTCCTTGTTTGATAAAACCGAGTTTGTCGGGCTGGCGGCGGCGGCGGGCACCGATCGCGCCGTGGCGGAGTGCGGCAATACCGTTGAGGCCCTCGGGTCTGTCTTTCGTGTGCTGCTGGGGCGCTCACCCGAGCTGCTGACCCCAGCCGGGCTGTCGACGGTGCTGGCCTTATTTGCGAGCCACGACAGCAACGTGTCCTGGCTGGGGCGGGAGTGCATGATGCGCTCCTTGGAAACGCCCTCCTCCTACCTCCTCTACGCGGACGTGATTCGCGACAGCGACTCCTTTGCCCTCACGCAGACCCTCTCCGTCATCTCCGCCTATCTGAGCAGCAGTGCCTTGAGCCCCGTTGCGCGGCACGAGCGGCGGGTGTGGATGCAGCGCTCCGGCTGCGTGGACGCCGCGGTGCGGGTGCTGGTCCGCGTGCTAGACTCCCCGTACTCTACGCCGACCTTCATGAAAACCATCCCCCACCTTTTCCAGCTGCTGTCTGCGTTTGAGTCGGTGGAGCACACGGCCCCGCAGCTATCCGGCACCAACTTCGTGGCCGCCGTGACGGAGCGGCTGGAGAGGCTGGAGGGGACGGAGTATTTCATTATCATCACGCAGGCCGTCCTGGACTCCTGCATGGGCACCTACGGCGGCGTCGATGGCAGCTACACAAACGCCGGCGGCCCTGGTGCGCACTACGCGGAGATGCAAGTGGTGGGAAGCTTTCACATTGCACAGCACAACTGCGCAGCAGAGAAGCCGGTCTTCTTGGAGCTGCTCCCCTCGCTGCTGCGCTTTGCGGAGAGGCACAACGCGCAACTGTACAGCGAGTTAGTCGAGGTGCTCTTCCGTGTCCTTGAGTGCACCGGCAACGTGCGATCGGATCGCCTGGCGGACTTGGTGCTCGACCACGGACTCTCCCAGATGCTGCCCTACCTGGAGCTGTCCGGCGCCTACGTTGAAGAGCGGCTTCCCTTTACAGGAAGTGCTGCGGAGCTGCATCGCTTTTGGCAGCCGGTGCTGCTGCGTGCGCCGCGCCGCAGCGAGCTGCGCTTTACCTCCTTCGGCGGTGTGCAGATCAGTGTCGGCACCTGGCCCGACACCGGCTTCACGATCGGTGCGTGGTTCAAGTTTGATCGTCTCTACTCCACCATTCCTCTCTTTGAGTTTCAGGGCGTAATCAGCGACGGCGGCGGTGGTGGCGCTTCCACTGCACCGCGTGGGTCGCCGAACTTGACGGCGTTGCTTTTCATCTTCGGTGGCGACAGCGTGCAGCTTACCCTGAACGACGCGCGACGCAGCACCGTCAACGAGCACCAAGCGCTGCAGAACTTCGTGCCCAATAAATGGATGCACGTCTGCGCGGTGCTCCGCACGACGCAGGTGCTGGACGTATACATGAGCGGCTTCAAGGTCGGCACCACGGCCTTCCCCGCCTTCGCCTCGGGAACCGATGTACGCGTGAACGTTGGGTGCACCGATGCTCTCGCACAACACCCCTACGGCGGTGGCGGCGGTGGTGGCGGCGGCGGAGGCGCGAGTGCGAATGCAGCTTCGCTCTTCTCGATGGGGGACGTGACGCTTTGGGCGCAGGCGTTGAACCGGTCCCAGGTGGAGGCGGAGCTCGCGAGCACTGACTGTCGCGGCATCGGCAGCAGCCGGCTCGTCGTCCCGGCCAAGATTTTGGAAGAGTCGATTCCGCAGGAGCTGACGCTGGTGCGTCACATGAGTAACGCCAGTGTTGGGGCGGCGGTGGGGTCTCCGGGGCAGGTGGGTGGCAACTTCGCTGGCTTCGCTGCCTTGATCAATCCGAAATCAGCCGCGGCTGGGGTCGGTGGCGGTGGCGGAGGGGTGAGCAACGCAAGCATCGGGTCCGCCGGGCACGACCCACGCAACGTCCTCGGTCTGTCCTTCTCGGCCATGGCGTCTGGTGGCAGTGGAGGAGCAGCGAGTAACAACAACGCTGAATATGACGAAGCAATGAACAGCGGTGACGGTGGTAGCTGGAGGAGCTCCGCGCAGTCGCGGCTGCCGATCTCCACGCGTATGGCGCGTTTTGTGCCCTACGAAAACGACGACAACCTGCTGCGCAACGTGCTATCGAACACGGCGAGCTACCCCGTTGTAGCGAAGCTGGTGGGGCGTTACGCTACCCCGCCCAAGACCTGGGTGGACTACCCGCTGCTGTGGGCAACTCGTGGCGGCGTTACGCGTTTGTTAGACTGGCTTCACCTGGTCACTTCCTCCGCGCAACTCGAAGGCCTTCTGCAGCTAATTACCGTGTGCTTCCTGCGCACCACGCTGGCCGTGACACTCGACGCGCGCACCTACATGCTCTTCGCCTACATGTTGACGCACCACGTGGCGGCCTTCTTCACCAACGCGGCGTGCGACCAGCTGTTGACGCTGGCCTCGTCGCAGATCAACGTCTTCGACGAGGAGCACCGCATCATCGTGAACCGTCTAGCCTTCGAGCACATCCTCGGCAACGTTGCCTTCTACGCCGCCATTCCCTTAGACGCGGCGCTCTACCTGCTGCAGCGTGTCCATCGCCTCTTTCACCCTTCGCAGTGCCGCTACGCGAGGCACAACGCGCGCTTTGTCATTCCGTACCGTTTCGTGGATCGGCTGCTACACAGCCTCGTCGATGTGGCTGCGCAGACCCCGCTACCGCTACGCTCTGCGGTGGTGCAGGTCGCCCAGCAGGTCTTCGTGGCCTGCGACATGGAGGAGGGCCTCGTGCAGATTTTTGTGTCGCTCGTCGCGCTGCTCACCCCGGATGTGGCGACGGTCGTGAGTCGCTTCAACCCACACGTGAAGGCAACGCTGCCGGTGCTGACCGCCATGACGCACGGCAAGAACTCACTGCCGCTGCGCACGGCGAATTATCTGACGACGCTGTTGTTGTCCAGCTTGGTGGAGTGTACGGCGCAGGGCGCCTTCCTCACCGCACTCGCCCGCACAGTGGACCTGCCGTGGTACGCGTCGTGTCTCTCGCGCTTCGCCGACCCGACGAGCGTGGTCCTCGCCACGCGCATCTTCTTCGAAGCCGTCGAGCACAACCCGATCCTACAAGAGGAGGCGATGCAGCACCAATCCGCGATCATCGAGGCATTGACGGTGCACGCCGCGCATGACGACCTGGTGCTGTTACTGCTGGCGCAGTCGGTCGGGGCAGCGCGCCACGTCGACGTTCTCTCCCGGAAGCACTCCCTCCAGCAGCAACTCGACAGCGTCATGACCACCTTTCATGTGCACCCCAACTCCCTTGTGGCCCCCATCTTCGTCAAGATCTTCGTCGTGCATCTCTATCGAACGGTGCAGGCCCCGCGCCGGCAGGCTACCCGGTCCACCGCAGTGCGGCTCGGGGAGCGGCGGCTGTCGTACCGCGTACGCCGCTACTTCAGCCTGGCCCGTATCTGCAGCCGAATCATGATTCTCCTTCGCGTCAAGCGCTACCGTGCGCTGCTCCTGCCTCCGATGCTCGTCTCCACCTCTAGCACGCCAGTGCTGGGGCCCACGAACTTGCCGCGGCACCAACGCACGCGCAGTGCTGGCATGCTGAGCGGGATCAGCTCCAATATGAGCTTCGCGCAGAGTGCCGCGACCGGCCCCATCACCACCACAACGCCAGGCAACCTTTCGTTCGCGACAAGCGCGCTCGTCAGCGGCGCTGGAACAGGTGGTGTCAGCGCGCAGCACCTGCCGTCTTTCGCGGTCAGTCCTCTCGGGTTGCAGGATGCGATGGCACTCAACAGCAGCGGCGACGGCGGAGGTCCACTGCGGGGCCTTTCTCCGCCGATGACATCGTTGGCCGCTCGCGGTAGCTCCGGCCGCGGTGAGGACGACCACCACTACCATGACGACGATGAGCTGCAGGCCAGTCGCAGTGTCTTGAGCAGTCACAGCGACATGAAGTTGGTGATGCCGCCACCAATGAGTGGTGGATTCGGCGGCGACAGCTCGAACTCTAGGGATGATGACGGCGTGGGGGGGGCGATGCAGCAGTGGAAGCCGCCGGTGTTGCTGCCGGACATGTGGTCCGTGCCCGCCCCACTTACCACGTCCACGACAATCGCCGTTCCAGCACCGGCTGCGTCACCGCCGACGACGCCGCGCACGTCGAGCCTGTCGCACCGCCTGCTGACCGATGCCACGGAAGGTGCCGCTCGTGGCAGCGGCAATGCAAGTCGTATGACGCCACCAATAAGCCTGGGGACGTCGCCGACCAGCGCTAACGCCGCCGTCCGACGAGTGCGCGTGAGCGACGGCAAGCAGACGGACGACGACGTCAGCGCCAGCGAGGATAGCGGCGACGACGACAACGTGGCGGAGGAGAAGGCGGAGCGGAAGATGAGCTCGCAGTTCTACGTGCACTCGCATACGCACAAGCGCGCCTTCGCGGTGCTGCGGGTTTGCGTCTTGCTGTGGCTGCCGATAGAGGTCCGCCGCTCGCGTTGGGTCATCACAACCGCCAACAGCACACACACGCTGTCGAGCGAGGAGGACTACGCCACCCGCCACGCCACGACACTCTTCTGCATCCGCATGTTCCGCCACTTCGCCTCCTTTTCCGCCAACTTCTACCTCTTTGTGAGCTCGCCGCTGCAGGTCGGCGCGCTGAGCGCGTTGGCGGCGTACATCACACGCGACATGCTGGTGGAGGAGGCGGATACGTGGAACACGGTGATTCACACGATGACGTCCGCCCCGATGCGGCAGTCCGGGACGGCGTCAGGCCCCTCCATGGCGGTGGATAAGCCTACGACCTACGAATCCGCAGCAGCAACAGCTTCGACGACGATGACATCACATGCGACCGGCGAGGCCTCCTCGTTGCCGCAGCAGGAGCCCGGTGTGACGCCCATCGACGACAGAACAGTACAGCAGCAGCAGCAGCAGCAACAACAGCAAGGAGGAGAGAAGGCAAAGAATGAACGGCCGGCCGAGGCGGCAGATGACAGCGCCCCGTCCACATCACCGACACCTGTGTTAGCACCGACGGTCGCCTTTCAGGCATCATCTCCCAATATCGAGACCATTCACAACAACGGCGACAAGAGTGAAAATGCCGGTGACGGTAGTGGGGCCCTCACCGAGGCGCGAAGACGGCGGAGAGGCAGCGGTGCAGCCGCAGCGACTCCGTTGACCGTTTCTGCGCCGACACAATCTGCCCAGTCGCCCACCTCGGCCACCCAACGCATGCCACGCATCAGTTCCATGACGTTTCGCACTGCGGAGTCGTCGTCTGCGCAGCTGGATCAAATGACGGTGCTCGAGTCGCCGGAAAGCAGCGTGCGGTTTGTCTACGATCTCGAGGACGACGTCGACGAAGACGGTGTGGCGAGCAACACCGCCACGGCCTCTCCCCTGCAACGGCGGGGTGGAACAGTGCCGGTGGTGGGCGGGGAAAGCGTGAACGATGTTGACGTGAACAGCGTGCCGAACACCTCGTTTGATGCGGAGGGCCCGCCGTCGATCAACGTGACACGGGTGCCGCCGCGGCGTCTCATGATGCAACAGAAGTTTATGCGGCAGCAGCAGCAGCAACAGACGTCATCGAGCCTTCCACTTTCCTCGTCCGCGCCGCCAACCGCAACGGCGGATTCGGTGCCGTCCTTCTTGAACGAAACACGCAGACAGGACGCGTTACAGGAAACCGCAAAGCCGAGTACGGCGGCTGCCTCACTCGGCGCTACTCACCCAGACCCAGGCAGCCCTCTCGGCTCTCCTGATGGTGCGCTGGACACCTCAAGGAGGGAGTACGCCAAAACAAAGGAAGTCAACAACAAGGAGGAGGAAGACGGCGACGACGACGACGATGACAGCTCGTCCGTTTCATCCGCCGACTCTGCCACAAGTCAGACCTCCGCCGCTTCCACAAACTCAGCGCCCATCACCTCCTCGACCGTGCTCGCGTCCACGTTCTCCACCACGACGGAGGTGGCGCCGTCCTCTGCGCCGACGACGACCGCGGCTGCCGGCAAGAAGGCGGTGAATGCGCCGGTGCCGTCCTTCTCGAACTTGCCAGATGCCCCAAATGCCCTGCTGACGTGCGATCCGGTCGACGCGTACCCCGGGAACATCGCTAAGGTGGCGGCGTGTGCGGGCGAGGTGGTCCAGCGAGACGCGGTGAGCATTCTGCAGGCGTTGATCCGCGCCTCCCTCGACACGTTACCCGTGCCGCACTGGATAGGCGGGCCTACCTACGGCTCCTGCGGTGGGCTGCTCTTTCAGCTGCTGCTGATTGTGTCTGCCAAGGCGGCCACCGATGACGCGACGACGACGCTCGTGCAGTACTTTTTGTTGAGTGTCGGCAACGCAGTGAAGGAGCAGCGCGATCGCGAGTTGGCGCTGCCGCCACGGCAAGACGCCACCACCACCGCTGGCTCCCCGCTGGGCCCGCACTGCCCGCTGTCCGCCACCCCGATGTTTCCGGGCCTGGGCGATGCAAGTTTCGGCCACGGTGCGATGGCCGCTTCTCCGCCGCCGCCACCGCCACCGTCTCGTGGGCTGTCCGGCTCTACGGATAGCGCCATGCACTCGTCCTCGCTGGCGATGGGCGGGGGCGGCCTTTTCGGTACAACGAATGCATCCTTCACCTCTTCTGCGATGCTGCCGCCGCTGTCGCCCAACGTGGGCGGGGCCGCCGCCGTTAGCAACCCCCTCCATACCAGCATTACCAACAATGACAACAACTCCAACATCACCGCTTCCGCGTCACTCGCCGGAACGCCGATGCCGCTCGCCCCGACCCAACAACCTTTTTTTTCACCCAACAGCGTCCCGGCAGCGGCGGCGGCATCATCGCCTGCGGGGCCGCGTCACACGGTCCAGTTCGTCCAGCCGCCTCTCTCCCAACGTGCCGGCGGCAGCGGTGTGACGCACGTGCCGCACCCGCACGCTATCTCCGCGTCGTCCTCCCCCAGCACCGGCAACTTTTCTGATGTGTTTCTGTTCAACGTGAACCACTTTACAGATCTGATAGTTGACATGCTCGCCATTAACGTGCTGGACCTGCCGATGGCGACCCATTACTTCCTGACGTTGCTGCTGCTGTGCCAGGAGTGGCCCAGTCGCTACATCGATCAGCTCAGCTGGCAGGTGATGCGGGCGTGCATTGCGGTGCTGAACCGCCCCTCGATGCAGGATGCGAGCGTCGGCCTCATCGAGAGCATCTACACCCTCACCACTCTGGTCCTGCGACGTGGGTGGAAGCACAAGGGGGTGTTGGAGTGTCTCCTCCGCGTGCTGTACCGCGTGTACGGCGCGCTGCCGCCGGCGTGGATGTCAGACGAGGACGCGAAGCACCGCAAGCGTCTCATTACATTAATTTTCCGCCACATGGTGCAGACCTATGCCGACACGAAGGAGCTGGAGAAGGCGCTGACGGTGCGCACGCTGACGCAGCGGCTCTCGTTGTACGACGACTTTGTTATGATATTTTCGCTGCCGAGCGAGGAGGAGTCGATGGCGACCTTTGAACAATACTGTGTCGCGCAGTCGTCGTCGATGGAGACGCTAATGTCGGGTCGACTCAAGGCAAAGGCGGACCTCGCTTTCAAGGCGAGCATCAAGACGCGTAGCGAGTACATCAAACGCATCAAGGCCTTCAACAACCAATACGTGCAGGTCACGGAGGTGGCGGACCGGTACAGAAAAGCGGCGCTGAAGAACAGCTATGCCTCGCGCTTCTCCTCCTACGTCGCGACGACGCCGGTGCTTGATGACTCGCAGCTGCACTGGCTGCTGTCCTTGACCTGCGCCCTAGACGGTGACCACCGTGCCGCCGCCTGTGGCAGTCACCCCGAGGCCGCAAGCGGAATTGTGGTTTCCGACGACACGAAGGACGGCAATAACAACGCCTCCTCCGCACCCCCACATGAATCGCAGCTGGAGCAGATGCGCAACTGCGGTGACGTCACGCTCTACCACTTTCTCGACACGGAGCTCAACTACGGAGAGTTTAAAGGTGTGTTTTGGGGAACGGGACGCGCGGCCCACCACCACCGCAGCAACAACAGCTTTCTTGCGACATCACACCTCGTATCAGCCCCTGCGACAGCACGTGCGTCGTCAGCAACGAGTGGCGGCCAATACAGCAGCCCTAACGCTTCCACCGCCCCGAGTTCGTTTGCCCGCACACGATTGCTGTCCTCCGTGCGCGGCGCCTCTGTCAACGGTGAGGATCCTGCAGCCGCGGTAGCGGAGACACAACCCGCCGCAGACGATGACGCGGAGCCACAGCAGCAGCAGCACCAGTCCCAAAAAAATGATCTCGTGCGCGCCGCGCAGTGCGAGGAGGAGGTGCAGCACATCGCCGTGCTACTGCCGCCCTTCACCACCCGCTGCCGTCCACACATCGGTAACGAGGCGGTTCCCATCTCGCTGAAGGACCTGTCCATCACGCTAACCCCGTCAGCCCTGACGCTGCTGCGCTACCTGCTTGCGCCGAACGAGATTCTACGCTTTATCAGCAACGGCTTCCGCATCAACGGCATCCACGCCACGCCCTGTCTCATCTTGCTGACAAGCACGACGTTGAAAGTCATTGGGTTTTCGCGGGTTACGGAGGGGGGCGATATTATTCTCTGCGAGTACGACGACGATGAAGACGATCCGCTGAGCCGCGCCGGCAACAGCAACGCTGCCTCCGCTGCCAGTCCGAGTGCGGAGACGACGGCAGCGCCGATCAAAGCTGCGCGAAAATATATGTTCAGTATGTCCTCCATGACGAAGCAGTTCCAGAAGTTCTTCACGGGCAACTCGACGAAGCGGCGGCAGCAGCAGGATGGCACGCGTGTGGCGCAGGCGGTACGACAGGTCATGGGCCGCAACTATCAGAACATATTCTGGTCCTACCTCGTTAGCTCGATCCGCACGGTGCGCTCGCTGCGTTATATGCACCTAGACACCGCCGTGCAGCTGCAGCTGTACTACGACGAGGGCCCGATGCTGTCCGTGGTGGACGCGAGGCAATCCATGAACCCGTCCGCGCGGAAGGAGTTCATGAAGGTGCTGAAAGATGTCGTGGCGCCACAGCAATGTACCTTTGTCGATGAGACGCAGCGAGCTGCGAGCATGAAGGCAAACCTCGTGCGGTGGGCGACAGGGGCGATGTCCAACTACGACTACCTGCGTTTCTTAAACGAGGTGGCTGGTCGGACCAGTCGTGATTTGAATCAGTACCCCGTCTTTCCGTGGGTGCTGGCCGACTACGCGAGCGCGACGCTTGACCTGGAGTCCGCCGCCACCTTCCGTAACTTCGGCTACCCCATGGGGGCGCAGACGGAGTCGCGGCGCGGCATCGTGGCGCAGCTCTTCGAGAATACGCGCGAAGTCTGCGACGTCGAGACGGGCAAGTCCTACCCGTTCCACCACGGCACCCACTACTCCACCAGCGGTGGTGTGCTGTACTTCTTACTGCGCGTGCAGCCCTTCACGACCTACGCCCGTCTTTTCCAGGGCGGTGACTTTGACCTGGCGATGCGGCTCTTCGACTCCGTGGCGGCCTCCTTCAGCTCCTGCGTGACGGGGCCCGCGGACTGCAAGGAGTTGATTCCCGAGTTCTACGTCACAAACAATTTTCTGGCCAACGCCGACCACCTCCCGCTGGGCGTCAAGTCTGACGGCGAGCCGGTCGATGACGTGCGGCTACCGCCCTGGGCGAAGAACTCCCGTCAGGTCTTCACGGCGGTGATGCGCTATGCCCTGGAGAGCTTCTACGTGATCGAGCATCTGCACCAGTGGATCGACCTTGTCTTCGGTGTGCGGCGCCGCGGTCCGCTGGCGATGGAGCGCTTCAACGTTTTTCAGCGCATGACCTACGGCGAGGAGGTGGCGCAGGCCCTCCAAGAGGCGGGGACGCCGCACGAGTGTGATGTCATTATTGCGGAGGTCGAAAACTTCGGCCAGACGCCGCCGCAGCTTTTCCAGGAGCGGCACCCGTCACACCAGGAACTCGTGCCGGTGCTGCAGGGCCGCGCGACGGATGGTGGGTCCGCGGGCCACGGCACACGCAACGACAGTGGTGGTGGGGGAGGTGGAGGTGGAGGTGGTTCGAGCAACAATCTCAACAGTGGTAGTGGGAATAGCAGCGGCGGTGGTGCTGGTGGCCGCAGCGGCGCACCCAACGCTGCCAACGTGAGCGCCATCACCCTCGGCGGACTCTACACCTCCGCCCACTCCGCCTCCTCGGCGTCCGGCGCAGGGACGCAGATCGGGTCCACCTTCAGCAACTTACTCTCCTCCGGCACCTTTGCGAGCGGGCAGACGTACACGCAGGCATTTCGACGAGAGGCGCCGAAGGTGGTGCGCATCTTAATTCACGCGATGGATGCGCCGCAGACGTGGTTTGTGCTACGCGACCCACCAATCAACATTCTGCAGCACCCACCCCCGCCGTCTCTGGTGGAGAACTTCCGCCAGTCGCGCCCCGCCGTGCTGCGCTTTTCGCCGCTGCACACGTCGAAGAAGCTGGCGTGCGCCTACGCGCAGCTCGTCCCGGTGCCGGACACGGACTACTACCTGTGCTGGCACGAGCACGAGGCACGACTTATGCGCTACACAGCCGGCCAGGCTGTCTTCCACTCGATGATAGCCTTCAAGCCGCCGGACGAGAGCGGGGCACGCATTAGCGCGGTGGCGGTCGGCACGCGGGAGTCGGTGCTGCTCATCGCGATTAGCACTGGGGCCGTGTACTGCCTCTTTCCTGATGACATTCTCAGCGGAGCGCTATACCTGCGTGTCACGATGTGCTATCACCGATACGCGGTGGAGAAGATCGTGCTGGATCCTGCGCGGCACCGCGCCATCACCGTCACGCGCGGGCACCACGACGACGCGCCCATTGTGTGGCGTGTGCAGCGCAGCAGCTGCAACTTTTTGTGTCGCCTGTCACTGGAGCAGCTGCTGCCCATTCCGACTGAGGCGGAGCTGACGGCGGCGGGGCAGACCGCCGAGGACGCAAAGGACGCGCGCGGCGCGGTGGATATGGCGGTGGACAGCGTCACCGGACACATCGCCGTTGCCACAGCCCGCGCGCTCGTCATCTTCGACAACAACGGCGCACCCTTCGGTGTTGGCACGTTGCCCTCGCCCAACTCAGTGCGCGCAGTGGACTCTGTCACACTGGAGGACGACAACGGCGACGTGGGGGTGGTGGTCGGCCGCGCCGTCGTCGTGATGCCGAACCTGACTGCCGTGTCCTTCTACCAAACGAGCGAGTGGGCGGCCGGCATGTCGGTGCTGATCACCGGGCACACGGATGGCAGCCTGTCGGTGTGGCGCTGCCTGCGTCTGCCGCCCGACACCGTCGAGCCGGGCAAAATAGCGATGGTGGAGTTCCATGCGCGCCTCTTTTCAGGAGCGGCGGCAACGGTGCCGTTGAGTGCGTCCGCCACTGTCGCCGCGGGCGCGTCGTCTGCTGCTGGCGGGGCGGCGGCTGTTGGTGGGGCTGCTGGTGGGAGTAGAGGGCAAGACGGTGGTGCGTCTCTCAGCCGCAGCCCGGCCCCTCTCGCTGCTGGCGGTACCGATCGCCCCACCGCGACGGCGAACTCGTCCAGCTCTCCGTCCACCGCAGCGCTGGCCTCGACGATGAGCAGTGCCGGGTGTGTGGGCACTGGGACCGGCGCGACGAACTGCCCGGTGACGTGTCTGCAGCAAGAGCGCGCCGATGTGCCGACGTTCTTGGTGGGTTACGCGAACGGCTCGACGCGGCAGCTCGTGTTTGAGGATCCGGCGTTGACCGCGGAGGCCGGGACGGCGGCAGCGGCGGTGAGGACAGATGCCAACGTCTGTAGTGCAAAGAAGGCTCTTTAGAACTCCCCTTCTCTATCATGGTTTATTGCTGTTACTATTTCTGGTGTATGGCCGATTGTTCGGTCGCTACCTTTTGCATGTGAGGAAAGCAGAGACAGCGATTTCCGTTCAGCGTACCTTTCCTCTATTATTATTTCTTTGCATCTATATTTTTTTTTGTTTTTGTGTTTGCGGATGATCGGGAAAAAAAGGGTAGAGGGAATTGATCCTACGTTGCCAACAAACAGTGGTGCAATCGAATGTAACAACAAGAGCTAGTCTTTATGTCCCTTCACTCTTTCTCTGTCTGTGTGTGTGGGCGGGGGGGGGGGGAGGGGATGAAGTGCCAGCACCGCGCATCGCGGCCTGTGTGCGCTCTGCCAGTGGCAGGGCGATACGATAAGCGCTGTTTCACGTTGTGGGGTCATCAATGCGAAGCTATGTGGGCGTGCGTGTGTGTCTCATCTCAGCCCACATTGATGGGGCTCCCATTGCGATCTTGAATGGTTGCTTCGCCGTCTCGTCTTCCTTCGCTGAATCATTGACACCTCCTCTTATTTTCTTTTCTTTCTTGCTCCGCGACGCAACGCCTCTTTTCCAACATTGCTGCACAACAACAAATAAACGGATAGTATTTTGCACCTCTCTCCGACGAGAAGGCCACGCCTGCCCCACATTGGAGCGTAGACGTCGCGCTGGTTAAGTGAGGTGCCACGCTTGTCGATATACACATACATGTATTGTTGTTACTTCTATGTTCCTTGTGCGTTGCGGCTTTCACTCCCGATTATTTTCCGAGTTTCTCTGTTTTCTCGAGTTCTTTTCTCATTCGCACGCCTATTATCCATACTTCTACTGCTGACAGTTGTTTGACGTGACGCCGCGATCCATACAACACACATTGTACTTTTTATTTATTCATTTATTTAGGCGTCAACTACTCTGCTGGAAGAAGTTTTTTTTCTGAGCAGATAGCTTTTGGTTTTCGCTTCAGTGATCTCAATGATCTACACTCTGGGCCTGGTGCTCTACGAGCCACCAGCTGAGAGGCCGTTGGGGGAGTGGGTCACCAACGTGGCGGTGCGCCGCGGACTCAAGGAGGACCTGGACGAGGTGCAGTGCAGCTGCGTGTCGGACAGCACAGAGGAAAGTGCACACGACAGCACGAGTAGCAGCCCTGGCGGCACCACCACCGCGCTTCAGGCGGTCACTGCGCACCTGGAGGCGGCGCTCGCCTCTAAGCAAGCGTCCGCCGCCGGCGTTGATGCGTCGTCCTCCATTCGACTGCTGTGCCTTGTCGTCGTGATTTTCTGGGATGGACAGGCGGAGAAGAGCAGGGCGAGTCTCACACAGCTGAAGCAGCTGAGCGACAAAAAATGGTTGTCTGTCCATGTGCCCGACTGGGGGGAGCAGGTCGAGGTGGTGGTGCAGGCCCTCAACGCGAAGAAAGGTGAGGCGAGTATCATGCTCAACGAAGCGGCGCTCGTCTCGAGTCTGCGCAAGAAACTGCAGACGTCCACGATGGCCGCGAAAGGGTGGTGGAGAGAGGGTCAAGTGAATCGCACACATGCCGCAGCCGCGTCCAATGCGCCGGCACAACACGCCGATCCGGCTGCGTCTTCCTCCCTGTCCTCCACCTCCCAGCCGCCTCACGGCTCGAACGCAAACGCTGGCGCTGTCTTGGGCGAAATCGATCTCTCCGAGGCGGCGGTGCGCCGTGCTGTTGAGGACGGACAAGGGGAATGCTTTTTCCTCCTCAGCGACCGTGATCGACAAGGGCTGGCGGAGAAGGTGGAAATGCTCCACAAGAGCTGCGCTGCCGCGGAACTGGGATGTGCGCCGGTGATGGCGGAGCCACGTGAGGTGCACCTCCCGCACGGCGGCACTGGCAACACCTCCGGTGCGAACAGCAGCAATACGACGAGAGAAACAGCAGCGACGGCAGCAGCGTCCACAACGGCGAAATCTTCTGCTTCTTCTTCCGCGGTCCTGTTTGCACAGGAGTTCCTGCTCCGTCGCAGCTGCCCACCGGCGGCACACCTGGAACTGCGGCTGGCGATGTGCGGCAACGTTGACAGCGGAAAGAGCACGCTCACCTCCGTGCTCACGCGTGGGTGCCGCGACGACGGCCGCGGTCTCGCTCGCGCGTTCGTCTTCAACCACAAGCACGAGGCCATGACGGGGCGCACCTCCAGCATCAGCGAGAACCACCTCGGCTTTTCGGCCACGGGTGGGGTGGTGAACTACGCGCTGCTGCAGCCGCACCGGGCCGATGCGGTGTTGCGGCCGTTGGCTCCAGCAGAGGTGGCGCGACAGCTCACTTCTGCCGTCACGCCGGCATCGGCTGGCAGGTCATCATCATCGTCGCCCGCAGCAGCAGCAGGCGCGACTGTCACTGCTGCCTCTGCCCACATGACGCGCCCGTACACACCGCAGGAACTCGCGTCACGCAGCTCGAAGGTGGTGACCCTCTACGACCTGGCCGGACACGAGCGGTATTTAAAAACCACCGTGCTCGGGATGACGCGGAACATGCCGGACTACGCCTGCATCGTCATCAGCGCCAACAACGGCATTCAGCGCATGACCAAAGAGCACCTGGCGCTGTGCCTGGCTCTGAAGCTGCCCTTCTTTATTGTGGTTACCCGCATCGATGCGACGCCTCCGAACGTGCATGAGGAGACCGTCGCGAGCATCCACAAGCTGCTGAAGATCCCGACGGTGCGAAAGCTGCCCTACCCGGTGCGCCGCCACGACGAGGTGATTCTCGCTGCGAAGAACCTGCGCCACGACCGCATCGCGCCCGTTTTTGAGGTGAGTAACGTCACCGGCATTGGCATTCCCGAAGTACTGCAGTTTATTAATCTGCTTCCTATCCGCAAAGACTGGCGCCTCGCGCGTACGCAGCCGAAGGAGATGATCATCGATAGCACCTTCTTCGTGACGGGTGTCGGGACAGTGGTGGGCGGCATCATCACTCAAGGCGTTTTTCGCGTCAACGACACCGTGCTGTTGGGTCCGGACGGGTTTGGCCACTTTCGACCCGTGTCCATCAAGTCGATTCACATCAAAGGCGTCGACTCGGTCGCCGCGGAGGCCGGCAACGACGCCGCGTTCTGCCTCAAAAAAGAGAAGCGCAGTGCGATACGCAAGGGCAACATCCTCGCCGACGCGGCCCACCCACCCACATCGTTTTGGCAGTTCGAGGCGGAGATTACCATCTTGTACCACTCCACGACCATCACGGCGAACTACGAGCCGGTGATTCACTCGTCGACGGTGCGGCAATCTGCGCGGATCACCTACGTCGCGCAGGAGATCCTGCGCACCGGCGACAAGTCCCTGGCTCGCTTCCACTTCCTGTACCGTCCCGAGTACATGAAGGAGGGGCAGCGACTTATCTTTCGCGAAGGGCGGACGAAGGGGATCGGCACCGTGACGAAGCTCATGAGTGAGCCGGACGAGCACATTCTAGCCAAGAACAAACTGCGAAAAAAGATGCAGGAAAAAGCGCATGCCCCCGTCATGGCCAGGTAGACTCCCCCCCCCCCTTAAAAAAAAAACGGAGGAGGGGAGAAGGGGGAAGATGGGGGAGGATAAAACTGCACTGACACCTCTGTGCGTGTCTTGGTGGTTTCTGCTATTCTCTTCGCCAATCAGATTTTATCGTTGTTGTATTCTTCTTGTGTCGTGACAGAATTTGGCATTCGAGTGCGTGTGGTTCTCTTCTGTTCGGTTAGCAAACCCCAAAGACACGTTTTTCACGTGTTGTGGCGTATGCTGTGGGTGACCAACTAATCTTTTGTTTCTCCTTTTCGGTTTTAAATACCTTTTTGTTGGATGAGGAGGGGGAAAGGATATTCACTGTTGTGCAGACAAAACGAACAGACAAAGAACTGCTGCGCGGTTTCGTAGACGTTTTATGTTGCTTTTCTTCTTGCTCTCCCTCTCTCCCCATTCAGGCAAGAGAAGCGTCAGGATCTGGTGTGTAGTCGCACGGTGGTGTCGTGACCACCACAAAGGCCAAAAAACGAATCATACGAATAAGAGAAGGGAAAGAGGGGGGTAAGCCTCGATTCTCTTTTAAAGACGCTCTTCCTACCTTAGAAGGGAGAGAAAAAATCCCACATGACTTGGCCGTTTAAGCTTTCTTACCTATTCGGTTGTTTTGGTCTGGTTTTGTTTTCCAGCTATGTTGCGTCCCACCTTTCCGCCCCCCCCCCCCCTCCTCCCCCCCTCTTCTCTTCCTTCCTCGGCGGACGACACCTCCTTCCGGCCATCGCAGTGACGCAAGGGAAGAAGACACAAAAACACCCGTTGAGTTTTTTTTTAATACGAAAGAAAAAATGTCGTCTACTCAGGCCGCCGTAGGGAAGAAGTCCGGAGGCGTCTTCCAGCGCTTTGTCGTGGCACCCTGCGCGAACACGGCACACAAAATCGAGCACCGCTCCGCCACAAAGCTGCAGCGCGTTGAGCCGGCCGTCGCGGCGTGGATCAAGACGCACGAGTCCACCGGCGCGGATGCCGCTGCCATGAGCACGAAGCGCTTCCTGCACGAGCAGCAGCAGCTGCTCAGCTACCGTGTGGTGCGCTTCTTCGACGAGGTCCGCTTCCTCGGCTCTGGTCAGTACTTCAAGCAGTACAACTTCGCCTGCTTCCTGCAAGACGCACGCTTTTTCACGCAGGCGCTGTTTATCTTTCTATGCGCCGTGCTGGTCGGTCGTCGGTCCATCTTCGCGCCGATCCACCCCGACAGTCCGCTGGCGATTGCGCTGGACCACAAGGTGAACCCGAACTACTGAGGAACACGGAAGCGTTGATGTGTCTGTGTTTCTTCTTGTTCTTACATACAGTTGTAGGTGTGAGTGGGAAGAGCGTGCGGGGACGCGTTCGCGGAAAACAAAGAGAATTGAAGCAAAAGAAGAAGAAAAAATGCGACGGACAACACTTGACAATCCGCTGGATGCTTTGATGCAGCGTAAAACCCCGTGTAGCGCTGCTGCTAGCCTTTTTAGTGCGGATGGTGTTGTTGCTCCCTCATGTCCTTCTTCTTTTTTTTTTCTCTCTTTTGTCTGAGTTTACCGTTTGTGATGCAATGATCTACGTAGTAGGAGGAAAAATAAAGGAAAAGTACGAAGAGTGTTCTTCTGTTTGTTTTGTTTTCTGTATTTCTTAGCCCACAGATGCACAAGGAAGAACGCAATGGGAGACGGCAGGAGAGCGCGATAGCGACCACCGCGTTTTTATGTCCTGCTGCGTTTGTTGTTGTTGTTGTTGTTCTAAGATACTCAAGCAGAAGGGTGCATTCTCGTACTTGTAGTAAACTTCTCATAAATCATACAATATTTATTGAAAGAAAGAAAAGGAGGTGCATCATGCACACCGGAGAGAACGGCGTTGAGGGTGTGGGGAAGTCCCTCACTGCGCGGGCAGGTGGCACATCACCGTGACTAACAACTCGACGACAGCACACCGGAGGAGGAAGTAAGAGGGAAAGGTTGCGAACCGAGTGTTTTCTGTCGCCATTTGGCTGAACAGTGTTTGTTGATACCGCAATGTGCCTGAACACGGTTTTTTTCTCTGTACTTTTCCAGCAGCCGATTTCTTCTCACCATGCCATCTCTGCTCCGATGCTTTCTTTCGTGTATCTCCGTCCATCCAGCTTCTTTCTTTTCCCTTTCTGACTCTCATGAAAATCTCCTCTTCTTCCTTTTTGCAGTGAACGACTAACACCCAAGCTCGTGTCACTTGTGGGCGCTTCACGAGGACTTTGTTTGTTTGTTTTTCTCTTCAAAGAAAGGCGGGAAAACGACATTGCGAGCCTCCATCCCACTTTTTAGCGTTGGAGGTCGCTGAAGGCATCACCACACCTCCCGAAGATCCCCCCCCCCTCCCCCCGTGTGTCAAACCGTGAGTCTTCTTTGTCTTTCTTTCATTGGGTCCCGCTCTTGTGTTTGTGTGTGTGTTCTGCATTCCCCCAATGGCGTCCTACGCTCCCGGCGACCGCGTGTGGGTGTACATCGAAGGCGACGGCTGGTGGCCGGCGCGTGTGCTGAGCGACGAGGAAATCGGCGCCCGCACCCCCGGCCAGGACATCGCCGTTCACTTCTACGCCGGCATCGACACCCCCGCGTCGCTCTACGAGCTGAACAGCCACAGCGAAGCGGCCCACATCTGCTTCTTCGAAACCTCGTCGGAGAAGGCGGTGACCAGCAGTGCGGAGCTGGAGGCTTCCATCCGCCACGCTGCGGAGGATGCGACGGCGAACCCGCTCAAGTCTGACAGCGCCATCTCGGCCTCCGCAGCAGTCGCGGCAGCTGCAGCGACAACGGGCGCAGGTGGGGCACCCGGAGGCGCCTCCACTATCGACCCCACAGCTGCCGTGACGCGTGCTGCTGCGAAGCGGATGCGAGAGATGGACGACGTCGACATGGCAGGCTCCAGCGGAGACGGCGGTGCTGCTGCCGCTACCATGTCCGATGCGGGCTTCCGTCACCTGCGCACCGACGACCTCCACCGCCTTTCTGAGAAGATCGCAGCGGCGGTGGAGGCCCACAGCCTAACGAAGGTGCGTGCCGCACTGTGCCAGCTCGACGGCGTCGACGTGTACCTGACGGAACTGGAGGAGACGAAGATTGGCATCGCGGTGGGGTCCGTGCTGAGCCAGCCATCCCTGAAGCCGCTGTGGCCACTGGCGCGGGCCATCGTTTCGTTTTGGTCGCGGCACCTGCCGGCCGAGACGCTCGCGGCCATCCGCACTGTGAAGCAGCAGGACATCTCGGCCACCGGCAAGAGCGGTGTTGAGCCCGGCTCGCCGAACGAGCCCTCCAGCCCGGTGGGTGCGACGCAGAGTCCGCTGCGGAAGGCGCCGGCGCCCGGCTCGCCTGGCGTGGCCGGTGGTGGAAGCGCGTTCGACCACGTTGGCTCGCCGTCCGCCGCAAACGAAGGCACCCCGCTGCCGCCGAAGAGCAGCTCGTTTCTTCGCCACGTGCGTCAACGCCTCGACAACCCCGACAACAGCGTGCGTTACGACGACGCCGTGGTGGAGGAGGTGGCCCGCCGCATCGCCGCCGACATCACCGACTTCGACGACCGTCAGCTGCTCCTCGTGCGTCTGGGTGAGCCGGATATGGAGTTCCTGCGCATGAAGCTGCTGTCGGGGGAGTGGACCCCCAGGAAGTACCTGGAGCAGCCGAATGAGATCTTCCTGACGGAGAAGCAGAAGTCGGAGGAGGCGCAGCGCGTGGCGAACAAGATGAAGGCGATCGAGGCCGCCGCCAACGCCGGGGTCAACCTGACGCACCTCTTCAAGTGCGAGCGGTGCGGCAAGCGGGACTGTACGTTTTACGAGCTACAGATCCGCGGCGCTGATGAGCCGACGACGAAGTATATTACGTGCCTTAATTGCAAGAACTCGTGGTCGCAGGAGTAGAAGGGTGAGGCTTCGTGTTTGCTGTCTCGGAGGGCGACGGGGGAGAGCGCGGGGGTGTGAAGATGCGCGTGCGCCTCTCGGCCGTGTGCGGCGTTGGAACGGAGGGAGAGAGAGGTCCGGGGCGGGGGTTAGATGTGTAGCTGCTTTCCTGCCGTGTGGTGGAGGGAGTCGATGACGCTGAACGGGGGAAAGGGAAAGAGAAGGCGGGGATAGAACAGCGGTGTGGAGATGGCCACTGAGGAGGCGCGGAAAGGGAGAGGAGAGACGAACAGCGGTAGCGGAGACTATTTCACGAGATGGTGGGAGCTTTTTTTTTCCCACCGAAAATGCGTCTTCGCGTACGCGAATTGGCTGAGAAGCACTCCGCTGTAAAGGGTCTCATTGTATTGTGATTGCTTTTGATGTGCGTTTGCAGTGTGTGTTGGAGCAGGAGGGAGGAGGGGGCTTACGGTGGAGGTGTGGCGGATCCCTTTTGTTCTGGCTGTGTAAGTAAACCCCCAATAAAGACGAAAGCAACGAAGACGGACAAAAAAAATTGGTGTAAAGGAAACAAAAAGGTGCAGAGAAGCGACGAGCGATTCTCAGGCCGTCAGTTCCACTTGTGCTGATGCGACGCTAATCGGCATCGCTTCACCTCGAACGAAGTACGAGTCGGTTCGTCGTTGAGATGTGCGAACAGCTGACAAGGGAGCCGATGGAAAGTGCCACTGCCACGCTGTGTGAGGGTGTGTGTGTTTCTCTTACGCGGTATTTGCTTCTCTTCAACAGAGAAAAAAAGCGTGCGGCACTGATACTACGTGCACTCGACACGGAAATAATTGATTGTCAACCACTACTCCTTCTTTTACTTCCGTTTCTCTCCCACTCTTTTCCCTTCCATCGCGGGGTTTTTCCCTTCCGCACTGCGGTGCGCTAACGGTGCACATGTACGGCACATTCAATCGTCATCGTGTTTTTAAAATCTATTTTCAACGCGAAAAGCAATTCTACTACTGGGGCGCTAGAGGGATTCAATCCGTGTGTGTGCGTGTGTCTGTGTGAGGAAACAGGTTTTTCTTTTCTTGTTGTTCCCTTGCGTCGTGACTTGTTGTTGCGTCTCTTATCTCTGGCTTACGTGTGCTACGATTTCGTCTCATTATACCTTTGGTACTCCGCGTGCTCTTATTTACCTGTGTCTCCTACAATTGATAGGGTGTTACTAGTCGAGAACTTCATTATTTTTTTATTGATATTTTCTTTTGTTGTTTGTTGATTTCCCTTTCTGTAATGAGCTCCAACCCTGCGTTTCCTTTCAACGCCTGGGTGTGGGTCAAACAGCCCGACTACCCGTGGTGGCCGGCGGTGGTCTTGGACCCGGCGCAGTCCGGTCAGCAACTTCCAGAGGGCTGCGACTTAGTGCTTCTGTGCGGTCCGACCGCCGCCGCCACGCTTGCCTTCGCGAGCTCGCACGATCCGGCGCAGGTGCGTCCTTTTCGCGGGGCAGAGGTGGACGACGTCTTCGTGAAAGAAGGCCGCGGTGATGAGAGTTGTGGGGCGGCGATCGAAGAAATGGTGGCGGCTGTTGCGGCTGCCTCTGGGAGCAGCACGCAGCCAGCGCCTTCTCCGGAGAGCACCAATGTTAACAACGCCGGCGATGTTGACGAGGCGGTGAGTTGGGAGGCGTTACTGGCGGACACCGCGGCTGCCGCAGAGGCGCCGTCCCGCGACAAGGCCGAAAAGAAGCACAAGAAGGACAAGAGGAAGAAAAAAGAGAAATCGAAGAAGGCAAAGAAGGCGGAGAAGACGCACACGCGGCACCGCGCCCGCCACGGTGGTGCGTCGTTGTCTGAAGGAGAAGAGGAAGCAGCCGGCAGCAGCAGCAACAACAGCAACGATAGCGATGATGAGGACGGCGACGACGATCTCTTCCGTCGCCGCAACGGCACCGCCTCCACACGCACGGCGGCGAAGAAGATGCGGTACGAGCGCCAGAGCCGCCTGGACGAGTACAAGGCTGGCAGCGCCCGCCCACTGACGCACCACGCCCCGCACTACGATCCCGACTACCTGCACCGCAAGGTCCGCAATGCGCGGCGCAGTGCGAGCAACGAGGAGCTCGTGCGGGCGGCGGCGGAGCTGCGGGAGCTGACGCGACGCTGCCTCAGCGGTGCTGCGACATCCGTGGAGTTGGAGGAGGAAGTGCTGCGTGTGTTGAGCCCGTTGGCCCGTGTCGATGTCACGGTAGCGCAACTGCAGGAGTCCGGCGTGGGGGTCGCCGTAGGCAGCCTCCTGCGCGGCTTCACAACCGCCGTGCACCAGCTCGCCCAGGCGATTCTGAATTACTGGTTCCGCACCCTCCCGCAGAACACGCAGCAGCAGCTGTCAGCAGAGACGGAGGTGGATCGGGCCTCCGTGGACACCTGCGCGAGCGGCGGCAGCGGCGATGAGGGAGAGGGCACGCTGGGCCGGCTCGGCGTCATGCTCTACGACTCCTTCACAAACCAGGAAATCGATGACGCACCGCCCAGCGCGAAGGTGGTGAAGCTGTGTAAGCTGATCGAGGCGGCGCTGATGCAGCACTGCAGCCTCGACGCTCAGCGGCTGGTGCTGTCAGCGTTCGGTGACGAGGGCAGCACGGGAAAGTCGCTGCGGCGATTTGTGTTGGAGGGCAAAATAACCGCCGACGACATTGTGAAGCACGCGGATGAGCTGCCCACGCTGATCCGCAGCAACCAACGTCGCCCGACGAACATCCTGACCCATACGTCGAACTTCTCGATGAACATCGGGGTCGGCGGCGGATCGCCCACGTCGCCGAATGAGCTCTTTTCCCCCATCGGAGATGGCTCCGTCGGAAGTCCAACTTTTGGCTCCCCCACCGGTCGCGCATCGACCGCGCTGTACACCTGTCCACAGTGCGGTGCAAATGACGCCTATCAGAGCAGCTACACGGTCCAGGCGCACGACAACATGCCAGATATTCTCCGCTGCAAGAAGTGCGGCTCGACGTGGAACGTGGCGGATCAGTAGTAACGGAAGTCGAAAAGAGGGAAGCCGCGGGCAGCCCGTGGCTGCCACACACGCAGTATGTGGCTCGTGCGTGTTACCAGTGTTGTGCCTGCCGTAATGCAGATGTGCATTTGCGTGTTCGTTAGATGGGTAGTCTCCTTGAGCGGCTAATTTTTGTTCTTTCCCTGTGATATCTGTCTCTTTGCGGGCTCTATTGAGCGATGTCGTCCTTGGTTCCTTTTGTGTGTTTTAAAGGAGGAGAGCGAATTCGCCGTGACCGCCGTTCTCGCTGCCGTATTCGCCGATTTCGTTCTGTGGATTTTTTTTTCTCTCTGTTGAATGTGGATTCATGGAGTACAGCGAGCTGCCTTACCGAAAAACAAGAAGACGTGGCCCTGGAAGCATTCCATCGCTCTTGTGTGTGGTGTGGGGTGTGTGGAAGAGGGGAGAGGGGAGAGGGGACATGAAGCCGTTGCTTCCACCCTCGTGTGTATCTAGAAGGCTGATTTGTTTCGCTTACGACGACGTCCCTCGATGCAGCGATCCGGTGAATAATAATTATTATTACAGCAGTAACAACAACCAACCGGTCTGATGAGGAGAAGTCTTCCAACGATTATTTTTCTCTGCCTATGCTTGCCGTTCATGGGGTTCACCGCCGCACGTTTCTCCTTTCGAGCTGTACGTTTGCTGAGAGAGATGGAGAGAGCTGCTGGTGCCACATTTTAAGTTGTGGTTGTTGTTGTTTTTCCACATTCGAATTTAATCTGGTGCAACACCTCAATTTTTGTATTGTTGTTGCCGCAGCGCCGCAAGCGAGACGTCTTCAACTGCTTTTCCTTCTCTCCCCTCTTCCTCTTTCCTCTCTTTCTCTCCTTTTTTGTTTGTCTTCTCACAGCCGCCGCTCTTTGTTGACTGCCAGTTTTACTGTAGACGCAGGCACGAATCCCCTCTGCGGTGCTGAACAAGACTTTATTCTGCTCTCCTCGCTTTCTTCTTTTTTTTTGTAGGCTTTCCTCGTATCATCCACGCACACACCGTATTCTTTCATCCCACCCGATAAACTACGACGCTTCTTGTGGCTGTTGGCTCCTGCGATTTTCTTTCTTTGGTTTTCCTTGTGTTTTTTTTTTCTTCTGTCTTGCAGATCAGAACTTATAGTTTTCAGGCGTTTTTCTTTCTCACTTGTCTTTCTTTGCCTCTGCTCTTCTCCGCAGCTACACAACGCACCACCACTTCCCTTTCTCTCCATTGTCTCTCTTCAATTATTGATCTCTGCAAAGCTGCACTCTTTCGTTGTGCGTGTCTGTGTGTGACGAGTATTTGCAACTCGCTATTATTATTATTATTAGTTCTCTCATTTCTTTATATATTATTTGTTTCCTTGCTGTGCTTATTTAAAATAAATAATAAAGAGTGGTGGCGGATTGCAGTGCGAGCTGCACTTCAATACGGCAAGGTACATATATGTATAGTGAACCCTCTGCTTTCAGCCGTTGCGAGGCGCTAAAACGAGTTTAGTGCTTTCTTACCCTCTCCTTTGAAAAGAGAAAATTAAAAGACAATACATATATATATATATATATATATATGTATAATGTATAGAAGCCACGTCCAGCATGCTTCCCAACAACATGGGCAACAGCAACCCCGGCAGCGGCGGCCGCGAGGCCGGTGACGCCGCCGTTCCTTTTCTGCAGCGCATTCGCAGCGAGTCCGACACCGCGGAGGGTAACGCAGCGGTAAGTGTCCAACGAAATCACAGCAGCAGCCCCCACACCGCGACAGCGTGCTACGGGGGGACGGAGACGCACGCACTGCGCAAGCGAAACCCGAAAGTGAGCGACTCAGGCGAACGCAGCAGCAAAGACGACGGCGACGTCGTTGTGGTGCCGTCACGAGCCGGTGGTGGTGGTGGTGGTAGCAGCGGCAACAACAGCCGCCCTGATGCCGGTAGAGATGTCGAGGGCGAGTGCATCGTGGTGAATGACAACGGGACGGACACCACCGCCGACACCTGCATGGGGAAAGTGCGGCACTTTCTGCTGAACAGCGATTCCGCGCTCTACGCCTTGCTCAAGTGGGGACTGGCGGTGCTGCTGCTGTTCTTCCTCTCCTTTGTCGTCTTTGGAATGATCTACAGTGAGGTGCGCTACAACGGCAACTGCACCGTCGACGCGGGCGTGACGGATACGCCGGCGCTGCCGGAGGGGTGCGAGAGCCCTTTTGGCGCCATCCTCGGCGCCTTCCAGAACACCTTCGCTCACAGCAACTGCAACGGGTACTACGTCTCCACTGTGGATAGCTACATGAACTTCACAGTGCCCGTCATGGACGCCGCGACGGGGATGTTGACCATGTCGTCGAAGGAGTTCTACACGGGACTGGCCTGGCAGTGCGTCGAGTACGCGCGTCGCTACTGGATGATCAACGGTAGACCCAAGCCGGCGTACTTCGGGTCGGTCATAGGGGCCGCCGATATTTGGAATTTGACGGAGGTGCACCTTCTGGAGAACACCTCGCGGACGCTGCCGCTGCGTAAGTACAAGAGCGGCGACCGCGTCGTCCAGGACGGCCTGCAGCCTCCGCAAGCAGGCGACATTATTATCTACCCCGTCCAGTCAGGTGGCTTCCCCGTGGGCCACGTCGCGGTCGTGACCAAGGTGGAGATGGGCGAGCAGGGGTTCATCTACGTTGCGGAGCAGAACTGGGAGAGTACACAATGGTCCGGCCCCTTTTACAATTACTCACGCAAGATCCCCCTCCGCTACGATCCCCTCACCACCGCCATCATCCTGAATGACCCCGATGGCAAGATCATCGGCTGGATGCGGTATGGCTAAGTGAGCGCCGCTTTTTTTTTCTCTTCCTCCTTTTCTTCCTCAGCCTTCGTGGACTCGGCGAGTTTTAGTGGCGTATATATTTTCTAATGAATCAGGCATCAGGGATGTCTTTTTTCTTTTCCTGTGTTGTTCTTGCTGTGATTGATCCAGGAGTGGTACCGAACTTCAATACGTTAACGACCTCTCTCAACAACTGCCCCCGTAAAGCAGCTGCTGGTGCCTTCTCTTTTTCTTTTTCTTTCTTTGTTTTACAGCGGCGCTTTTTCTGTTGTCGTTTTTGTTGCTGTTGATATCGCTATTATTATCAATACAGTTAAATGAAGCAATTTCGACGGCACAATACTGGGGAAACGAAACGAACACGAATGCTTCGCCCCCTGCTCTGTCACTTAATTGCCGTGAAACACAAGCTCAGTCATTGCGGTGTCCTCGGTGCTTTATTTATTTCGTTTGGAAAGACGACATCCCCTACGCGGGAGTTAGGCGGTGCATCATCTCCTCCGTGCGAACTCTCTCTCCCCCTCTATACAGGCATACGTATATAAATATTGTTGTTGTTGCCCTTACTACTTCTCCATCTTGCCTTCGTCCCGCACCTTACCTTTTTTTTCTTCCTGACGCGTTGCCCAATCGAACCTTACACGTGTGCGTCATATCATTTTTATAAAATTAGATCTGCGACAATTACAAGTGCGTTTTTCTTTCTTTTCTTTCTTCTGGTTGCGGCGACACCACAAACGGCGTCCAGAGGAGACTCCACACTTTCTTCTTCTTCTCCAGCTCATATTCGTTATCAAAGCAGCCTCTCGTTTGTGGCCACAGGTCATCTCTTTTCTGTGTTTATTCTTTGTTGTTTGTGTTTTCGTCCTCTCTAAGCGCACTTCAAAGTCCAGTTGACGTGTTCATTGCGGTTGCTTTTTTCTGTTGCTGAAAGGCACGCTCACCGCAGCGCTCTCGATTGTACACGCACAAACCCCGTGGCCTCCCCCCCCCTCCCTTCTTCTCCCTCCTTCTCCCGCAGGTGTTGCTGTGGAGGCCACACTTATGCGTTCTCGCACACCCTTCTGCGCCGCTGGGCGCGTAGCTGTGGTGGCGGTGGTCATCGCGCTCGCCCTTTTCATCTCTGTCGGTACACCGGTGCACGGTCGCGAAGCGGCGGCGCGTGTGGACGACACACGCCCTGCAGGAAAGGATGCTCTTGAACTCGCTGAAACTCAAAAGCCGATCGCTTCCGAGGCTTCGAAGAAGGGCAGCGACAGTAGTAGCTCCGTATCGAACACAACGACGCCCGTCCCCGAGGCGTCGAAGAAGGGCAGCGACAGTAGTAGCTCCGTATCGAACTCAACAACGCCCGTCCCCGAGGCGTCGAAGAAGGGCAGCGACAATAGTAGCTCCGTATCGAACACAACGACGCCCCCCACTACAACTTCTCCTACCACCACGACCACCACGACCACCACCACGACCACCACGACCACCACGACGTCCACCGCAACCACCGCAACTCCGTCAAAACCCACCAACCAAAACGACAACGGCGGCATTCCCGTCCTTGCTTTTGTGATCATTCTTATCGTTATCGTGGGGGCGGTCTTCTTCGGCAGCCGCGCCATGCCCCGGGCGTGTCCCTTCTTTCGTAGTGGCGGCGGCGGCAGTCGCGAGCCGAAGCCGCACACACAGCAGTACGCCCGCCTCGACGGTTGTGCTTTCAACGGTGATGACGAGGACTACCGCGGCATGGAACCGAGCTACGCGGCAAAAGGTGGGAGTGGTGGCCATCCCGCGCTCCGCACGTACAAACCAATGCGCGGCAACGCCGGCGGCGATGGCCGCGGTGATGTGTATGTGGAAATGCAGGAACGGGTGACAGGGGAGTCGGGCGGCGGCGCGGTCCTCGCTTCACTTCTGCCGCGCGATCACGCGGCACCGGCGCCGGATGCCTTTTTCGCCGCCGTGCCTTCGAGTGCGTCCGCGTCTGCGTCGTCGTCGCCCATCCCAGGGCTCTCCAAGAACTCGGTGCGGTCCCTCCGGAAAGGCAAACTCGGACCCGCGCACGGCATGACGCCGCTTGTCAGCACGAAGAGCGGTGGAAGCGACAGTGGTGCTGGGTCAGCGGCGGCGGTGGTGGCTGGAGGCCCGCACCCCAACTCCGGCCACGGAGGTAGTGGTGTGAGTGGGTCACAGCTCAAAGACGACTGGGACTGGTCGGACGAGGACAAGGACAAGTAAAAAAGAGAAGGCAGAAGAGGATGGGAAAAAAAATAGCGGCAAACGCTAAAGGTTGCGAAGACAACGAAATTTTCGATCGAGACCGAGAGAAGTCAATAAATAAATGAAAGGCTAGCAGATGCTTTTATTTACCAAAATAGTGTTTCCTACCGGATTTGCCTGTGCGTTTTGTGAGCTGTTGATTACCCATTTACTGTGAAAGCGCGATGAGTGGAATTCGTGTTGTTGGACGCCAACACGGGCTGGCAAGCAAAGATAGATGTATGCTAGCGTTGCTTTCTGTGTGATGTGAGCAGAGCTGCTTCGGTGCGAAACCCATGGCACCCGCATACATGACTGACTCTGACCGCTGTGCAAATGAGGAAATGGGGATTAAGCGGCTGATTACACCGGTGAGTACTCGTTTCTCTCTTGTATGGTGGTTTTTTTTCTTATGTCGTGACATCGTTAAAAGAAGCTTTCTCGGCGATCTAATGTACTTTGCACGGGTGTATGTGTGTGCTTCAACGCGTGTCCCGGAACTTCCTTTCCTTTTGTTGTTGTTTAACGGTCATCGTTATCGCTAGCTGTTCGTGAAGGGAGAGACATGCAGCGACGCAGGCGGCACCCAACATCCTCCATTACCGTCAGTTATATTCATCTCTCGACTTACTCTATGTTCCACCTTTCTGTTTTACCTTTTATTTTTACATTTCCTGGCGAGAGTGGGACAATATATATTGCGCCTTGCGTTTGCATTGTTTGTTGTTTTCATTAGTAATATGGGCTAATCAACAACAGAAAATCATCAACCACAACAAAAATGCCGTTGAAGGGCGTGGTTGGGTGTGGGAGTTCGACTTGAAACGAACAGCAGCACCGGCGAACGCGGAAGGCAAAGGTGTGTCGCACCGCTCTCACCGATCAACAGCTCCAGCTAAATAAAATGAAAAGCTCTTTGTATTTAGGCCAAAGAGGGCCGTCCGTTGCTGCTCGAAAAAATAGCGCCGTCACCAAAAAGGAAGTTTCTGAGTTGCCTGCGCTCATGTGCTCTTGTGGAAGCGGCGTTCGCCCTCCATCTGTCACATTCGGCCTTCCCTTCGTATTTCTCTATTTCCCTTAGCTTTTTACTACGTTGGTGTGGTCGTTCTTTGATCTTTTGAACAACAGGGAAAAACAAACGCTTTCAGCCCTGAAACACAATTCAAGGGCGTGCCTCCTCCTCCCCCCTCTCTTCCAGTTCGACCTCTCCAAATCCAATCAGTTCCGCCCAGCTCAACACGCACCACGGTGCCCTGAATACAGCGACGCTGTTCTCTAACTCTTCCGAAGTTATGTTTTTTTTATAATCTCTACTCCTTCTCACTGCGGGCATCATATTTTTCTTTCCAATCCCCTCCATCACGCTGTTCAACGTCTCTTTCTTTCTATTATTTTCTTTTTAAAAAGGGATTAGTTTCTGTAGAAAACAGGTAGAGAAGGCAGCCATGGAATCTGGCTGCTCCCTGCCGATGTGCGACTCCATTCCCGTGGCGCGCAAGTGGCAGCGCGGTGGCGCTGCAAAGTGGACCATCACAGACCACGACGGGCAAACAGTGTACCTCGTTGCCCGCTCGCGTGTGTCTGCTTCTCTGCTCTTTGCCAATGCGCCATCGACACACGACGCCACAAGGTTGGAGGAACCAGCGTGGATGCGAGATCATCTTCAGCTGTTGTATAACGGTGTCCGCGGAGCAGAGAGCAACGGGCGTAGAAGGAAAACGAAAGGAGGAAATGACGATCGAGGTGCGGCAGTAGGAGAGTTCCGAAACGGTGATAGCAACGAGAACGTGTCGACGACAGACGCAGCTTCGCCCGACACGACGGTGGCGATGTTTCACGGCCTTTTTCGGTCTTGCGGAGCATCAGCGCAGAGAGCGACTGAAGCAGGAGAACTATCCATTCTAGGAGAGCGTTTTTGTTGGCGAAAACTATTTTTCCATTTTTTTCTCTGTGATCTGTCCTGAGGAACCGTGTGTGCTGGCCGTGTGTGCCGGCCGTGTGTGCTGTGTTGCTGCCTCCGTGTATCGCTTGTCAATAAGCGCACACATTCGTTTGTTTTGTTTTCTTGCCCCTTCTTTTTGCTGCTCGTAGGCGCTCCCCGTGCTCAATATGGAGACGATGTTCACAGGAATGAAAACAATTTCCGCCATGTGATAAGTACATATATGTATATAGGATCCGAGCAAAGACTACTGTTGAAGAGATGATTCCATCTGCAAGGAGATGCGTGCCGTTCATTCTTTCCAGTTCTGGTCCCCTCGTGTATGCACCTCACTCGCCACAAGCGGAAGATAACGTCCCCTGTTTCGTCCGTTTAACCGTGCGGTGCTCATCGTGGTTTTTTTTTAGTTGTCAATGTGTCGATGGCCGCGTTCAGCACAGCACAGGCTGTGCATTCATCGTCGCCCTACGTTCCTTTATCGCCTCTCTCTTCCCCTCTCTCTGTCTTCCTCCATCGCGTTGCTGTGGGGGATATGCACGATGCACTGCGCCGAGAGGCCGCGGGAGGTGCGAGTATAAGAAAGAAAGAGAAGAAAAAGAACGAGAAGGGAACATCTGTGCTGCTCCTCCGAGCTTAGCTAGGACGACCATTGTCGCGGCTGGAGAATACAATTTATGCGACACACACGCATTACACTTCCTTTTCTGCAATCATCGTCACTGCACCGTGCCTTGACTTCTCTGAAGATGAGTAATGCGATGCAGCACCAGCGCTACATTACACTGGACGGCATGACGAACCTCCGCGACCTCGGCGGCTACCGCACCAACGACGGCACGAAAACGATGAAGTGGGGTGTCGTCTTCCGCGGCGATCAACCATCACTCGTCCCAGCTGACGTGGCGCAGCGGGTGCTTGTACAGCAGCTGCACATCTCCAGCACCTTCGACCTGCGCGGCGACAGCGAAGCTGCAGCAAAGTGCTACGTCATCCCACACGTCTGCCGTCATGCCGTGCCGATTGACATGAACCACATGGATGAGCTTTTACCGCCCAACGCGAACGTGAACGAAGGGCCAGTGGCCTTTCGCCTCATGCAGGACTACTATCGCAGCCTAGTGACGGCGGAGGGCCCTGCGATGGGAGCTGTGGTGAAGCAGTTGCTGCAGACGAGCCCGTCGCGGACGAACGCGGCGCTGATTCACTGCACGGGAGGGAAAGACCGAACGGGCTGGGCCGTCTACGCGCTGCTGTCTCTTTTAGATATCACCGAAGAAGAAAAGCGCGAGGACTACGAGCTGACAAATCGGTGCTTCAAGATTCCAAAGGAGGCCTACGAGTACGAGGGTGCGGCTGACTTGAGTAAGGAGGCGTTTAACGCCTTCTGGCGCGTGTCGATGGACTACCTTGACGCCGCCGTGGGGGAAGTGAAGAAGCTGGGCGGGATGGAGGCGTACGCGAAGTCGCACATGGGCCTCACGGACGATAACATCCAGCAGCTGCGCGATGTAATGCTCGAGTAGTCGCTCGCCGCCGTGCGAGCTTTCTCTCCTCCTTTTGTCAGACGGTGCAACGAGCTCGTTGCCTCTTTTAGAGTTCGGTTCTTGTTTTCTTCTTTTAATAATAACTGTTGTGTTGTGGGCGGCTTATCACCGCTCCCCCCTCTGCCATCAACTGCCCCGGTCTCGATAAATCGAAGAAGAAAACTGCATAGAAGATAATAAACAAAGGGAAATAAACTGAAGATAAAAACGGGCCGAACATCACGAGCAGGATGCGCTGCACCTGCGGGCCCAGCAAGCACATACGAAAGCGTTGTTTCTGTTCTTGTCTCACTTCTCTCTTCTCCTGATGACTGCCCCCCCCCCTCTCTTCTCGTTCCGCCACACCCAAAATTTTCTTGTCTCCCCCTCACTTACTGGCGTTGCTGATGATCCCGTTTTGTGTGTGTGTGTGTATCTGTCGGGAAGGAGAAACGCTGAAAGTGCGTTGATGCAAGTGGCTTCTCAAAAGAAGGAAAAAAGCAATATCCATATCAGATCCACATCTCACAATTTTTCTATTTTCATACAAATCGTTTTTTTCCTCAGTTCCATTCCTCATTCGGGTTTTTAAACACCTCATAACTATTCTGCATACGTACGTTCTCTACCGAAATCGACACACGCGCGCTTTCCAAAAGAAGAAGAGCTCCTGCCGCGACTTTCGTATCACCCCTCACACACACACACACACTCACACTCACACACAGCAGGCCTAATGTTATCGGACATCCAGCGGCAACGTCACATTGAGCTGGAGGGCACCACCAACTTCCGCAACCTCGGCGGCTACCGCACCAAGGACGGCACCAAGACCACCAAATGGGGCGTCTTGTACCGCTGTGACCACCTCACCGACATCTCGCCCGAGAACGCGCAGCACGTGCTGGTGGATCAGCTGCACATCCACGAGGCCTTCGACCTACGCGCACACAAGGAGGTCGTCGCGAAGAACTACAACTTCCACGACATTACGCGCCACTGCGTCGGCATCGAGCCTACCCGCATCGCTGAGTTTGTGAAGCGTGGCGAGGACATGTCGAACGGGAAGACGGTCTTCCGTGCGATGAAGGCGGTGTATCAGCAAATGGTGACGGACTACGGGGCCATCTTCGGCTCCATCGTCAAGGGCATCATTAAGAGCAAGGTGTCGTCGGACAACGCCGCCGTGTTCCACTGCACCGCTGGCAAAGACCGAACTGGGTGGGCGGCGTACCTAATTCTCACCCTGCTGGACGTGAGGGACGAGGACAAGCGTGCGGATTATTCGATGAGCAACACCTGCTTCCGCCCACCAAAAGACGCACACGACAGCACCGGCGGTTTAGGCATGGGCGAGGAGGTGAAAGGGGCGGTCGGAAGCGTTTGCGATGAATTCCTTGACGCGAGCATCGATGAGGTAAACAAGCTGGGCGGCACGAGGGCGTACGCGAAGTCACACATGGGCCTCACGGACGATGACATCCAGCAGCTGCGCGATCTGCTTCTGGAGTGATGGGTAAAGAGAAGGAAATTTAAAAAGTAAAGGAACAACAAAAGAGACAGTTTAACGTCTCAAAAATGCAGACGAAAAAAAACGATATTTCGAGTAGGTACGTTTTAGTTCATTTGACGCATGAGGTTCGTGTTACTCTAGCCTGGTTTTCTTTTCTCTTTCTTTTTTACACAACGAGACAGAGAGAAAAGCAGCGCTATTGATTCGCAGCAGGGTAGGCGGGTACGCCCAGCAAAGAACTTCACAAACTTCCCAACCTCGTGAATGACGCGCTGTAGATGCAGTCAATATATAGGTGCTGTTTTTTCCCCTTTTTTTATCCATTTGTTTTTTGGCTTCATGGTTGCACCACCACATCATTAGTGTTCCCTTCCTCTGGAAAATTGCGCTTCTGTTATTTAAGAATTCTGTTTCAGATGGTCAGTGCGGTGATCTCACTGACCCGAGATCTGTTTTGTTGTCGGCTTCGTGCGCGCCTGATTTTGGCGTGGTGAAGGGTACGTCGCTCTGCGGTTGGCAACTCCTCCCTTCATCTTACGTTCTTTATGCAAGATGCCCACGCGGGAAAGAGGGAGAATGCGTTATCTTCTTGACATGCTTGAAATTTTACCACCACTCACCCATCGCACACTAAACTCCTCTGCTCTGGGGCCCTCTCCCTTCTTTACTGCACCGTACTCAATCTGCTGCAGCGTCACCAGGCGTTGTTGTTACCAGCACAGTCTTTGTATAGGTGTATAGGCAGCTCACCGTGCCGTTCACACTGGTTTTTACGCTTCTTTTTCTTGTATGTGGGTATTGTTGCCTCTCACCGCTTTCTTCTGATCTCTTCTACTTGCGTTAATAAGAAATCAATCTTTTTTTCTTTTTTCTTCCTGCGTTCAACAGTTATCGTCTTCTCTCAATTTCAGGATAGCGTTTTATCCTTCGACGTGCTTGTCCGCTGCACTCATGACGCAGGAAATTCAGCGGCAGCGGCACGTGCCGCTTTTGGGCACAACCAACCTCCGTAACCTCGGCGGCTACCACACCAACGACGGAACCAAGACTACCAAGTGGGGCGTCTTGTACCGCTGCGATCAACTGGCCGAAGTCCCGCCCGAGATGGCTCAACGCGTCTTGGTGGAACAGCTGCACATCCACGAGGCCTACGACCTGCGCGGGGAGAAGGAGGTGGCGGCGAAGAGCTACGACATCCCGCGCATCACACGGCACGCCATCCCGGTCGAGCCGTCTCAGATCGATGCCTTCATCAAACGTGGCGAGGACATGTCGAAGGGCGACGTCACATTTCGCGCGATGCAGGCGGTGTATCGGCAGCTCATCGTGGAGTACGGTGCTGTCTTCGGGTCCGTCATCAAGAGCATCTTGGCGGGCGGCCCGTCGCCGGAAAAGGCCGCGCTGATCCACTGCACGGGCGGGAAGGACCGCACTGGGTGGGTGGCGTATCTCATTCTCACTCTGTTGGACGTCAAGGAGGAGGAGAAGAGGTCCGATTACATGCTCACGAACACCTACTTTCGGCGGCCAACAACGGCGTTTAATTACTTTGGTAGCATGGGCGCGGATGCCATGAAGTCCCTTTACCGCGTTGATGAAGTCTTTCTAGATACGGCGTTGGAGGAGGTTGACAAGCTGGGCGGCATGGCGGCGTACGTGAAGTCGTACGTCGGTCTCACGGAGGAGGACATTCAACAGCTGCGTAACACGCTATTGGAGTAGCGAGATGGGGGTTGCGACGCTCCTTCTTTTTTAACGCTTTCTTCTAACACGTCTAAAAATACTATTTTTCCCGCTAAAGAGCGACCAAAGTATTGGCGAAATGAAATGTCTCAGAGCGATGGCTGCGGTATCGCTGCGTTGGATACTGTGGTTGGTGAAGACCAGCTTTCTGCATCCAATACGCACAAAAGCAGCAGCAGCAGCAACAGCACCAGAAAAAGACAGTAAGGAAACGTGAAGGATCATACGAGCCATCACGCTTGAGCGGTCTTTGAAATGCTGCTTCATCACTCCCTCTCTTTCTCTCTCGTCTCCGGGTCTTTTTTGTAATAGGAAGGCATTTTAGTATCCCGCCAGCAAAAATCATAAAGCTTATTGTTTGTTTGTTTGTTTTCCCTTCGCGCTCTGTTCGCTTAAGAAGAGGCGTGTTTACACACATATATACTTCTTGCTGTTGTTTCCTTGATGCCTATTCTAAGTGAAAGAACGACTTTCTTTTTCTGGTTTTCTACAACCCTTATCGCAATGCGCTCTGACATTCATCGGCAGCGGCACGTGCCGCTTGTGGGCACCACCAACCTCCGAGACCTCGGCGGCTACCGCACCAACGACGGGACTAAAACCATTAAATGAGGCGTCTTGTACCGCTGCGATCAGCTGGCTGAAGTCCCGCCCGAGATGGCCCAACGCGTCCTCGTAGATCAGCTCAACATCCACACGACCTATGACCTGCGCGCGGACAAGGAAGTCGCGGTGAAGAGCTACGACATCCCGCGCATCGCACGCAACCACGTGCCCATCGACGCGACGCAGATATCGAAGTACATCGAAGAGGGCGAAGACTTCCGCGAGAGCCCGGTGTCCTTTCGGATGATGCAAGGGCTGTATCGGGATTTCGTTCAGTCGTACGGCCTGACCTTTGGTACCGTGATCAAGGGCATCTTGGCCACCGACTCCTCACCGCACAACGCATCGTTATTCCACTGCACTGCTGGCAAAGATCGCACGGGGTGGACGCGTACCTGCTCTATCGTTGCTAGATATCAACGAGGAGGAGAAGCGCAAGGATTACCTGCTCACGAACACGTACTTCAAGGTACCGCAAGATGCCTATGACTACCTGGGTGGACTGGGCATGTCAGGGGATGCTATGAAGGTTCTCTGGAGTGTCTTTGACGAGTTCCTCGATGCCGGCATCGATGAGGTGAACAAGTTTGGAGGTGTGGAGACGTACGCGAAGTCGCACATGGGCCTGACAGACGCCGACATCCAGCAGCTGCGCGAGATTCTTCTGGAGTGAGATGTAACTAAATCAATACGTTTTTAACCTTTTTGGTGTTAGGGGGTTTTCCTTCGCTTTGGGATGTTTTTTCGCGACTTTTGTTTCCCGCCTTCCCCTCGCTGTATTCAATAGCAAGGTTGTTTTTTAATCAAAAGGTTAGTACTCTTCTCTCTTCGCATGTGGTTGTGGCGTGCGTTTTCGGGCATTCGACACATGGCAAACATTAGTTCGTAACATCGAACGTGAAAAAATGTATATTCAGAGAGGATTATTGTCGCTCCGTCGCTGAGACGCAGAAGCATCGAAAAGGGGCGTGGGCGAGCCGTCGGCGGCGCTGTTATTCCCTTTCGTCTATGCCCCAAACTCTTCCTTCACGTTTGCATCCTGTCACCTGAAAGACGCCACAGCACCAACCCACTTCGCATTGAAGCGCTGTCAGCACCCACACACATAAACAAAGAAAGGAAAAGAAAACGCCGTGGTCGTTGAAGCCACCACAAGCAGCAACTTATCTGCAATGCCCTCTGACATTCAAAAGCAGCGGTATGTGCCGCTTGTGGGCACCACCAACCTCCGTAACCTCGGCGGCTACCACACCAACGACGGAACCAAGACTACCAAGTGGGGCGTCTTGTACCGCTGCGATCAGCTGGCTGAAGTCCCGCCCGAGATGGCCCAACGCGTCCTCGTAGATCAGCTCAACATCCACACGACCTATGACCTGCGCGCGGACAAGGAAGTCGCGGTGAAGAGCTACGACATCCCGCGCATCACACGCAACCACGTGCCCATCGACACGACGCAGATATCACGGTGGGTAAAGGATGGGGAGGACTTGCATAGCGGCCCGGTGACATTCCGTGTGCTGCAGGAGATTTATCGGGAGTTCGTACGATCTTACGGCTCCACAGTGGGCTCGATCATCAAGGGCATCTTGGCCAGCAACCCATCCTCCGACAACGCGTCGTTGATCCACTGCACCGCTGGCAAGGATCGCACGGGGTGGTCTGTGTATGTGCTGCTAACGTTGCTGGATATCAACGAGGAGGAGAAGCGCAAGGATTACCTGCTCACGAACACGTACTTCAAGGTACCGCAAGATGCCTATGACTACCTGGGTGGACTGGGCATGTCAGGGGATGCTATGAAGGTTCTCTGGAGTGTCTTTGACGAGTTCCTCGATGCCGGCATCGATGAGGTGAACAAGTTTGGAGGTGTGGAGACGTACGCGAAGTCGCATATGGGCCTGACAGACGCCGATATCCAGCAGCTGCGCGAGACTCTTCTGGAGTGATGGGTAAAGAGGAGGAAATTTGAAAACTGAGAAGGCTTCACCGAAAAAAAAACGTACTTTTTGTGTGTGTGTGTGTGTGTGTGTGTGCCGAGCACGTACGGGTGGCAAGCATGCTTTTAGACTTTCAGAAGTCAGTTTGTTTTATTTGCTGCTTGTGCTTTTCTCTACCAAATTCCGTTTCATATATATATGTATATATACACAAGGTTACTGTGTTAGGCGAGTGTTTCCTCAGTATTTTGCTACTGTTATGCATCGAGAGTACTTTCGTCTTGTAACACTTTTTTCGTGTTTTCTCGAAAAACGATTTCTGGTTCCTTCCGTAAGTTTAGGTGTGTGTGTGTGTGTGTGTGTGTGTCTACGCAGGCTTTGCTGAATACCGCAAGTGTTCCAAGCGACAGAATGCTGAAGCGGACAAAAGCGTTTGGTGTTTACTAAATCCAATTCACACGCACACACATACACACACACGATAGTTTCTCATTTATGAATAGAAACTAATGCGAGGGATGATGATACCTGACTGGACATGCGGTGTGTAACATCCATTCCGGTTGTGGTCGTCACTATTATTATTGGCTCTTCGCTTCTGACCTCTACTGCAGAGGTGAAAGAGACTATCTTTTATCTCATTTTTTTTTAATTCCGTTTAAAGATGTGTTGCTGAACGTATCGAAGTAGGAAGAAGAAAGAAACATGTTTCGCAAGAGATTGGCAATGCCGTTCAAAAGTACCCTGGTGGCTCTCTACAAGCATTGCGTGGATGCAAGGTGATCGCTGCCGTTGGTGAGGACCCATGAACATGCGCGCCTGCAAAGGAGGTGCACGACCCTGGAAAACGATTTTTTAATTTCGTTTCTTCTCAGGTGACACCAAAAACAAAGAATACGGTGAATATGGTGTTTGACACTGTCGATGTCGTATAGCGAAACGCATTTTTCTGGTTCCCTCATTTCCCATATGTTGTACTGTATGCTTGTGTACATTCTTCCTCTTGCTACCGTTCATGCCGTATTACCCCTCTCCTCTCCTCTCCTCTTTCGGTGTTTGTTCCGTGCTTGCCTTCTTGGAGAAAGGAGAGATTAATCGCACAAAAGCCTTTTCTTCTTTAATTCACCGCCGGTGCTTCTTCATCGCTACGTACGTTAACAGCGATACACACACATATATATATATATCCTGTCTGCGGCCTCGCATCAAAAAAAGAGAGAATAGAGGCAAAACAACTATACGCCCACCATTCACTTTCGTGTTTCAGTCAGTTATTTTTTTTAATTATTTTTTGTTTGTTTTCACTCTCCTTCGAGTATTATCTCCCCTTCCCCGATCCGCTCCCCGCAGATACTCAGGTTGCTCATTTTTTTTTCTTTCTCTGCCTTTCACGAGGAGGAAGCAGTCATTCCTTTTTTCTTTTTCAAATTCCTTTTTCTCATCTCCATGTATTGCTTCTCTTTCATGGTTTCTTGCTGCATTTGAATCGTGTTGGGGAATAATTTTTCTACCTCCTTTACGCGGTGGCGCGTGAACGCTTTCGTACGGTGTCGTCTTCCCCCTCCTGCCCTTTTCGGTTTTTGTTTTTGTTTTTTACTGCTCCACGAAGGCAAATTCGTCCCCCACGTTTTTCGCTCCCGGAAAAAGACACCGTACTGCGTTAATCTGCTCGTGAATCCTTCTGTACAGGATTTACCGGCACACACGCACACATAATCTATATGTATAGATTTGTAACTCCTTTGCTTTCCTTTCATCGATCAAGCAAACGGACAAAAAAAAGGACGCAAAAGCATTCCAGAAGAAGAGGATACGCATGCTATCTGATCTTCAGCAGCAGAGGCACGTGGAGTTGGAAGGCACCGTCAACCTCCGTAACCTTGGCGGCTACCACACGAAAGATGGCACGAAGACGACCAAGTGGGGGGTGCTGTATCGCGGGGATACCTTAGGGCACGTCCCGTCAGACGTCGCGCAGAGGACTCTCGTCAACGCGTTGCACATCCACAACGCCTACGACATGCGGAACAGGTATGAGGTGGCGAGGCAGCCGTACCACATCCCGAACATTAACCGCTACGCCGTGCCGATCGACACCCGGCAGCTGTCCGAGAACGTGCAGGTTGGCGATTGTTTGAACGACACAGCAGCGGTGGTCAAGGCGATGCAGGACGTCTACCGTGACCTGGTCAGGTCGCACGGCAAGGCAATCGGAAAGTTTATCAAAGGCTTCCTCAATTCGAAGCCTTCACCGCAGAACGCGACGATCTTTCATTGCACCGCAGGGAAAGACCGGACCGGGTGGGCCGCCTACGTCATTCTCACGCTGCTCGACGTCGAGGAGAGGGACAAACGGCTGGATTACATCTTGACGAACAACTACTACGGATGTCCGAGGGATGTCGCCGAGTACCTGCGCTGCAAGGGCGTCGGCAAGGAGGTCACGACGGCGCTGTGGGCGGCGTTTGAGGAGTTGGTGGATGCTGGTATGAACGAGGTGAATAAACTAGGTGGCATGGAGGCGTACGCGAAGTCGCATATGGGCCTCACGGACGATGACATCCAGCAGCTGCGCGATGTGATGCTCGAGTAGGCACTTCAGGTGGACACAGCCGTACGCAGAACGCTACGAGCGTGAGTGTCTGCCGGACAGACGCAAAAAAGGAAAGAAAATGCGTGGGTGTGAGTGTGGGACTTCCGCACTGCTGTCGGACCTTTGAGGCGCGTACAGTATTCTCCTCATCGCCCTCGCTCTTTTTCAATCTGCCTTCCTCGCCACTTTGTGGTGGTTCGTGTAGCCCCCGCGACCCGCTGAGGTGCTATAAAACGACATGATTAAGGTTACTTCGTTATATTTTGTTTGTGTTTTTTTTTTCTCTTCTGCAGAACTCTCTGTTCTCCCTTTTTCCCACTTTTATATATAAAAATCTCAAATCTGCTTGTAGCCCTGTCGTGCAGAAGTCGTACACAAGTACACACGATGCAGGCGGGTGCATTCGATGTTTCTATTGCGTCATTTACTTGTATTTCTGCTCTTTTTTCTTCTTCTTCTAAAGTACATGGAGCTGTTTTTTTCTTGTTATCTTATTTTGCTCTTCCCCCCACCCACCACTAACATATGATTCACCACGATCTTACCTACGTGACACACCGTGTCTGAAGAACCTCCGTAATTTCGAACACATCACATCGGAATCAGTTGCTCTGATTGCTTTTTTGTTTCTTTCTTTCTTTGTTATTTTACTCTCCTTTTCTCTCTCTCTCTCCACCCCTTTCGCGTTTGCCGTGCGTGCCTTTTTAGGCATCTGTCGACAGATGGACCGGTGCGCGCCTCTTTCGCAGAGGAGTGGACGCCTGCGGCTTTGAGAAGACCAAACTAAAGTATAAATAAATAATAAAAAGCGAGAGAATGACTTGTCCTTCATGCGGCGCGCGCTTTTTATTATTATTCACCCTCTGCTTTTTCTGTTCTCACTTTCGTATGTTCTCACAAGCACTTAAGACGACAATTATCTTCTTCTTTTCCTTTTGTGATGTTGTTGCTGCGTACTTGAACTCAGCGCACTCTTTTCGGGCTGCATGAAAGCGATCATCACTACATTTATGAACCTCCGTGTGGTGACCCACCATTTGCGCGTTGACTTCCTGTTATTTGACTTCAACGCTAACGTTCGTAAATGTACTCTTCTTCCGTCCGACTCTTGCACTGCATTTTAATAAAGAAAAATCCTTGGAGTTTTTCTATTTTCTTTTATTGTTCGTTGTTTACTTCTTATTACTATTTTTGAACGAGACACCGGTAAAAAGCTATTGTGGGTACAGTTCAGCAGACCACTCGCATTAAGACGGGCGGAATGGATGAGAAGGCGACGTGCAAAGAAACGCGCGTGCGTGTCCCGCTGCCTGCATCTCCAATGCGTGTGTGTGTCTGTGTGTATGCAACTAATTTGTACTTTTCGAAAGCGTGGTTTGCCTTTTGCCTTGCGTCATCTGTCGTAGCTTTAGCATATATATAGATATCTATCTACCAAGATGCATCGTTTTTAATGTGTGTTCTATTTTTCTTCTGTTTTCTTATTTACGTTTCTTTTCACGACAGTAACAAAGAGCACACAACACCAACGCGAAGAAAACGAAACAAAAACCTCCCACAACAACAGAAGAGGAGAACGCCAACGTGATCTGACAGTCACTTCTTGTCGCACGAGTCCTTCTGAGGTAGCTGTTTTAAATGTCGCTTCTGCTGATTCGGTCTCTCGTGCGTACTCCGATGTGAAGCTCTTTCATGAGTGACGGTTTTTTTTTTCTCTTTTAAGGGGAAGGAAAGAGTCGCGGTGGTGCCTCGAGCGATGCCCGCGCTCGCAGCACAGCGAGAAAGAAAAAAAGGTGCGTCAACCCGAGTCATTGGTCCACCTTTGCCATGTTAAAGATCCCGTGCACTGTCCTTGCACGACCCGATTACTTTACTACATACTGCGTCCCTCTCTCCTTTCTCTCTCTCTCTCTGTCACATAAAACAACGGATGAACTTAAATACAGTCGAAGTGGGCGTTGTTGGTTTTCGTGGCGCGATGTGAGAAGAGGCCTCGTCACCCAATAAGTTTTTCGCTCTTTCCACCCTTTGAAATAGGAAACGAGATATTCTCAATATTTTGGCATTTTATTTTTTGTTTTCAAAAGTAGTACTCTTTCTCTCGCAACAGAGCCTACAAAGTATTCCACACAGCCGCGCGGCCATCTTTGCTTGTTTCGAAAATATGTATATTTAGGAAGGAAAGAAGCACAGCCTTCGCAGCGAACAGAGCGTGTATTCTCCCTCTTTCCCCTTCTCTACCATGCGTAACCGGCGCTCATCGGCCCCCGACGTGTGTCGGAAGAACGATGCCAGCGATGTACGGTCGTCGTCACCCGTCGTGGGAGGCGCAGCGCGAATCCCACCACGACGCCACAAGGAACTCGACGTCGAAGATGCCGCCCTGTGTGATGCATACGCAATTAACCTGCGTCGCGAGTCAGAGGACATGGAGCTGCGACGTCCCTCCTTCTGGCGTATTCGCTGTTCTTCTAGCATCTTCGTTGGACTCTTTATCTGGGCTCTCATAGGTTTGGTGGTTTTGTTCAAGGTCAGTGGAAGTGCGCAGGTGGAGGCGGCGTCGACAGCGCTCATCCCAGCTGAAGCGGTGCTCCCCGATGGCTGTCGTGGGGATTACTGCTTCGAGGAGGGCGGCACGGAGCCGTTTGGGGCTGTCCTCGGCGCCCACGACGGCGTCTACGCCTACAGCAACTGCTACGCCCACAGCTGCGTCTCGTTTGTGGACTTCGAGTACCCCATTCCCCTCCCACCCGGCGCCCACACTCCGCTGGACGACCCGCAGGCGACGACACGGCTGATGCGGACCGGCATGAAGTGGCAGTGTGTGGAGTACGCCCGGCGCTATTGGATGTTGCGTGGGACGCCCGCGCCGGCCGTTTTTGGAGCAGTTGAGGGTGCCGCCGACATGTGGACGGACCTGTCGTTTGTCACGCTTCTCGACAACGTAACTACCGCACCGCTGTGGAAGTACACCAACGGGGCCCCGGTCGGCAGCGGCGGCAGCGCGCCACGCGTCGGCGACCTTCTGATTTACCCCCGCGACACGGACGGCAAGTTTCCCTTCGGGCACGTCGCGGTGATCGTCGGCGTGGAGCTGCCAGGGGAGCGGCCGCAGGCGACGACGAACAGTGACGAGGCGCACGCGGCGCGGGAGGGTCGGGCGTACATCGCGGAGCAGAACTGGCACAGCAGCCCGTGGCCGGAGCCGTACCACAACTACTCGCGGTGGCTGCCGCTGGAGGTGACGGCCACGCCGCAAGGCACGTCAGTGCAGTACACCCTGCACGATAAATACCATGCTATTCTGGGTTGGATGCGATATGGCGAGCCGTAAGGGAAAAAGGCTCAGAGATACATGTTTATATAATCGTCTTCCACAGATGGAATCTGCTACGCTCTTCATCTTCCTTTTTTTTAACGTGCTACTGCTTTCGTAGCTCAAGATGAAAGGTAAATAATAAAAGAATACCATGTCTCTGTTTTAACGGGGCAACTGCCCGTGTTGCTCTACTGTGTAAGTTGAAGTAAAAAAGAAACCCGAAAATGAGTCTGTGCACTGTGCTCTGCGGGGTGAGGGGCCTGTTTGCAGCGTAGTCTTTCGTTTGTAGCCCGTGCTCTGTCACTTCGCCGTGTAGTTTATACAGCGACCTTCTGCACGACACGCAGCCCTCGCCTCACGTTTTCGCTGGATCTCCTAGGACTCCGTGCATGCTAAATGACGCTGTGAATGGCACACCTGCTTCTTTATCGTTGACTACATTCCAGTTTTCTATACCCTGCTTTATTATTTTTTTCTTCTTTCTCGCGCGGCTCAACAAAGCGCTCGGCAATCAAAATCAAATACCACAAAAAAAACTTATAATTTTTTTCCCATCAGCAGCGCTTCACAGAACACACTCGCCGCCTTTGACTTGACTGCAAAGAACCTTCTTTTATCTTCTCTTGTTGCTTTCCGGGTTCATTGTTTTTGCAAAGCATTGTTGGCTTTCTCTGCCTCTTTTTCTCTATTTGCATTGTCTCTTATTACCCCCCCCCTCCCTCCCTCCCTTTGCACAGGTGGCTTGCGTTTTTAAACTCCTTCTGCTCCCGTGAATATATATCTACCTTTTTTTTTGCGTCTTTGTTTGCGTTTTGCGCTCGTTTTGACTAGCACAATCACCGTTGTCGAGTAGCAACAGAAAACGTATTTTTTTTCTCCTTTCACTTTTCTTGAGCTTCCTCGCTCACCATATCGCCGGTGCGTATTCTTGCATTGTCACGTTGTCTTTCCACGCACCTCCTGTTTTTGGTTGTTTGTTGTGTGTGTGTGTGTGTGTGTGTTCCCGCTCTTTTCACGTCCTTTTTCGTTTTTGCTTCGGGATACTCTTCGATCTATTAGCTGGGATCTTCGCCCTCTCCTCTCCTTGCGGGCCGGTTGTTCTTCTCGCGCTGTGCTGCTCTCTTACTTCTCTTATATTCGAAAACGGTGTCGGGGCGGTGTTAATTTGTTTATAGGCTACAACCGTACTTAGGCGAACGTTTATTCTTTTCTTTTTTGCATTTGGGATATCGTCTTCATCGCGACGTCGTGCTGGTGGGAGTGGTTGTTGTTTTTCTTAGCAGCTTCTGTCGTTGTTCTTTGTAGCCTCGGGTGCGTTCTCGCGGTGCACGCTTCACCGCGAAGAAAGGTCTCTGCAACGACTATTCATTGTTGCAGACGCGTATATTCAAAAGAGGGGGAGAGAGCAGGAAAGCGGCACGAGCTGACATGATACGCACCTCACCTAACGGCGTTGCCGCCGGCAGAGGCAACTCTCGCGTGCCGAAGCCGCGCCCGCAGCCGCTGGACCTTCCTCGCGATCCCCGCTATGGCACCATGGACATCACGACCATCGCGAACGGCAGCCCGGCTGGCAGCCGTCGTGGCAGCCGGCAGGACACCCGCGGTAGCACTGAGACAGTGCCACTGCTGAACTACCTCACCTCCCCGCACTCGCCCCTCATTCAAATCCGCGACCACTGCCACCAGCAATGGGTCGCCGTGGTCTTGACTCTGCTGCTGCTCGCCATCACCACTTACTTCGTCTTCGGCCTGTCGGCGCCGATGCGGGCCGACCACTGCGTCACGCCGTACGGCACGCTACTCGGCGAGAACGGTAACATCGGTGCCTTCAGCAACTGCCGCAGAGACTACGGCGGCGACCGCATGGACCACTTCGTCTCGGTCGGCCTGCAGCGCCTTTACACCGGATCGAAGTGGCACGCGCTGGAGTACGCGAGGCGGTACTGGATTCTCTCCTCGCTTCTCACCTTTCCTTTCCTGCCATCGGCGGACCACCTCATGACGGTGGAGACCGCGAACGCCGTGAACGGCCGACGTGGCGGTCGTGGCAGCTTGACCGTGGCGCTGGAGCACTACACGAACCTTTTCCTCCCCACGAAAGCGATGGAAGACGACGAAGCGGCAGCAGCGGAAGCGACGGTGGTGCTGGCAAATATTGTTGGTAACGCCAGCAACGCGTCTGCCCGCGCGCTCCTGATGAACCGGCGGCTTGCCATGCCCGTTCCGCGTGATTTGATCGTCTACGCGAGAAATCGACGGACGCTGCCGGAGGCGCACGTGGCGGTGGTGGTCGCCGTGCGGGGACCGTTTCGCAGCCTCGCCGCAGCCGGCAAGGATGTGCACTGGTATCTGGTGAAGAACACGTCGTCGGCCGGCCGGCAGCCGCTCAGCCCGGTCTCGGCGCTCCCGCACGAGCTGCTGGCAAAGGATCGCGCCGCGGCGACGGCAGTGACCGGCGGCGAGAAGGCAAAGGAGGAGGCGTCGGCAGGGTCTGGGGTGCTGTACTACAAGGTTTACGTGGCGGAGCAGAACTGGGACAACATCTACTGGAAGGCAACCGCCGTAGAGGACGACCACGACAACTCGACGCAGAGGCGTTCGTTAAGGCAGATGCGTAAATCGTCCACGAAGCAGCGCAGTTACGCGCGTGTGCTCCTGCTGCACGAGTATGCGAAGCCGCATGGATTTTTCTTAGAAGACACGCACAACAATCTTATACTCGGCTGGGTTCGCGCGCCCAGTGCGGAGACAAGCGGCTGAAAATACAACAGGCTGGGGGGGACGACACACTTTCCCCTTTCCCTTTCCCCTTTTCCCACCTTTTTTTTTTAGAGTAGAACGGGAAGGAGAGAAGTTATTGCGCGGTACCGTCTTGTGAGGTGGAGGCTAGCTTCCCATTCCTCTTCACCCGTCCAGCGTTTTGTGTGTTTCTTAATACATTGCGATGGGCGCATTCTTCTCTTCTTTCGTTGTTGTTCTGTGTGTGTAGTGCAGCTTTTCTTCCGTGTCGTCGAAAATCTGTTGGCAGTCGGTTGCCCCTCGACGTTTATACTGTTGCGCGCATGATGGGGTGTGCGCCGGTGTGGGTGCGTGTGTGTAAGTGGGCCCTCATGTGCGATCGAGGGAAGCTGTAAAGCAGAGACACGAAAATAAAATCAACAACCCTATCATCAAACGTACTTGTGTTGACGTGCGTTGTTATTACTATTGCTATTATTATTATTATTATTATTATTATTATTATTATTTGGTGTGTCTGTGTGTGTGTGAGGGAGGGGGGGGGGTGATATACCTCGTTTATTGTTGTCTTCACGACACCGTGAAATCGTGGCCATTTCGAATGTCTTCTTTTTCTTCCTTTCCCGTTGTTGCCCTGTCTGCCACTTTGATATAGGATCTTCTCTGCGAGAGAAGGTTTTGATCCACGAAAAGGAGTCCGAGCAGGTTTACCTCGTGCTATCGTCCAATAATAATAATCATCACACTACTGATAAACATCTTCACTCATGCTTGGTGAACTTGTTCTATCCAGAAGGACAAACAGTTGCACGGTCAACAACAAGGTTGTATCGTGCTTATTTCACTGCGTATGACATCTTCCTATTGGAAGGTTGAATGGATACACCTCCTGTTCTTTTGAATTTTGCTCTCCCTCCCTTTTTCGGCGTGTGGTCGCTCCAGTGCGTTTGCGTGTTCATTACTTGCCGGCCTTTCCTTTTTTTAATGTCCACCGACACTTCCTCTGCGTGATCTCATCCCTCCCTCTCTTCCACTCCTTTCACACGTGCTCCATCGCACTCACACCTGTATCTGCCTTGTCTTCTGCACGTCCGACAACGTACTTCTGCAGATCTTCTGCGTACAATTTCCTGTTCTTTTAGTTATGGTTGTTGTTTGCTAGATGCAGTCATAGAACCCTTCCTTCCTCGTGAGGCCGCCGCTTGTTTGCCAGCTTTATTACCGTTTTTTGGTTTGCCATTTCTCTGTCGACAACCTCTGCTGCCCCTCATTTCCGATCACGGCTCCTTTTGTTGTTCTTGCACACCCTCATGTCGCAAGATACGATTTACCGACACCCGTTGTGGGACATCGAAGATCCCACGTTGACCGTCGCACAGGCGCGGCTGAAGCTGCTCTTCGACTTCGACCCCCCGTCGCACTACCGCTTGCAGCCCAACGGACCACTGCTACACGGCCTCCGCCCGAGTTGTTTGCTGTGTGGCAGCGTCGCTTTACCCGGCGGTGGCAGCAACACAACAGCGCCGTCTGCGCCTATCACGACACGTCGGATGGGTGTCTTTGGACGCGTGGGCAGTGCGCCGGTGCAGTACCACGAGCCGTTGGTGACGGAGTGGACCGATATTGGCATCCCACCTGTTGTGATGAAGGAAGACTTGTGAGAGCACATCGAAGTCGCGGTTTGTTTTGCTGTTACGATTGCGGCGCTGCCGACTTGAGAGCGCCTTCTCTCTCTCTAGATGCCTCTGTACGTGCATTCGTGCAGGACTTGAACTCCGCGCACATCAGCTGAAGCGCATCTTGAAATAAGAAGGAACCGTCTCCGTTCTGTATATATTACGCGCATCAGTGAAGTAACGCAAAAAGATGAAAATACCCGGTCTGGCTACAGTAGCCCATTCAGCACCAAATCGTTTCTTGGCTCGAGCAAGGTTTATAAAGGTGCGGCAGTGGGTCTGCGGGGACCCACCCACGCACACGAACACGCGCCCTCTCTCCTCTTTTATTACTCTTCTTACCAAATCTGGTTTCTACATTCTCGCCCTTCTCTGTCGCAAACGGTCGCTTCAAGCAAATCATAAGTGGTGCTTTCATTCTTTGTCCGTGTGTACGGTGGATCACGAACCGTGTTACGGAAGAACCTGTATCCTCGCGTTTACTCGTTGCCATGTCGACCGCCGCTGACGCCAGCACGGCTGCAGCGGCAGCGCCGCGACTGTGGGGCTCCGCGCTGCTGCTGCGCAAAGTGCCTCTCTACGCCCAGGCACGGCAGTACGCCGCGGTGGACCCGGACGAGCCCCAATCGGAGGGAAACACTCTCGGCTACGGTGTCAGCACCTACCCGCTCTTGGCGGCCGTGCGCACCACCTACAACGCCGTGAACAGTGACGCAACGACAGAAGGCCCTGCGACCAGCCGGGACACACGTGATGTGGTTGACCGCTCCGCCTTCTGTGGGATTCATCAGGCCGGCTACGCGCACGTCCCAGCACAGCGCAAGTGGATGTCGACGAGCACGCTGGCGGCGGGTGTGGCTGCGTCGACCACCACTTCGTCGGTCGCCATTGTGCGTCGTGCCGCGGCAGCAGCCGTGCTCGATGACGCCCTCGGACCGCCGACGCTGGCGCAGGTGCTGGAGCCGTGGTTTGGTGTGCTGGAAGACCACCTCACTGTTGATGCGCAGGAACGGCACGACGCAGCGGTTGAGCATGCAGCGTCGACGAAGCACATGGACAACAAGAAGCGCGAGACAAGCACATCCCAAGGCGAGGAGAACGACGCGGTACAGGAGCGCGTTATCGACCCCGACGTGCAGCGCTGTCAGCGGCGGAAGCGACTGTACGAGCGCGAAGCCGAGACGCGCGGTGCCGTGTACACGCGTTTGGAGGGGGCCCTGATGCACTACAGCGCCGCGACGACAGAGGAGAAGGACATTCTTCGCAGTGTCCGCGCTAGCAGCAACAGTAACGGCAGCAGCGGTGGTGGTGGTGAGGTGAGTGCGGCCGAGGCGCAGCTCGCTCTTTCGCCGGCGCGTGCACCGCCGGAGACGTGGGGGGCGAGGATGCTGTCGCTTGTCACGTCCGCCGCGGCGAACGAGCGGGGGCCGATCAACGACGAGAAGGTAGAGCAGCAGCAGAAGGTCCTCGCGTACTTGAAACGGGTGCGGTGGATTGCAACGCAGTGGAGCGGCGCACGCGACCCGTCAGCGCTAAAGGACGCCGCGGCGGTACCGTCGTGGGGTCAGCTGACGGAGGCGATGCGTGTGCAGGCGGAGATGACACACACGCAGGGGCAGCGGCGCCGCTTTCGTCGCACGCGTCGCGGACCGGCGGGCGATGCGAACAACGCGGATGAAGGAGATGCGGTGGACGAGTAAAAAAGGAGTCCAAAGCGAAGCTTGACATTAAGAGGCGAACGACAAGAAGTAGATGAATACACGTAAAGGTACTATCAGCACGGAGTACTTCTTCTCGACGAGCAAGTTGACGATTTTGACGCATTACCTGATGCGCTTTCAAGGGCCGTGTTACTTTTCTTCTTTTTTTTGTCACGTGTGGATGGCGCAACTTGGAGGTTTGGAGCACCAAGGGGAAGGGGAGTTGGATGTGCACGATGCGTCAGCGGCGCGACAACGCTATGCTCTATTTTAAGCTCTTCTCTTGTTCTCTTCTCTCTCCCCTGTTCTTATTCGCTTCTCTACATCCACGTATAAGGTGTTATCCTCAAAAGGACAGTGTATAAAAACCGGAAGTAAACACACACCACACAAATAAACCTGTACAACAACGGCTTTGCGGCAGCGTCCCACACGGGCCATGAAGGGAAATTCAACCACCTTTTTTGCTAGGCGGCAGCTGTGCTGTTGAAACTGTTTCAAAAACGAAAGAAAGACCGCAAGCACGCAAAACAAGAAAAACTGGTCCTTCTCTCACTTCATCCTCACCATGGTGTTGCTCGTCCCCATCGTGGTAGTCGGCTGCGTCGCCTTTCTCCTCATCTCCACCGGTGTTGTCTGCTTCATTCACTATCGCAACATCGGCAAACCAGTCCGTGGAATCGTCTTGCGCGAGGACAGCGTCGTCGCCGTGCCCGGGAGGGTGGTCGAGCTTGGGCAAACCACGCAAAACAATTCAAACGCGAGTGCCGCCGCTCCCTCGGTAATCAGCGGCGATGGAACTCATGCAGGGGCACCTCCACGCTCGGAAACGCTACCCGGTCGTGCAGCGACAGCTGCGGACAGGAGCAACAGCGGATACGCTATGCGCGAGGTGCTGAATCTTAGCAAGGGGGAGCAGCGACGCCGTGAGCTGCACAACCGACGTCTCAGCGTCGAGGACACGCGCACGGAGTACGCGACGCACTCCGACGGCACGCCGCCGGCTCAGCCGGTAACATTTTTTCGCCCATTTCGGCCGTCCGCCTTCCAAGAGGAGGCGGAGGAAAGCGCGGCGAGCCCGCCAACACAGCAAGGTCGTCAGATAGAGGACCAAGCCGCCAACATTGACTACGGTCGATACCTTGTGGCCGTCAATATCACGCTACGCGAATCGCCGAGTCGGCCCCGCAAGGCCCGCAAAGCTGACGAGACACCGATTGATCCTTTCGGCGGGAGAACGGAGCAAGACTGGGCCGCGCTGCATGACACGAGCGGCATCGATTACATGACAAACGAGGAAACCGAATACTTGCCTAGAAACGCGGAGCCGCGCGAACCGCCCGAGGTTCCCTTGTAACACATTTTATCCCCCATTCATTATTCACCCACCACGGCGGGGATCCTCGGGTTTGCACAATTCAACTACCTTGTTTGCCACTTCGTGAGTAATGCCACCTGTTAGAAAAAAATAGCAAAAGAGGAAATCGCCAAGTCTAGTGCACCACCGCCCTCTGATGCCGCAGGATGTTAGTTTGGCAGCCGGACGCTGCGCGGGGTGAATCGAAAATATGTTGGGGGCCCATCGCGGGTTTGGGGGTGGCCCCAGGCCCCAGCC